TGGCCACTTCTGCCCAACCTGGCCAGCGCCGCGCGCAGCTAATAGTCTGTCAGCCATATCGCGTATAGCTGCGTAGGTAGGCGAAAATCCACGTAGATCTAGATCTAGAATATGATCAACTATCACCTCCTCTTCTAGCTTGGTAAGCTTCTTTGAGTTAGGCTGGCAATCGCGTCTGGCGCGCTTCCCAGCGCGTCGATCGCGTAACGTTGATTCAGGCACGTTAAAGATTGAAGCTGCACGCCGGCCTGTTTGGATTTGATGAGAATCAAGAGATTGTATAGCAAGCTGAATATCTAATTCATTTGAGAGTAATTGAATAGCGTGGCGTGGAGCCATAATAGAGGTACGTGTAACGGAGTAAGAAAGTTGGTGGGGTGCGCGACTCGCTTGCCTGCGCGACTCGCTTATCCACTACGTTATATTTGTTGTTTGTATATGTCTATCCGACCAAAAGTATAATATGCATGCATACATACATACATACATACGCAGTCATGATGCAGAAAGATAGATGATATATATATATATATGAAGAGAGAGAGAGAGAGAGAAAGAGAAAGACATCACAAAACCCCCCCCCCCCAGCCTACTAAGTAACCAACTTTATTCAAATACCTACCTCACAGCAACCACAAGCAAGCAAGCAAACAGACAAATATCATGTGTGCAAAGAAACGATTGTTGAAAATGTCCTTCTTCTCTTTGGAAATTTTGGCTAATAACCAAGGTCATGCTTTTTTTCTTCTTGACTTCATGGGGCTATATTGTGTGGGTGTGGGTGTGTTGTCATGCCTCTTCTCTCCTATACATACAATCACACACGCAACGCAATGGATGCTTTCCCAGTCTACTACTACAACAACAACAACAACAACAACAAACCAACACTCGCAATGTGCGCCTTTTTGTTTTCTGGACGAGTACACACAACAAAGATACAGTGGAAGAAGAAGAAGAAGAAGAAGAAGAAGAAAAGGGTCGTACAAGAGGTGTGTGTGTGTGTGTGTGTGTGGGTGGGTACAATGCACTAAGAATTATACAATAGAAACTTTGCCCGCATTGGGAACCGTCTTTTTTTTTTTTTGAAAACTTCTAGTATTGTCCGACTACGGTATTATACTATCCTCCCCGTGTGTGCTTACGAGACGTGCACAAACTGGCCAATCGAGGGAACACCATCAACGAGAACGTAGATGACGTAGGGACCGGCAGGAGCGATGCTCTTGTCAGGAGGCATCGTGACGGTGATGCTCTGGCTGGCGGCACCGGCCTGGAAGCCAGTGAACTCCAGGGCAATCATACGGTGGCCCATGTGGATAGAGTGGGTGACGAATCCACCGTAGTAGAGCGTGATCTTGCATTGCTTGGCGTTGGGAGGCGCAGTGAACTTGATGTTGAAGGTGGATCTAACCTTGGGAGACTTGTTGGAGATCTGGACGTTGGTAGGACGGGTAGGGTTGCCCTGGAGGTAAGGAGGAGTGTAGATCTCGTTGCGGAACTCAGTCACAAAGGGGTTCTGGGTGGAGGGAGTAAGAACGGGCATCTCAACCGGGTTGGAACCAGAGATGAGAAGAGTACCGTCAAGAAGAAGGAGAGCAACACTGTGGTAGAGACGGGGAATGGTAGACTTGGGGCCAGTGGTGAAGCGCTTGCCCTTGGGCTGGTTGGGGTCGTAGAGAAGGACCTCAAGAGCAGGGTCGCGAGCAACACCGAAACCCTGGGCACCCTGCTGAGCACCGTTGACCCAGACGACGGTACCATCGGGAAGGAGAGTACCCTCAACCATACCACGGCCTTCGGGCATCGAGTCCATCTCCCACTCTGGGTTGGCATCAAGGGGCCTGATGCGGCCGCAAGATGGGTCAGCGGGAGCAGTAATGTCTTGGTAAGGACCACCACCGCAGATGATGATGTCGGGATTGTAGTTGTTGGCCTTGGTCAGAGGAAGCATGACGGATCCACCAGTGTTGGGGTAGGTACGGTAGGAACCGGGGATGTCGGGCAGCTTACGGACGACGGTTCCAGTCTCGACTTTGAAGATCTCGGCCGACTTGGCAACAGCGACGAAAAGGTTGCCGTCCCTCATCAAGTGCATCATGGGGTACATGTAGTAGGGCTGGGTGTTGACAAGCAGCTCCATCCTGATGCTCTTGCCGCGAGGAGTACCGTCAGCGTTGAGGATCTCGTACGTGGGGTTGTTGTTCTCAGGCTTGCTGGGGTCGAGACCGTTCTTGGAGCCGGATGCAACAAAGATGGTGTCGTCGGGCATGATCTGAGCAGAAGCGTACCAGCGGGGAGTGTCAAGGTGGGTGCCGGGCTCGTCCCAGGCCTGTCCGTTGAGAGAAGCATCAGTCGAGGAGCGCTTGAGGAAGCGAATGCCGCGGAAGCCGTCGCCAACAGTCTTGTCGATGAAATCAAGAGGAGCGTTACCACCCAAAGAGGCAAAGCGGCCATCGGCAAGGAAGATACCTCCAGAGCAGAAAGCATTGGTCTTGTAGGCGAGGGGAACAACCTTGTTCGTGACGGGATCGTACTCGGAAGAGTAGGCGTACTGGCCGTTGCTAAGCTTGAGCTCAGTGTAGTTTTCGACCTTGTCAAGGAAGACAACGCGACCGTTGGGCATGAGACCAGCGTGCATGGCGGGAACACCAGATCGGCCCCTGATGGCGATGGATCCGGGCTTCTGGGCAGCAGGCGCCGGGCTGGCACCGGGGGCGGGGACAGTAGGAGCCTGTTTGCAAGGACCGCTCTGGCAACCTTCACCGCAGTGAGCAGTGGTGTTACCGCAGTAGCCGTACATGCTGCAGCAGCTGCCCTTGATCCAGCTGCCGCAGACAGTGTTGCCAAACTTGGCACCGCAGCTTCCGTCAGTAGTAGCAACGCCATTGGGGTTGCTGCCGGGAGTGGGCTTGCCGAGAACAGGCTCGCCAGAGGTCGTGGAGGATGGAGGACGCGAGCCGGCAGGAGAGCCGGCAGGAGTGGTCTGGGCAGAGCCATCCAAGCAGCCGCTCTGGCAGCCGTTGGCCTTGAGGCAGTGACCTTCGGTCTTACCGCAGTAGCCGTACTCGGAGCAGCAGCCACCGTAGGCGCCGTTGGCATCACAAGTGGCACCACCAAAGTCCTTTCCACATCGGCCGTCGCCCCTAACGCCGGCGCCACCAGTCGTGGGAGTAGTGGCCTTGTTATCACAGCCAGACTGGCAGCCGGTGGTGCAGTGGGCTGCAGTGTTACCACACCAGCCGTACGACGAGCAGCACGTGCCCGTGTAGACTGTGCTCTTGGGGTCGCAGAGCATGTTGCCATTTTGAGCACCGCACTTTCCATCGGGCGAGTACTTGGCAGCCTGCCTCTTGGCAGGAACAAACCTCCGGGAAGAGCGGGAGGAGAGGGATGCGAGCTTGGAGTGGGGATCGTCACATTCTGCCACACAGCTAGAGGGTGTGGGTCAGTAGGGAGTTTGGGGTCAAAGCGCCGGCGTGGACTCACGTGTTGTTCGTCGAGCATTTCTGGCCAGTCAAGCAGTTGCCGGGATTGGTCACGTGGTCGCATGGAGGTTGGGTCCACGTGAAGTCGATGTTGGCCGAGGCCAGGGCGGCGAAGGCGGCGAGGCCGAAAAGGGAGGCCCTCATGGTGAAGGATTACCTAAACGAGACTGGTGTAAGCCGATTGCGCAGGCAATGATTGGATGCGCATCGAGGATGTTGGCTGGAAGGATGCGGTGGCTGTGGGGATGGGGCATTGCAGTGGGAAGGGTTGGTGGGCCGGATATATAGGCAGAGGCTGAGTAGGTTGGGAGGGGAGAGGCATGTGATGGATGGGCAGGTTGGGAATTGAACCATGTGGGCATGCCAAAACAGGGGGCTGGCAGGAGAAAACATGGTAATGGCGGCGGCGGCGGGCGGGCGGGGCGCGGGTGGTTCTCGGGGGGGTGCGAGTACCAGAGCAGCGGGCAGGCAGAAGGAGCGAACGTACCTCGAGAGGAATTAAGAATTAGCAGGTAGGAATGTGGTCTTGGAGACGACGTTTGGGGTCAGGGGGGGCTGCAGCGAGCGTGGTCAAAAGAGCGACGGGCGACCGACACGGGGACGGTGCGGAGATGTGCAAAACGAAGGACGAGCCGGAGAAGATGTGCAAAACGAAGGACGAGCCGGAGAAGATGTGCAAAACGAAGGACGAGCCGGAGAAGGCTTGGGATGAGCCTGCAGCGAGCGAGGTGGGAGAGTTGGGGGGGAGGCGGGCGCGAGGGCTTCAAGTACCTGTGTAGAGGGCGGGTATACGAGGGCGTCGAGGCGCGTTAGTCATGGCGGCGGGCGCGGGCTTGGGCGTGGGCCTGTCGCGATGCTATTTCTGGGCGCAGGGATTGGATGGCCGAGGGCTATCACGCTCGGCCGGTAAGTGGCAGCCGCGGGGGCCTGCCTACCGACAACCTACTTACACCTGCGTGGCTGCATGGGAGAGCCATGGCGAGCCGCCTTGGTCGCCTGCATCGCCTATAGCCCAGGCGGGCATCCATAACACTGTGCACACAGCAGCCGCCTGTCGCACGGCAACGGCGGTGCGCTGTCACCGTGGCTCCGGTCAGAGTCAAGCCTTCGCTTCCTGGCTAAGCTTCCAGCACATGCACTGGGCCATTGAAGAAACTGCCACCACAGCCCGCTGCTAGCCCAATCCGGTAAGCGCCGCGCTGGTGCTATCCACAGCGTCCGCCGCATCCGGCCTAGTCTCATCTACTTGACTCTGCCCCTGACTAACGCCCGCCGCCTTGCCTCTTCCTTGCCCTCCGCCTCCTCCGCCTCCTCCACCACCACCACCACCACCGCCGCCGCCGCCACCGCCGTCCATGCACACACTCACACTTGCACTTGCACTATTGCTACCTACATATACACCAGTCGTTTTTCAGGTGGGGCCCTCCCTCCTTCTACTAGGCGCACACCACATGCCAGCTCCTGCCGTCCAGCCCGTCGCGGCACCAGTCAACAAGCTTTAATGACATGGACAGACGACGACGCCTTCCCCGTCGGCGTTGCGGCTGATGTCAACATGCTTGCCTGCTTCCTTCATGCATCGTTGAAACACGAAACTTCGTACTGGGAAATTGCCCTTGCGGCCACGCTTCCATGCCACCTGCCAAGTCTGTGTGCTGTCCTGCCGCGCTTTTCTTATTACCGCCAAATCACCGGCCGCCGTCACTGTCGCTACCATCAAGCCCATCCATGGCTTCTCCTCTTCTGCCAGCCTCGTCCTATTGCAGCCACCTGTAACGCTGGCCTCCACCCGCTCTATCTGTTTCTTTTTTTTTCACGCCTCCTTCATACCCTTCCAACGACTCGCCCCCCCCCTCGGCCACCCGTCTGAACCCACTCGTTCTCCTATTCTATGGCTCTCTCGGAACTGCCTGTCCCGTAGCGCCGCCCTTCCCCTGTACCATGCCGTCGGGAGGTCTTCATACCTTGTTCTCCACTTCAGCCTAGCCAGTCGACGTGACTTCGGCCCGTCCGCCCACTAACAATTCAAGTGTCGCTCACTGCTAATTTGGCGCCTGAAATCCACGTCTGCATTGCCCGGCACCCTCGGTCCTTCAGGGACCCATTGTCAACAAACACTGCCACACTCTCAGCTCACCAAATGCCATGCTGGTCCTTGCCTGACCACTCGGTATCCCAGCGTGACCGTCTTGTCTAAATGATTCAATACTCATAGCGTCCTATCAACTGCCTCGTCCGCTTCTCCCCTACGGCTGATGGCGGATACGAGCCAGCTCTCCTCAGGCGTGCAATTCCTTCCACGCCATCGTCACGCGCTAACCCCTTTGGGACTCCACACGTTCGCCTAAACAGCACATCCCTGCGGCCTGGTATCGCCCTCGGCCTCGTGATTTTCTCACACCCACCCTACGCACACCGTACACGGTGCCCAAGTCGCAGCAGATCATGTCGCTGCGCGCTCTATTGCCCCGTCAGGGAATGCCAACCGCCCTCTTTCATATGCCTGTGGGCCGCGACTTCATTTCGCGATTACGGCACCGCACTCTTCCCCACCTTGATCTACCTTCTACATGCCTTTCCAGAAGCTGACGCCAAAAGGCCAAGCCCCAAGACATGTCACCAAGACGTCGCTCAACGTTAATCGCGGACACGGCAAGCGTCAGGCACCATCCAACACGTCCAGCGCATGCAATGCGTCACGCCTCAACATCTCCCCATTACGCTCACCGACATGTTATTAGCCAGTGCTGCGTACATAGCGCTTGACTCGGCTAGTGTCAGCACATAACAAGGCCAACACGTCCGCTGCATATGCCTTCTCGTAAGCGGGGGCACTATTGTATATTCCCCCCTTCACCCAGCTACTCTGCTCCGCCGTTACCCCGGAAACGTCACAAACCCTCCAATCGCCATGCTGCATCGCTGCCAGCATGCTCGCCGCTATCCGTCCTGTACTGTATAAAAAATACACCAACACGAACGGCCGTTGATTAAAATGACGCAAATCAACAAATTCCGACATTACGCTATTGCTATTATTCAACTGCCTCGGTCGCTCACTTGGTTAGCGGCAGTCGCCGTCGCGTGCTAGTCCACTCGGCTCCAGAGACGCGCCCCGTTGAGCTTATTTTGGGCCGGGCGTCTCATAGCCAACACAAAGAGCATTGCAGGACAACGGACAAAGAAAAAAGGAAAAAGGGTGCTTACGCAGCTCTGCTACTAGCTGGTACTGCTGAGGCCCCGTCGTACATTGCATCTTCCGCCTTCTCCGGCCACGGACTTTTTTCGACTCTCGGCCCCAGCGTTTATCGGAAAGAAGTCGTGTAATATTAGGGGATGATCGCAGCAACGAACTGCAGGTAAAGCAAGTACATTTTTGCAGATGCATTCGGACATCGTCTTGGATGGCAATACGTCATAGGTTGTCTGTGCACGCCGACCTTTGCTCTCCTTGCAGCTGACATCAGCACCTCCGTACTCCCACTCCTACACACAAGCCACTGTCCACGTATTCTCCCCCGACTCACCCAATCACCACTTCTCCCAACCAAACGATTCATCTATTACACGAGCCACTCGCACCATCGCAATTTCCCAAGCTGCCCTCTCCACCCTTATTACCTAACACCAAAATCATCAATTTCAAACGGGGCAAAGTCATACGCCCTGAGGCTATCTTGGCACCCTTGGCTACCAAGCAAACCGGGAAATTTGACCTTATGTGAGGAGCCGTTAAGCCATTGCGGTATAGTGTAGTTTGCCCTGACACAACGAAAGCCGAGTTGATGTGGGTGAGAGAGAAGACAAAGAGAAAAGAAGAGTAAAGTCTTCATGGTAGTGGAATCCTAGCCTTACATACACCCCACCCCGCATATGCATGTGTAGACACGAGTAAGTCCTACGCGCGCTGACGCCATCGATACCTTGACCCTTATACTTACATACTCTACTATTACCCGCTGCTGCTGCTATTACACGCTTGGATCGCGGGAAGCATTAGTGCGGGGAGGAAGGGAAGCAAGAGCAAACCCACCGGAAAACAAAGTCAAGCCTCGAGCGCTTCCAATGCCAATGTCGCGGTAGAAAACACTCGCATCTCGTTGCTAGTCAAATGCTGCTCCATCCAACCTCTTCTTTGGACATTGATGTTTTTACCAGGTGTGTCACCGGTACCATGACTAGTACTATCATAACCACAACTATAACTATCACTATTCCCATCCATCCCACTCACAAACGGGCAAGCCCCAGCAAGCGAAAATTGCATCACCCATCCCCCCATCATCATCATCATCATCATCATCATCATCATCATCACCATGCCAGGGGCGGGAGAGCGGGAAAAAAAATCAAAAATATACTTTTGATCGTGATTACTTTACCTTAGTTTCCCCTCATCTCGACCCCCCCCCCCTCCCCCTTCCTGCTTCCCTTCCTTGCATTTTGCTGTTCTTTCGTGCCCTTGCATCTATTCATACGTACGTACGTACGTACGTACTTGCTTACATGTACATGCTTGCTTGCTTGCTTCATCTCCTTCACTGGCTTACTCTGCCGTCTTACCTGATTACTTTGCTGAGCCGAGCCGACATGGAAGGGGTTGTGTTGGGATAGAGTTGGTAAGGGTACCGGGGCGGTAAGGGTGTGAAAACTCTGTTTTTTTTTTGATTTTGATTTTGATTTCAGAGGCATAAGCTGGATGGCAGGGTGGGGCGGGACGGGGACGGAAACGGAAACGGAAACGGAAACGGGGATGCTGGATGATGGGATTTGGGGGGGGGGGTCAACATGAGTCGTGGTGAATATCCATGTCCATTGAATCTACAAGGAAAATGGGGTAAATGTATGCCATTCTGCAACATGATATGGTTTAATATACAACTGTCTCTTTATATCGCTATCTCTGTCTGTATGTGTTGTATCTCGAGTTATGCCCATGCCAGACTAGAAGAAAGAAAGAAAAAAGACGCGAAGAAGGGGAATGTAAATTAAAAAAAGGGGGGGTTTAGAAAATACAGATAGCGAATACCGTAGATAGTGGTGGTGGCACCACGTTCTAGGCTTGTTGCGCCGGAAGATTGTGGTGAGGAGAAGAGATGGAGAAAGAATTGAAGAGGTGGTGAATGTTGAAGTAAAAGTTGAGCAAGTGGTGTTTGCAACCCAGTCCAAAATGAAAAGGACTTGAGTTTTCGTTTTCTTAGCTTACCCCCCATGAGTGTGTGTGTGTGTGTGTAAGTATTCATCTTGAAGAGCGTAGCGTCGTCTTGCTTCGTCTGCCGTCGTCCTGACTTCCCCCTTCGTACCCTCCCCCCTCCCCCTCCTTCTTTTTTCTTTGCCCCTCTCGCTTCACACGCCCACGCCACACCCAGAGCCGGGTAGAATAATACACATACACATTATATTTATATCCGGGTCCCGTATATCGCGCATCCCAATCGTTGTTTTTGCGTCCCGAAAACGCCATGCAAGCCGTGATGGAAAAAAAAAGAAGCGACGAGCAGAGAAATTGACCGAGAAAAAAAAGGAAGAAACGACAAGAAGATGAAGAAGAGAAGAGAAGAGAAGAGAAGAGACGAGGACGTATAGGAGATTCGGTGAAAGAGAAAGGAAAAAAAAGAAAACAGCAATACGCACAAGGAAAAGAAAAAAAGGGAAAGTGAGGGCTGCGGAACGGAAAGACTGAATAAGAGGGACAAGAAGAAGAAGAAGAAGAAGAAGAAGAAGAAGAGGGGAAAGAAGGAAATTACAAACATCTTGTATGACAAAGGAAAAGAAAAAAGAAAGAAAGAGAGATAGAGAGATAGAGGAAGGGAAAAGAAAAGAAAAGAAAAGGGAAAAAAAATATTACTCTGTCATACATCCACAGCTGAGCACTCTGACAAAGCCACTCGGCCCTTGACGCTTGACCCTCTCCTTGGCCGGCAAAGCGACCAGACGATCTGCTCGCATGACAGCCGTGGTAGCAGCGGGACCCGCAGGTCCAATAGGCGCGACGGCTTCAATTCTCGCCACGCGATCGATTCTCTCTTCCTGCTTGCTCTTGCGCGGAGGTTCCTCGCCCGAGCTATCGCCTTGGTCTATGCTTGCTTTACCACCACCACCACCACCGCCACCACCAGTGCTACTACTACCGGCGCCGCGGCTCTTGCCTCTACGCCGCCCCATCCACGCGGTGAGACCCGGGCGATCGGCCGCGTCGTCGTCGTCGTCTTCGTCGCTGTCCCAGTCGTCCCACGCGCTCATCGTGTTCTGCAGCGGGTACCCGAAGCGGTGGACGCTGGCCGGCGGCGTCGTCGCCGTCGACACCGTCTGGTACATTGCGCTGAATTCAGATGGCGTGCCGCTGTCGTTGCGCGTGTGCAGGTACCGCGGCTTGGGCAGCAGGTTGCTGGTGGTGGCGCTGGATCGCCGCGTCGAGCACGTCGTTGACGACGACGACGACTGCGAGGCCCAGGGCGGCGACGACGTCGGTGTCATGGGCGGCGAGTTGAGATGCGAGAGCGTCGCAAAAGATTGCTGTGTGATTTGTAGACGCAGCGCTGGCTCGTTCGGGTCAACTAGCGACTTTGTTCGCACCCGTAGAGGAACGGGGAGTTGCATTGCGGCGCTGCGGTTCGAGTGGTCCGTCAGGTGTGGTGGCAGGCGGCAGAAGGAGGTGCGTCTGGGCGACGAGGCAGTGGGTATAATGGCTTCTTCTCTCGTGGGGCTTCGGTGAAGTTCCTGGAGGTCTTTGGACGTAAAACTGTGCACTATCGGGCTCAGAGGCGGTGTTGTATCGCCAGTGTTGTTGGTAGTCGAGGATGCAGCAGCAGCAGCAGCAGCAGCGTGGGCGCGTCGGAATCTAAAGTCAAAACTGGATCTTGCCGTTGAGCCGTCTCTCTGCTCCCGTATTTGACTGGTTTCCAAATGTGGCGCAAAGTGGGCTTGAGGCTTCGGTACGGCATCTTCTCTTTCCTTTGCTTTCTCAATCGCCTGCTTCTCATACTCGTCCCAGAGCTCGGCTGTTCTCGACGGCACACCGGGCGGTCGATGGCTCTTGAATGGCGATCCTGTTCCCAGCGTTGGTGACGAGTGCTTCGCGGAGGCCATTGCTGCTGTAGGTCATATACTGCCCGTATGTCCAGGACACGGGAGCAGAGCAGAATGGTGGTCGACGGTTAGGGGGAGGCGGGTAGGCGGGAGCCCCTCTGCGCGAAAAGACCTTGAAAAAGAGATTTGATCTGCACACGAGGTATAGTTGCACATGTCCCAACGCGTCGAGGCCAAGGGGTGAGACAAGTGGTTTATCAATTGGCAAATGTCCCCACCAAAAGAAGCCGCCAGCATCAGCCAGTGGCGGGGAAATGGCGACTTTGGATCAGTCTCGAGGGCAAATGGTAGATGGATGTTACCTTGTCCCACCTCCCCAAGTTAGACAGTGTTGTGCTCTATTGGTCTTGGCCTGATGAACATGTAGCGTCAGTGAGCTCTCGGGGTGTCTTTGGTCGCTCGAGGTGAGATGCGATGTGCCATGTCCGCTGGGCGTCACGCAACGGAGCGCAAGGCGTCATTTGTGACCCAACACAGCAGGGGTTCGGGGCAAGAAGAAGCAAATCCAACGAGGGCACTGTCCTGTCAACATGCCTCTTGCACGACGGCGTCTTTTGGATAAACGCTCCCAAGGCTCTGACCATCTGGTCACGGATGCAGCATTATTTGCAGCAGACGCTGGTGTCCATGGTGCTTGTCTCCTTAGCGCCTCCAAGTTCCTGCCGTGAACCCGCTGGATCAAGCTAAGCTGGGAAGGCCGTTGTTGTTCAAACCCACTTGTACCGCCGTGAGAGCAGGCCTGGGGGACACTGGAGTGGGCCTCGCAACTGTGGTACAGCATAGCCAGGACGTAACACCCTATCAGTCTCGAGTATGCTCTGCACTCGCTAGTGACAAGCCTCAGCATGCTGCACGAGCTGCATTAGAGACGTGTGTTTTGGAAGCCTCCACGGCGAGCAGTCATCCAGCCCGAATGACGTACGACAAGGCGAGAGATGGCACCGCAAAAACACGGGGCAATCCAGAACAATGCGAACAGGCTCCGTGATTGGGTGGTTCAACCGCCGTCCAGATGCTCTGCTCATTGCTGTGCAGTGTTCAGGATTGTACCCGACGTTGCACACGGAATCAGCCGTAGGGTCCTGTTCAGATCTGTACCATGATTTGTCTCAGCAATCGGCCATAGAAACGCGTCCGCAGTTCGGGGAGGGCGGCTATTAACTCGTGAGTAACGTAGATGTTCTATCGGGGCTTTTTTAATTCATGGTAAGCTAGTCATGCGTGGGAAAAGTGAAGGACCAGTACTTTTTTTTTCCTTTGCAGCGAACAAGTTCCACGGCCTTTTGTTTTTGTTTTTTCGGTGGCCCCTAGCAACGATTGGCGAACCGGGACGGGTCTCAAGTCCGCAGGAATGGGGCAGTGATTTCAGCTGTTTGAATGCTCGCGAAAAGCTATTTATCGATAAACATGTGGTTTGCCGGATACCGCTTACCGACGTGTCACATGTGTGACTGTTTCGTCATGCCAGTCTTTGGATCGACACAGGAAAACTCTCGTCTTCTTCGTGCCTGTCAACAAGGCTCCACATATCTGACCATGGGAAGATTGGGTTTTTCCCAAGGCCATGGCCAGCACACAGACAGCCTGATGGCCGTCTCTTGATCAATGAAACAAACCACGGGAAGGTTTGCGCAGCTGGCCGTCGTCATTGTTGACAGCACTCCATGGACATTGCGAGGTCTATGCCAGCGTCCCCACCAGCCGACCCCCGTTGATCGCACTCTACCCCTTTCGAGTTCGGCATTGCATGCAGAGTTTGTTTTTGACGAACAAAACGTGGGAGTCGCACGCATTGACAGCCATATCCCAGCCTACGCCGTCGATCAAAGTCGAGCGCAGCATGGCGGACGGCCCCGCACGCTCCGACACACTACCACGCATGTGCGTGCGTCCTGCAACACCCAATTATCCAGCCAAACAGACGAACCGAAAACAAGAAAATCATCCAGCCTATCCGTATCAGTATGCAGCCTGCAACCTTTGTGTGAGCGACTGTGAAAGAGGAAAGTATCGTATGTAGGAGCTAAAGCATGCCGCGGACTTGACCCAAAGCCTAAAACATACATAGGCTGACGTTGGACCGCACATCAACCCAATATATATGCTTGCCCTACCATACTTTTTCTTTCCCATGTCGCCCACAGCAGACAAGACGAAGAACGATAGCGACGCAACCAGCTGGTTTTGGGCTTGGGTATCGATTTCCTATCCAAACTGAACCCTGCAGGCGTCGGATACCAAGGCCCTCTTCTATGACGATGCGGTTGGTGTCTTTGAGAGACTTGGACCAGACGGACGGTACAGTCCAGTTGCAGCAGAGTAGGTGGCCTATTCTAGTAGTTTTATGGCCCCAGTGCACACATTAACACTGCATCTCAGCCAATGGCGAGGAAGCTTCGGCCGACATAGTCTTGTTCCCCCAACCCTCTCCCACTGATCCTAATGATCCTCTACGCTGGCCGCCATGGAAGAAGCACGTTGCGTTTGTCTCAGTATGCGCCTTCACATTCATGACCAACTTTGCCATTGGCGGCCTAGCACCCGCCTTCTACGTCCTCTCGACCGAGTTCGACAAGACCATGGGCGAGGTATCGCACCTGCTTCTCTATCCCATCCTGGTCCTTGGTGTCTTCAACTTTTTCTGGGTCCCAATCGCCAACTACGTGGGGAAACGGCCGGTCTTCGTTGTGGGAAGCGCACTGCTTTGTTGCTGTTGTGTCTGGGGTGCTGTGGCACGCTCGTTCACCAGTTTGTTGTGGAGCAACATAATCTCGGCTTTTGCTGGATCTCTAACAGAGACCCTAGGTGCAGCCATGGTGAACGTACGTTTTTGGATACTTTTCAAGCTCCGGCAGATCATCCGGCTCTTAATCTTGACGCTTATACCATCTAGGACCTGTTCTTCCTGGTGCCAGCGAATATACCAGCCATGATACCAAAGACATTCACATAGCCCGTGTCTTCAACCCAAGGCACCACACCATACAGGAAGCCAAAAGCCACAATATTCTTCAATCCATTCACGAGCAACAAGACATCCGCGTTGACTGGTAGTGCACAGTCACTGACATACGCCATTGTAATGGTGGGTATGGCAGTCAGTGAAACTGAGATCATACCATAGCCGAAAAAGAGAGATACCCATGACAGCTCGTTCTGCACACCATATCCAAACAAGATACAGCCCGCTGTAGTAAGTATAAGTGGAATGATGACCAGATATAGCCTACTTTCCGGCTCGTAAATGCCATGATGCTTCCTCGTCCGCCACCTGCACCACATGTCTACGAGGTTACCTAGGCGCCATCAGCATGTTACAGTAGGCCGAGATTCAAACCTGTTTACCTCCAGCCCAGGCTCCAAACACATTACCCACTATGCCAGGGATATTGATGAGACCGTTGATCTGTGGACTCCAATTATACGGTGGCGCCTGCAGCACAAAAGGATTGAGCATGTTGACGGCAACTGTCAGGACCAGAGAGATTGAGTATCCAAGGAAGGCATAGATGACTGCAGGATATACAACCATTGGGAATGGTCTGTCGAAAGTTAGTGGTACGCATCTTCACGCTTGACTACTACTAACCGCACAAACATCTTTGCCAGATTGGTTTTCTCCACCCCGGACCACAGAAAGAGTTCCTGTTTCCACGTCTTGTGTTGCACCTGCTTCAGTGATAATCCAGTGAACGATCGTTGAGGCATCTTCTCGTCAGCTATGGCGACATCATCAGTCGACAGGCCTACAGTCACGCCAGCTTGGCCAAATCCTTCACGCCTATATCTTGTTTCCGGAACCAGAAACAGGATTGCGACAAAGTTGAGTCCCGTGAATATCACGCTGATCCATTTGTGCCATCGCCAGGAGAGATTTGTAACGATAAAGCCACATATCAGAGGACCAAGAGTGTTTCCCCCTGAAATTGCGATGCTGGTACGCGTCAGATACTTTGCCATGGTTGCGAAAAAGTGTAGAATGTGCGCTTACACATATATACCCATTTTGGCACCTCGCTCATGTGTTATTGTCGGCGCCATGTTCCTGATGACGTGCGGTGCCAACACACGGCATGTAACAGCAAAGTGGAAGGTGATCCTGGAGTGAAAGGCGTGGTTATGAAAATGCGATGTGTCAACAATATGCCTGATGAACACGTATAGGGGGCTGTGGCCTTTGTGGGCTGCATCCAAAGAGACGGCGCGGACACTGAAATAAGAGGCTTGCCGATCATGGTGCGTGTCATTGCTAAGAAGCTGCAACCCTTACTTGCGCTTGAGCATGCTCTATGAGTTTGCTGTGCATGGATGCAATCTCGGGAATAATCAGAGATTCAATTTCCACCGACGGCTCGCCCTGTGGTATCCCACGCTCCGAGGCAATTGACCCACCCGCCTCTGCATCCTTCTTTGCTAGATGGTCAGCAGAACCGACCAGAGATGGCCGCCCAGACAAACTCTTGGTCCTGCGGTTGGTGGGCACTCTTATCCACTTCTCGCCTTCAAGCGCCGACACGAAAACGACTTCCCATTTCCGGGTGAGTAGTAGGTTTCCAATAACGAGATGGTGCGAGTACTTGTTTAGCGCGTACTTGGCCTTTGTAACTAGCAGCGAGGGGTCGGTCTCGAGCTTGAAGCTGACAATCATCGCATCGGGTGCCCAGCCGTCGACGAGTTGTTTGAGGAACTTGGGGACCGGCTCGAGGTCAATAATGAGACTTTTTCCCTCAGTGCGTGCCGCTGGAGGCTTTGCTTGGCCACCAGTGGCACCACTATTGTCTGCATGGAACTCTTCATTCGACTGTATCTTATGTTCGACCATGCGGTCTGAGGGCACAAAGAAGTCGGACACGGCAGCGGCCAGATAGAACATGGCTTTTGGCCCGAGCGGACGCATGAGCTGAGCAACCTCGCGCAGATTCCACAGGTATTCAGTGATGGTCACATAGGACAAGATCAAGAGCTTGTTTCCGCGCTTGACCTCGGTGTACTGGCGCAAGACCCGTAGCATCTCGTCCTGGTGTTGTTCGTCCACCATGACCTTGCCATCCTCTTCCTTCATATAGTCGAGGAACGAGCGTGTGTTATGCGAATAGTGTCTCGAATAGGGCAAGAGCGAGAACTGTCGGTGCAGGAAGATGACTGCATAGCCGTTCTGGAGGAAATACTCGGCGCTCGTGGCTCCGCGCGTACCAGCAGAGAAGTTGTCGATGTAGCGTACCGTCTGCTGTTCTAAGGGCACCGTCGTGCCGCCTGAAGTGACCAGCACCACACGACGCCCGTCATTAGCATGGCGTGTGATGAACTCGCGCGCAAGAGTGGTGTTTGTCTTGAGGTCTTTTGGCGGGGGCTCATTGGCGAAGTAATGGTTCTCGGCCTGTTGTGCGCTCGAATCTGTCATGATGGTACAATGAAGCGGTTGTGCTTCGGGTGGGATGATATTGTTGCATAGAGCGGCGGGGTAGCTCTGAGCTTCCCTAGCTCCATGCGAACTCCGAGGCGCTGACTCAGGCCGACGACCTTTCATCACTGCGACTTCTCCTCCGTTCCACCGAATCCTAGTCTACATGCAAATACACAAGTCGGGATGGTAATGTTTCTCTATCCAAACTGTTGCTCAACGTCGTTGCGGGAATAACTGGTAGAATCTCGACTTTTTTCCACCCTAGGCTCACAACGACAGTCTATAGCCGCCATGAATATGTCATGATATGTCATCGTCAAACACAACATGGAATTTCAAAGGCCCCCGCAATTCTCACCACAGTCCAACATAATGGACACAAAAGCAACAGAGGCAGATTCAAAATCGAGGCAGGGAACCAGACTTTGAACACAGTATCCATATCAATTGCAACCCCATGTTTGTTCACCGGATTAGATTACTGATACACATGTACTGCGGCACGAGTCGTGGACAATCCTAAACTACATGAGGCCATTCCTCCGGAACCCCTACCGCGCCTCCTGAATCGTGGGTTGTTGATCACGTTGCTCGGTTATGCGGCATGCAGACGTTAGTTCAGCCCCCAACAGCGGCTTGAAAGCGGGTACAGGACGCAGAGGCCCAGGCCCCCGTTCTGTCGACGGCCTAGGTACCGGATCTGGACGAGGTGAACGACCTATACAAGCGAGGTAGGCAGTACTGGCAGAATAGAGACACATACCGATTAGATTTTCCCTTCTAAACAGTGAGCATCGAGGCCCCCCCTGGTGCATTTGTGGCGGTGTGGACAATCAGGGGCTCCTCCTATTTCTCTTTTCATACGTCCAAGAGGAGGAAGGCATGGGAAAGACAGTAGTCGATTGATCTAAGATCACTATCCGGATCTAAATGCTGACTTTCGCGGTGACGACCATGGGCCGGATCACCATGCTTCAAAGTATAACGGTGCGGCCAATCCCCGTTCCTCCCGGCAGGTCCCTTCGGCAATCTATGGGCCCTAGAGCAACCAGGCAGTTGGAGGACCGGGGGCCAAGTTGACGGTACCAACTCCGAACGCCGTATGCCACTGGATACGGCCATCTACTAAGCAGTTCTTGGCAGTCGGGATTTTATTTGGAATCATCGACTAGGGCCTACTAAAAGACACAGGCTACAAAAAGGGTAATTAATTGATGCCTATCACGCAGCACTAAAGATGCACGGATTGGGTCTTGTGTCGTTTAGTACAGAATGGAGCGTACGCGTATGCTTTAGCTTCTGCAAGGGTCTGCTGTCAGAGCAAGCGGATCGACCGGTTCTTGGATTGCAGAATATAAGCGCTTACTGCGCAGACACGCTCAGCCATGAGCGATTACTTACCACCAGCCATGAGCGATTATCTACGGTGAACAAGATACTGCAAGCGCTGAAACAGTCGGTTTATCCCATCAGCGTCATTGTAGTCATGGATAAGACGGTCCGAGATGTGCCCGGCTTATTACTCAGACGCTGTTTCCAGCGACCGACCCACCGTGAGCATACTTTGCTTTACGTATTTGTAAGTGTTTGCCACCCGGGATGTGGCGTTAGCCGTGTCCAGGGTCCAGGGCCTGAATAAATATTATCTGATGGATTTAGGGGCGGTAGGGATCTGGTTCCAGAGTGACGTCTTGATCATCGGATGGAGTGAGACATTATGGGGTCCTCTTCGTGTGCACCGTCATTGCTGTAGCACATACTCCACCTCCAAGAAGCAGTAACGGAGACATCCGGCATGATGTACTGCATTACATATGTGTATGTGATTGTACAGGCTGACTGCATGAAGCCGCGTTACCACAGCAGCAAAAATGGCGAACACGAACGGATTTGTCGGCCTGCACGAGACAGTATGTGGAGAAGAATTTTTGCATTGGCAACGGACTTGTTGAGTTGGCAACGCATCCGAGCGTTCACGCCTGGGAATTGAGGTCTAGATGAGAATAAGCATCAGCTTTGAGACCCATCGGTAGAATCAGCACCGACGGTTTCATTCTCAGCGTATATACGCAAAAATATGGGGTTTCTTTCGGTATGGAAATCGGGCGAGAAGGTTGGGTGAGTGAAGGTTGACAGAAAAAAAGCTGGACGTGGTTTGGTATCCATGTAATGACGTGGGTTGTGAGAGAGCGATGTGTTTCTCAGTATGAGGCTGATGGTGGATACGTGAACGCCTTTAGCAGGTCAGACACCCAAATGTCTATCATGTGGTGGTTGCAGCTTGTCATGCATTTCTCCCCACAATCACTCACTTCCTTCCCTACTTGCCTAGAAGGCGTATTTGCATCTGCTCTATCGATCTCTGCTTTCACTGTGTATTGCTGTAAGTCTCATTCTGGCTTACAAATGGAGATTCTCGGTGTCCGGATTCAGGTAAAGGTAGAGGCTGAAATATGTGGACAAAGTGACGTGGGTGATAGTGAGGGGCGCGACAGAGCAAGGCGCGTTATCACGTGAAAGATGCGCCTAGCGTCATTACGTAATCACAGAACGCGTTTGCCCAGCGACACAAGTTTCCAGCAACAACGTCGTGCTGCCCACCTCCCCAGCGACCAGCTCTCACAACCTCTTACCCCGACTAATATTGAGATTCTCAGTGCGATCGCAAGCATGTAAGAAGGAAGCTCGCACGACATGTCTGATGGCCATGCTAACGTCGCGCAGGGAGGCATTCAACGACATCTACCTCAACCTGTCGCGGAAACCGGGTGCGACTCGATTTTCCGACTCGGGATTTGGCTGGAAGCCGGCGAATGGCGAAACGTACACTTGCGACCAATCACAGATTATCCAGGCGCAGTGGAGCCGAGCGTCGCGTGGGTACGAAGTTAAGATCCTTTCTCGAAACGACGGCATTATACAGCTTGACGGGTTCAAGCAGGAGGATTTCGACCGGGTTGCAAAAGTGTTCAAGACTTGGTATGGCATAAGCTTGGACAACCGCGAGCATGCTCTGCGCGGATGGAACTGGGGCAAGGCCGACTTTGGCAAGGCCGAGCTCACTTTCAACGTGGCCAACCGTCCTGCGTTCGAAGTGCCATACACCGAGGTCTCCAACACCAACCTGGCAGGCAAGAACGAAGTGGCGGTCGACTTCTCGCTGCCAGCCGACAGCGACTCTGGGGCAAATGGCCAGCTCGGTGGGGCTAGGTTCAGAGGCAAGAAATCTGCAGGTGCGCGGGACCAGCTCGTCGAAATGCGGTTCTATATACCTGGCCTGGCATCAAAGAAGGAGAAGACGGAAGATGGAGAAGATGCTTCTGGAGCAGAAGACGGCGAAGAGACCAATGCGGCTAATCTGTTCTACGAAACGCTGATGGAGAAGGCCGAGATTGGCGAAGTCGCTGGTGATACGTTTGCCACCTTCTTGGACATTCTGCACCTTACACCCAGGTATGGAGCTCGGGGATGCAGTGTCGTGGCGAGTGCTAACGTTGAGACAGAGGTCGATTCGACATTGACATGTACGAGAGCTCGTTCCGGTTGCGTGGCAAAACATACGACTACAAGATTCAGTTTGACTCTGTCAAAAAGTTCATGGTTCTGCCCAAGCCTGACGACATGCATACGTTGATCACGATTGGACTGGACCCTCCTCTGAGACAGGGTCAGACGCGGTACCCGTTCCTTGTGATGCAGTTCAAGCGTGACGAGGAAGTCAACCTTGATCTCAACATGAAGGGAGACTTGCTCGAGGACAAGTACAAGGACAAGCTTCAGTCACACTACGAAGCGCCCATTGCCACGGTGGTGGCAGACATCTTCCGGGGACTGAGCGGCAAGCGCATTACGAGGCCATCTCGGGACTTTATCAGTCACCACGAGCAGTCTGGCGTCAAGTGCTCAATCAAAGCTAACGAGGGCCACCTGTTCTGCCTGGACAAGGCCTTTATGTTCATACCCAAGCCGGCGACGTATATCAGCATGGACAACATCCAATCGGTGACCATGTCGCGTGTTGGCGGGGCCATGGCAGCAAGCCGCACGTTTGACATTACGTTTACAATGAAGAACGGCATGGCGGAGCATCAGTTCTCCAACATCAACCGGTATGTCATAGTGATGAGCATGACATGGGGGGCAACAGGCAACTGACATGTGACAGTGAGGAGCAGCAGCCGCTGGAGAACTTCTTCCGTGCCAAAGGCATCAAGACGAAGAACGAGATGGCAGATGACGTAAGTAGCAGAGTGCCAGGCGTGGCGACGAGTACTAACGCGGCAATGTGTAGTCGGGAGCCATCCTTGCGGCAGCGCTCCAAGATGAGGATCTGGCGTCGAGCGACGACGGAGCGCCGGCGAACCGGGGTAGTGCCGACGAGGATGACGAGAGCGTTGACGAGGACTTTGAGGCGGACTCTGAGTCCGAGGTTGGCGAGGAGTTTGACTCTGACCATCAAAGCAGCGGCTCCGACAGTGATGCAGACATGGAGGATGCGGAGAGTGACGGGGCGGAGGCGGAAGCGGTGCCAGAACGGCCGAAGAAGAAGCAGAAGGTGTCGCAATAGCGAAGATCGCACAGGCAGCACACGCAGGCACGGGTGGGCGTGCGTGGGGCGGTGAAGGGGTGGGGGGGGGTTTACTTGGGTGATGGCAGATGCGGCATTGCGATGATGAAAGCGCAAGCGCAGCGTCCGTCGGGTTGCCGCAGTTGACGCTCGCACTCGCAGCGGATGTCGGGCAGGGCTGTTTGGGGGCAGGAGAAAGGTCCGGCGGGTGTAATAGGCCATGTGCAGGCTTGGCGGGCCGGGCAGGAAGAGTGGTTCCGGGCGCGACGGGGCAGTCGGCCAGGGCCAGGGAGCGATGTGGATGCATCATCTCATGTGCATGCGCTGGTATGAGTGGTGGCAGTGGCCGTGGCAGCGGCAGCGGCAGCGGCAGCGGCAGCGGCAGCGGCAGCAGCAGCGGGGAGCAGCGGCGGCGAGGAGCAGCGGCGGCGAGGAGCAGCGGCAGCAGACAGTGGCAGCAAGCAGTAGACGTAGCAGTAGTGGTAGCCGCAGAAAGACGGACCGACCACGCCCTCTCTCAGTGTCTTCTGTTGCGACGAGAAAAAGTTTAACCAAGGTGGCGAGTTAGCGCAGCGCACGTCTCCCAGAGCCGTGGCAGCAGAGGGAGGGAGGGAGGGAGAGAGTGAGAGAGTGAGAGAGGAGAGAGAGAGGGAGATGGGGAGATGGGGAGATGGGAGATAGGGCGGCCGAGGGTGAGCCAGTCAGTGCCAGCGCCCGAGCCAGAGGACAGAGGGGTGAGCCAGCGGTCTATACTACTACTACTACTCCTCCATACATACTAGTTGGTGATGGTGGTGGTGGTGGAGGTGTATGTGTTACCACTACTACCACCACCACCATCATCATCATCACCACCACCACTACAGAGTGCGAGTGATGTGCCCATCCATGCCCCCTCCCTCCCCCCCTCCCCTCCCCTCCCTTCCCATGCCCATGCCCATGGCCACACCCTCGCCCCCATGCCATTCCCCTTCCTTCGGCCATGACTCGGCTGACTGCGGCGCTTGACGCGACCGGGCGTGTGCGTGCGGGCCCGTCACCGTCCCTGTAAGCTGCAGTCGGCACTCTGCACGCTACGCTACGCTACGCTATGCTGCACGCTGCACGCTGCCACCAAGTCTGGCCTCTCCCACCAGCAGCCGGATTGGGCCATGCGACGACGATTCAGATGATACACTAGGCCAGAGGCAACCCCTAGGTAGATTTTCCCAACCTTGCCCGTGGTGACGGTGGATCCGCAACTGGCGTGAACACCCATGCTAGACCCCGCATCTAACCATCGAGTTTCAAACGCTCCATCTGCCATCATACTGATATAGATATAGGCCCAGCGCTCGTCGCTCAGAGTGGATGCTCCTTCATACCCACATTCCCTCGGCAAGAGGCTATGAGCTCGACCGCTTCCCAGTCCTAGCCCCACCCCGCCGCCCGCCTACAAACCCTCCTGGACATGCGTTCACGAACCGGCTGGTGAGTCCATCCATCCATCCATCCATCCTGCCCTCCGCATCCGGACCCTAACCCTGCCGCAGCCTCACATGCCGCCAGCGGAAGCTGAAGTGCGATGAGAAGAAGCCCGTGTGCGGGCAATGCACAAAGGCCTCGCGAGAATGCATCCCGAGCTCAGGCATCGTCTTCCGCCACCAGCACAATGCCTCGATGAACGGCGACGACTCGGGCGACGAGAACTCGCTCAAGGGCTTCTACGCCTACAAAAACACCTTTGACGACGATGCCATCTGGATGGACATTCCCAAAAATGGTCAGTCTGTTCCCATGCATGCATGCATACATACATAGATACATACATGCATGTATACTTGCTTTTTTCCTTAACCACTTACTCACACGCCGCACAGTCACATTCATCAACACCACCAATCCGTATCTGGACCCTGGCACACCAGACTTTGACAACATGTCAACCGCTTCCATCGAATCACCAGGTCCCTTTGAGGCTCGCTCCCTGGGCTCGTGGCGCACACACAGCACTTTCCCCTCAGTCACCAGCACACCCTCGAGCATGGGTCCCGACTTAGCTCCTACCAGCGTTCCGTTTTGCTACACACCCGAGCTCGAAGCCCTGCCGCCTCTGATGCAATCCCCGCCAACATCCAATGTCGGCACGCCCATGTCGCCGCCCATGTCGGTATGCAACCGACGCATACATCCCGTCATGGAGTTCAACGCTGCCGCTGCATCGCCACCCATTGACCCCCGCCTCAACTCGCCATACGACTCTACAGACTCGGCACCGAGGTCGGTTTCGATATCAAGCTCGAGACGCTCCGTGCCCCGTTCCGACGGCGGCATGTCGCCTCAAGACGACCACGAAATCGCCTTTTTGCTGCGCTACTTTTCCGAAGGCCCGGGCTACTGGATGGACCTCTTCGACCTCGGCACCTACTTTGCCTCGTACGTGCCCGTCAAGGCCCGCGAGAACCCGCTGCTCAAGTTTGCAGCCGTGGCTTGTGCTGCCAAGGCTCTTGCACGTGTCCAGGGTCGCAAGCCCGCCATGGGCGGAGCCAGTCTCACCCACCAAGTCTGGCTGGACCATTACCCCGACGCCCAGCTAGTCGATTGGAAACACAAAGCCGCCGTCTACTACGACACGGCCGTTTCGCTTTTGCTGCACACGCTCAAGATGGATGTTGCCTCTTCGCCCGACGAATCAGAGTGCGAGCTCAGACACCCCGCCTCGGCCTTTAATGCGCCCGCACCCAAACGACGGCGGACGTCTAGCAACACGTCATTTGCATCCAACACGGACGAGCTGCTGGCGGCGTCGGCCATTCTTTGTGTCTATGAATTTCTCGACACTTCCATTTCCGAGTGGGCGAAGCACCTGAATGGTGCCAAGTCGCTCCTGGCCCTGTCCCAGGATCACATGATGCCACTACAGCTTCCCACGCCAACGTCGACAACGCCGTCGTCCAACTTCAGCCTCAGCTCCAAGGCCCGAAGAGCCACGTTCTGGAACATTGCTAGGCAGGATATGCTCGCAGCCTGTGAGTTTTTTTTTTCTTACTCCCCACGATACCCAATGAGATAATTGCTAACCCACGTCTAAAAAAAAACAGTCATCAACAAGACCAACACGAGACTTGATACTGAAGATCTCTCCCTATGGAGAGATGCGGGCCTTCTGCTCGACGAGCAAGGCTTCATTATGCCGAGCAGCAGCACGGCGAGCTATTATTCCGAGGACGGCGAGGTGGTGATGAGGGAAGACCTTATTTGCAACGCGCTCGTATGGCTCATGTCCAAATTGGTCAACTTCATGGCCGCTGGCGACGAAATGCCCAGCCAAGCTGGTATTACGTGGGCGGGCGTACCGCAGCGTGCATTGCTCGACTACTGGTTTAGTCTACGCAAGCAATTCCAGGTCTGGCATGACGGCCTTCCACCCACATTCCAGCCCTCGGCCAGGGTGCCGCACACGCATACGCCCGGTCAATCTCCGACAAACGAGAACGCAGCAATGTTCACCGAAGTCTGGTACTCGATCCCCATGTGCGCTTCGACCATGCAGACGTACCACATGTCGCAGATCCTCTTGTTCATGAACAAACCCCACGAGTCAACCCAGGGCCGTAGCACCTTGGTTGCCCGCATGAACTCGTACCAATCGGTGCTTGCCACTTGCCAGAAGCACAGCCGTGAAATCGTCGGTATTTCACTCGCTCGGTCTGACGAGGCGGTTCGGATTCATTCCGTACAACCCCTGTTCACCGCTGGTCAGTGCCTGAGCGATCCACGAGAACGCCAAGTCGTCTTAGACCTTCTGAGGGACATTGAGTCTGACATCGGCTGGGCTACGGATTATCGCGTGCGGCAATTATTCGAGCAGTGGCAGGAAGAAGAACCGGAGGGCCTGACTGCCTTGCTGTTCAAACGGCCAGCGACCGGTGTGTGCGTCTGTGTGCGTGTGTATGCGTGCGCACGGTCGCTTAGTCGACACGCGCCATGCCTGTCTGTTGTTTTGCTCTCTCTCTGTTGCTCTCTGTTGCTGTGCTGGCTTACTCCGTGTGCCTGTGTGTGTGTGTGTGTGTATGTAAAGAGTCAATACTTGAATTTGCGAAACAGGAAATGGGTAAGAGAGAGAGGGAGAGAGAGAGCATGTGGGTGGGGTATCTTTGTGTAGTATTTTTCTAATCTGTGCTTGAATGTGTGTGTGTGTGTGTGTGCGGGTGTATCTACGCTTTGCTGTATTATCATCAAAACCCGTGAAGCAGATCTAGTACATGGCATGTCTCTATACTCTTTAGCTGCCGTGTTTTCCTCCTCTCTTCTGTCTCTCTCTCTCTCTGTGTGTGTTTCTTACTCTCTTACTCTGTATTCACCTCTCCCGCTGTGTGTGTGTTCATACATCTCCACACATGTCTCTACATCTCGCTCTCTCTTTCTCTTTCTCTTTTGCTACCGAATGCGTCCTGGCAGCCGCCGACAGCGCCCGGGGGCCTGGGAAGGATCCGCACAGCGTCGCATTGCAGCCTGCCACTAGACCATCGGCGACTCATTTCCACGGGTGTCGTGCTTTGTTGTCCAATGTACATCAGTAACAAGGTCATTGTTCGTGTTGCTTGCTTAGTCTTCCGATAGCTCCCGCAGCACTGACATTGTCTGAGCACAAACACGCTAGCGGGCCCTCAGCCGGGCCCGAAGCCGGGACGGCTGCAATGCGGTCCAAGCTTTTGGTGCGTGTGAATGCGTGCGTGTGTGTGTGTGTGCGTGCGTGCGCTTGTGTGTGTGTGTGTGTGTGTGTGTGTGTGAATGAGGCTTCCCATCCCAAGTCGAATCTGACACACAGAGACCTAGCCCGCCAGGCTTGGTTAAGGAGGTAACAATAAGCGTTCATGTGGGAAGGGGGTATGTGCATGTGTCTGTGTGTGTGTGTGGAGGGGGAAAGAAAGGTAGGAAGGGGGGGGTGTCGGCGGCGGCGGCGGCGGCGGCGGGCGGGCGAGCGCCTCAAGTGTGGAACAACGGTTCAAGGCACGGCAGTCAGTGCAAAAAACAAGACAGGCCCCCCCGCTTTTGTTTAATTCGCCGCCAGTGCGGATCCGGTTCACGACCGACCATTCAGTTGGCGACACCTTTTTTTTCGCATTGCCCTGCATACCGGGATCGCAAGCGCTACGGACAAATGCACGCGTGCGCGCGCGCCCGGGGTGTGCGTGTGAGTCCATGTGAGTGTGTGAGTATGTGTGCAGTGACTACTAGATGCATGACGCAGGAGGACCATGATACCTGCTGTAACAGAGCCGTTGTCACAACGGTACGACTATTTTCCTCTCTCCCTATGACATGGGCGGAATTCAGTGGTTGAGACACACCTGGGGGCGTGGTGATGCACTTCGTTGGTTCTTCGGAGGTGCAGTTTGCAGTGGTGCACGAGGGGGTCGTGGTGTATCTGAGTGGTGCGTGGTGCGTAGCGCGTGGGTGCGTGAGTGCGTGGCTGTGTGGTTGGTGGAAAGCGGGCGCTGCTTCGGCGCGAATCTGAAGGGTAATTTCGTCATGGCGGTAGGGGAACGGCTAGGTAGGGTGAAGCTGTGCGTGTGTGTGTGTGTGTGTGTGTGTGCGTGTGTATCCATGGTCGCCTAAGACGTCTTGGGCTTCGCACGAAGATGCCGCAGTAGACGCGGCTGAGTAGGCTGGCTGGCGAGCTGGCGGCTGGTGCTGCTGTGTGCTGGTCATGCAATTCGTCCTAGAAGCTCTTTCTATTACATTATCGGCCGCTACAAGAACGTAGTTTAAGGTTTGCTCTAAGGAGCGGGAACAAACGAGGTGTGGTGCCTCGTAACGAGTCGTAGAATTTTCGCCAGGGGATCCTGGGGCGTTAGGGGGGGGAGGGGGTCGACTGAGAGGGGGCTGGGGTGCAAAGGGAAGCGTGTGGATGGATGGATGGGAGCGAGCGACAAAGAGTGGGGGCAAATACGTCCTTCAGCCATGCTTGGCACCACCGATGCTGCGCAATCACGGCTTAGAAGCTGAGCAATGCAAGTAATGGTCCCCAAACGGGAGTTTCCGCAATGACGGAAGAATCATACCACTCTGCGCGCCCGCCTCCACCGCCGCCCCTCGCCGCTCGCTTTGGGGGGGATGCTGGAGCTCGACGACTCGGCGATTCGGGCAGCACAGAGAGGGCGGTTACGTGGTTATTGGACATGTCTTACACCGCAACACTGCATCTGCCAGAAGCTAGGCGGCCGACACATGGTGAATCTGACCGGTGGGCAGCATGGCAGCTATGTATACGCTGCACCTCGGTGCATGTGCATATGCGAGCGAGCGAAAGACTGCAGACAAGTGTGATTATGCACGATGGCGTAACCGGCCATGTATGCAGCGAGCAATAAGCGAAGTGTAGGCTGGCTGCCGGTTGGATATTCTCGAATATTGCCAGCCGCAGCCTAGTGAGGCTTAACGGCGTCTAGCGTGCACTACTGCAGGCTGTCATGCATGCCGCTAGTCGACGGGTGAGACCATGCCATGGCCAAAGGGGGGGGGACAGGACAGGCGGATTGCCTGTTCAGGGCGCCAAATTGCGGCAGCGAGCGGCTCCGCGGTTTATCCATGGAATGGGTAAAGTAGTAATGACCACCCATGTGCTAGTGACGAGTGCGCCGCGTGAAGGTGATATCATGGCTCGGCTAAGCGATGATCAGTTGGAGGAGCGAGGGTCTTCTTCGGTGATAAGCCTTTTGCGTGAAACGGTTGCGAGCATGGTTTTGGCCGTGGATGAGGTGGTTTGTACAGTAGCCGAACTCTATGCCATGTGCGACAGAGAGGGCCGTCCCTCTAGAGGTTCCCTGTCCCAGCGCTCAGGGTGCGTGGTCCCTTTCGCTTGGGCTCTGTTGGAGCGGCTAGTGCGGGCGCGGCACACGCTCCTTGTGGCTAGACGGCGAGTTAATAGTTGGAGAAGATTTCGGGGTGGGCGAGCTCGGGCGTCGGGGAGGGAGGGAGGCATGGTGGAGGGATGGGGTGGTGGATGGCAGATGATGGATGGATGGATGGATGGAGAGAGAGAGAGAGAGAGAAACAGAGGGGGGGCTGTGTGTGCGCTCGCTCGTTCAAAGCCAAAGCGCGCGGCTAGGCCTCTTTGGGCGACTCGATATCTCACACTGCCTCTGCCAACACGCTCTCACGAGTAAATTCGCCGTCGCGAGTGCGAGTGCTGCTAGCAGGCAGCATCAACAAGAGCGGTGTCGGTCACGAGACGCAGCGGCCCTGGACGACGTGGCAGCAATACCCGCCAGGCGTCATTCCCTGGTGGTTCCGACGGCAGGCCATTGACCCAAGGCCAAGGACGTCTGTCTGCGGCGCCGCCTTTGGCCCTCACCGCCGTCGCATGTGCACCATGATGCTTCGCCATGGGCGGGCAGGATAGGCGGATGCGTGCGATGCCTGTCGCGGCCACCGTGTGCACTGGTGTTTAGGAAATTAGGTTCGCACACTTGCCGCAAAGTGCTGCCGACCCACGCTGAAACTCTAATATCTCTTGCCTGTTTACGCGTCGCCTCAACCCATTCCACTCTGCACACGCCGTTCGCGCCGACACAGAGATCGGCTGCACACAAGCGCGACTTATCTTCTGACTTATCACGAGGTCGGCGCCGATCTGCAGTGTCATGGTTGCCATGAGATGGGCCTAGCTGCGGCCAACCACCTCCTCGTCCAAACAAATTGAAGGCGCCGTCTAACTGCTCCCAGCTAGCGCTGCTGCTTTTCTTTCGACGACGTGGTGCGAATGCTGTGCGGATTCTGAGGACCCGGCGCTATGGGATAGATCGATCCGGTCGGCGGATGAATAGAACCGATGGACTGTGCCCCCAAACCCAGCATTGCTGTCTGTCTCTGCCGCCTGGCGGGTGCCTGAGCACATGCACACGACCGTTGCCATGTGATGCGCTGTGATGCGAGGCGAGGCGAGGCGAGGCGCGGCGATGCCATATGCCGCCGCTGATCCAGCTGTGGTTGTGGCGAGGCAGAGGGCGTGTGGGTGGGAGAGAGGGGGAGAGGGAGAGAGGGGGAGAGGGAGAGAGGGAGAGAGAGAAAGAGAGGGACGACAGGGTACCGTGTGCTGGCAATAGGACCGTCCAAGCTCCCTCCCTCTCCCTCTCCCTCTCTCGCCTTGATCCCCTCTCGTCTCATCACAACGCCAGCGAAAAAAAAAGATACCACACAAGCCAGCAACATTAAGTTTGGCCTCGACAGATGCTAGTGTGCAATTGCCCACGCAGGTGGACCAGTGCCCACGCACGTCGTCTGGACGGATTCGGAAATATTCCGCCGTGCGTGCTTGGAAAGGCACTACCACTACTCTAGACAAAGTCAAGGCGCAGCCACGGCAGCCAAGGGGGGGTTTCGGGCGCGCTTGGCTTCTGGAACGAGCTCATCCTCGTGCGCGGTTTTGGGATAATGATCTGCATCAATCTGACATTGCTCAAGACGGCTGGCTGATCGTGATCTAGATCTCGGGCAACGACTGGGCACAAAGTATGTCATGGCCAGCGTAGTGCAACCCGACAGACTCCACCTCGACAATGCGTCCTGGGGAAATATATCCATACCGGAAGCTAAAGGCGATGATTCAAACGCATCAATGGAGCATACCACAGCTTCGGTAAAGGGGCGCCCCCTTTGCTCAGATCATGCCGTACCCACGCCGCTTAGTTGGCACCGACGGCCACCGGCAACGCGCATGGGACAGGACAGGACAGCGAGAGAGCGAGAGAGCGAGCGACAAGAAGAAGAAAATGGCACAGGCAATCAGGGCGGAAGCCGAGAAATGCGCTTGCGCCGCCGTTCGTTCAACCGCCGTCCATGCGCCGCCGCGGCCGCCGCCTATCTGCAAGCCCAAAACTCCCCCGTACTCTGCCGTTGGTTCCCCAAAAGGGGGAAATATAGACGACGGCCACAACACAAGCCACCCTTCACCACCGCTACCGCTGCCGTCATCACTAACTCGAACCCGACCACGCACCCCCGTGAAATCAAATACTTGGCTCCCACGCGCACGAAGGATTTGACGTGTTTCGCCATCACCCGCGCCTACCGGCCTCGCCCGCTGACGCCAAATCAAGCTTTGACAACCCGCCTATTAGTCTAGGGGAGGGGGGGGGCCACGCCATGCCGGCTGTCGGCTGCCACCACCCCGACAGCGCTAGTAGGCGTAGCTACGGGAACCGCACCATGCGATAGGATAGGGGAGGAGAGAAGGAGGAGAAGGCCGAGAGAAAGACACCAGAAAGAAGAAAGAAAGACGGCACCCGCGGCGGCGGCGGCGGCGGCTGCCGTAGCCCAAGGGCAGCGAACACCATGGCCCACGCTACTGTATGTACGTGGACATTGATACAGTAAGGTCGTATTATGTTCTACTGTACTAGCAGTAGACACATAAACATATGCACATGGGACGTACAGGTGTAAAGTGTCGCCGGCCGCCTTTGCATGGAACGATGGTTCCGATGCAACGGGCCCAACAAGGTGGCTTGCGCGCCCGACCAGCTGTCTTGACTGCGCATCGATCGCTAACGACCATGTCATATACCGTTGCTGTGTCACTACGTATACGTGTGGTGCACGTGGGGCCGTTATTTTTTTTATGCCGTGTGCACATCACATCACTTTTTTTTTGGTCAGCACGCGTGTTTGTGTTTTGTCCATGTCGAGTCGTGTTATTGTGACTGTTGATCATGCTTTTAGCTTTTACATGGCATGGCGAGAAACAAGACACGCAGAATGCGAAACAAATCTACCTACATACAGGCATGCCGACGTACATATCTAGCCTGTTTCATGGCTGTCCACCAGTCAATTATTCGCCGTTGAAACAAACTACTCTCTGCAACAAATCACGAGGACAACCACCAACACCAAAACATGCGCTGACACACGCAGTGTAAGCAACCATGGTTTGTATTTATCTTCTTTGTGACTCGTCTTCAAAACGCTAAAATAAAAAATAATCAAGCATTCTGACTCTTACTAATTTTTCCACCGTCGTGTCACCACCACCACACACCACACCACACCACTTCCCTCGCTCGCTCGCTCCTCCACTAGCGGCGATACCCACACCCTGAACCGGAAACCCTCTTTCCCACCCTCCATCCTTCCTCCTCCCTCTCCACCACAATCGCGATCGAGATGTCCCACCCCCTTCGATCCGTGGGGGTTTCCCTTCCCTTACCTCCCCCCATCGGCGGGGGGTTGGGTGTACTGCGTGCGCGTTCCGGGTAGCTGCGCTTCCCCCCCCCTCCTCCCCCCACCTACCCTACATATATGTAAGCCGTAAAAAATGATATCAGATAGCCAGAACGCGCCAGAACGAGGGGAACCAAGCAAAGAAAAATCGCGAAAATCGGAAAATCATTTGAAAAAAAAATTAAAGAAAAAAAAAGACCAGATAGCACTAGCCGGTTTCTGGAAGAGTGGGGGGTTGGAGGGAATTGGGAATTGGGGATCGGGGGGGGGGAGGGTCTATGCGTTCCAAATTTTCTGAATGGCAAAGAGAAGAAGGAAGGAAGAAAGAAAGAAAAATTCATTACTTAGGTGTAGGTGGACGGTGCTTTACACACCCGCAACCCCCCCAGCTATACACACAGCTATACTCAGATACGTCCGTACGTACGTACGCACGTTCGCGCACATGGGCACGCGCACCCAAAACGCACGGCACGTATCTCTCTCTGTCGCACTCGCCGTCTCGCTGTCTCGCGCGCGTGTGTGTGTGTGTGTGTGTGTTTGTGCGCGCCCGCGCATCTGTGATCAACACCTCCCCCCCCCTCGTTTTCCTAGCCCAGCACCCCAAAGTCGGGGTGAGAAAAAAGCGTACAGGTACCAGGGGTGTGGGTAATGGACGAGGGGGGGCCAGGGGGGGATCAAACAACAGAAAACCACACACACGCACACACACACACACACACATTCACATTCACACTTACTCGCATACACCAACACAGGCGGACAGACGCGGATGTGACGAGGCTAGTATGTATGTAGACGGATAGGCAAGTTAGTTTAGAAGGTTTGCTTAGCTACTTAGTTGAATGGCTACCTAGCCAGCTACCTAGCTGGGTATGTGAGCACGTTATTTTTACCTTTTGAGGGGGGTGAGCCAGCCCCCTTCCAAAAACCCTATGTATGTAACCTTTTTTATCTTGGTTTCAGCATCCGCCCCTTTGCCCTTATCCTAACCCTACCCTCCGCCTACCCTACCCTACCCTACCCTTCTAGACCACGTTTTTTTTTCAGTGCGAATGTGTGCGTATGTCTGTGTGTGTGGATGTGTCGCTTCTGTTGTCGTGCACAAAGAGCAAGCAGCAATCAATAATTAGAAACATAGAAGAAAAAAAAAGCTAAGCTACATATTTTTTTCCTCCCCAAATCTCCAAGTATCGCATTTTATATCTACCCCCACCAATACATTGTATTTACAATTACAATTACAATCATAGTAGGTTGCACAAGACATCAACTCGCGTTTTCGCTTGGCGCGTCCCGCGAGACTCCAAGTATCGTTACGTACATACATACATACGTATGCATGTAAAAGGTACAAACCTCCCCCCCCCCTCCCCATTCTCAACAACGTGTCTCTCTTCCCGTCCAAGTGCATGTTTCACACGTACCGTACCGCAGGGCTCCTGTAAAACAACGGACAACGTTACTTGTGCCCATGCCCATGCATATGCAAATGCAGATACCAAGCCGTGTATGTGTATGTGTATGTTGATCTTACGTAGTCACGTAGTCTACCTCAACCTCACGCTACCTAATCCTTACTTACTTGACCTTACCTTTGCCTGCCTGGCCCAGGGGTGTGTGTGTTTGTTGCTATTTTGGTGTGACAAAGTCGCGACGAAATGTACATGTGTACATACATACATACATGCAATCACGCATGCGTATATGCGTACATATGCAAGGTTGTATGTACGTACGTATATGTGTGTGTGTTTGTAACATGCAACGCCCGTATACCGTATTTCCTGCATTTTTTTTTCTATTTTTTTTTCGTTTTACCATGGATATAGCCTAGCCAGCCTAGGTACAGTATGGCGAATAGGTAAATCAGGCTGATTTGAGAGAGTCGTTAAATTTTTTTGTTTTTTTGTTTTTTTGTGGGGTGGCGCCGTTGAAAGTGGATTGGTACGTATGTATAATGCAAAACGCGACGATGATTAAGTTCCGGGGGGGGGGAGGGGGGATTCAAAGATAAGTAAGGTAGAGTAAATAAGGCCTAGTTAGAAAGCAAGGCCGAAAACGAATTGAAGAGAGAGAGAGAGAAAGAAAAAAAATTTATTTACAAGTTTGGAGGGAAAAAAAAAACTCAACCCAGTCTCTCTCTCTCTCTCTCGCACACGCACACACACAGAGAGAGAGAGAGACGCACAGCCCAGACGGCAGACATCCGAAAAAAAACGGGATTTACCGTTCGTCTCCAGGCTCAAGGCCCCAAAGCTGATGTCGTGGTAAATGGGCCCACCTTTGTGGGTACCCATCAGCTGATGATCGCTGCCTATCCCAATCAAACCGTTGAAAAAGCCAAGGCGGACAATCCCTACATTTCCCAGCAGCAGCTGTGACCCCCAACCTTCATCCCCCCAACCCAACCCAACCCCTCCCTCCCACCCACCCCCCATCCTTTCATCCCACTCCCCCCCCTAACACCTTGTATGTAGGTCGAACCCTGGATCTTGCTCATTACGTCCGTATCATCCAACTTCGCATGCACGAGCCTGACTCGCTCCCTTCCCCCCTTCGACTGTCTGCGTTTCTCACCCCAGTCTTCGTCGATCTTTTCTCCTCCTTCTGCCTCCGAGCCTGTCTCCGGCTCGGTCCCAGTCCTGCATGTGCATGTCTTGCGTGGAAGCAAACGGCCGCGGCAAATGCTCACTTGGATGTCAGGGTCCTGCGGCTCAGTAACGGTTTCGGTCGTGACAGGCCTCGAGGAATTGGGTCATGGGACCCTCTTTGGGGGAGGGGGGCAGAGAGAGAGGAGGGGGTTTGGCTGACTGGGCAAACACGCCTGTGCCCTCGGTCGGATGCTGCTCTGCTTCGGATGCTGGGGCTGCTCGTATATCTGCTGCCGCCTGGCTTGTTTTTGGAGTAGTCTCAATCTCCTCTGAAGGGGTAAATTTCCCCGGCCATGCCTCTGGCCTGGTGTTGCATGTCGTGTTGCTGACGTCTCCGCTCACCTGGCTTGCGGATGCACCGTGATGGCCTAGCAATCGACGGCTGAATTCATCTTTGTCTGTCATCTTGGACGACCGTGCAGTGCTATCAAGGCTATTCAGCCTTGGGCTGCACGTTAGCCTTGCAGCAACAGCGTTTCCTGCGTCTAGACAACCCGTCCTGTACGTGTCCTCGCAGCCTGTGCATGACGGTTCGCTCGTCCGCTCAGTCTGTATATTGTTCTGTGCGGCCACAGATTGTAACGTCGACTCCACCGGCCTCCCTTCGTGCTCATCAGACGCATCTTGATACGCCGCTGCCCCCATATCCAGATTGTTGAGGTGGGGCTTGTCATGCGACGACTCAGGCTTTTGCATTTCGTCATTGCGCATCGTGGTAATACTTGGTTTTTCGATAGTCGCATTGCTCGCATTTTGCATGTCGTCCTCACGTCCCACTCCAAACCCCGTTCCCGCGCCTTGGTCTTCGTCTGCAGTGGGTCTTGCTTCCTCTACCGCTGCTGTTAACGAGTCTAGGACTGGTGGAGCAGAAAATTTCCGCATCCCAGTCGATGCTTCGTCGAGTATTGGCTCCTCCTCCTTGCGCGATGCCTTGTTACCTTGATTCCGAGCACTTGTCATGCTGGTTGTCTGCGCTGGGCCCCTGCTACATGTTCCCTTGGCCCGTCTTGCCAATCTGGCTGCACGAGCATCTGGTGGAGCCTCGCGATTCTGTTCCAACCTACCGGCTGCATCTCCGGCTGTCTCATCGGACTCCACCATCTCCACAGCCTCAAGTTCATGCTGTGTTGTCGCGACCCCCGGACTCTTCTTCCGTTTTTTCTCAAGATCATCCTCGCTCAGCTCCACCCACTTTGCGCCGACCTTTTTCATTTGCGTGAACCGTAGGAATGTCTGTCCCGACCCGCTAGTGTCCATATACTCCGATCCCTCTGGTGGTGCATTGCGACCCCTGACGTATGCGTCACTGGGTCGATGGTACTCCTCGCTACTACGGTATGTCTCGTGGAACTCGACAGAGTCGGAAAATTTGAGCCGTTTCCGCCCTGGCACAGAATTGGTGCTGCGCGATCGCTTGGGGGATGGGCGGAACGAAAGCGACTCCCTCGTCTCTTGCTGCAGCCAGGGATCGGACAGCTCGCCAGCGGACACAGGAGGTTGGTTGTTTGGCGAATACGACCTTGTACGCACCGTACCATGCTGTGGCTTCTCGTTCCCACCGCCGGATACATCCTCTTCTGGCTGTGCGTCTTCTCCGGTTTGGGTTCTCGCGGGCGCCTCGACCGTCTTGAGCCAATTATCGAATTCCATATGTGCTCTTTTATGATTGTCCCGCGCAAAAAATTTTGTGATTGAATCGCGTTTGTGTTCGAAAGCCGCCCACTCGCTATCCGCAGCTTGCACAGCGTCATAGAGCGCGCTAAACCGTTGGCATGTGCTGCATCCGAAATCCTCTGGCGACAGCACCGGCGTGAGCCCCGTGGGTGTGACGGTCGCGAGAGGCCTGGCGCATGACTTACACTTGACGGACGCGACGTCGCTTGCCATGCGGGAAGGTGTTTGGATCGGGACTGTTATCGATGTCGATGGGTGCAAAAAGGATGATTCAAGAAAACCGCTAGTGATAGCTGTAGGACTCAAGAGCAATGGGAAGCAGGTGCTTGGGGACAAGTACACGCGTGAGTGATATTTTCAATGGGTTGAGGACAGAGTGAAGGCGACTTGATTATGATAGACACGCAATCTGAATCCTCCCGTGACCCCCCAGAGCAACGCGCGACGTTATCAGTACCAACAAAGAAGCGCTATGCCGCGCGACACAACAAAGGAGAGAAATCGCAAATGGAGAGTGCCGGTCAGAGATGATGGCGTTTTGGGTTGTTGATGTCAAAGATGAACGCGACAGCAGCCAAAAAAAGGTTGATTGTCTCGCACACGTCATTCTCGATAATCCTTGTTTGTTTATTTGTCCTCATCGTCGCTTCCACAAACACAACGGCAATGCAATGCAATGCCCAGCGACGCTGTGCACCGGGCCTTGCAGTGTTATCCAGACACTTGTGCGCATAGTCTTGGATGCAGATATCATGACTACAATCATTCTTCAAGTTTGACATGCGGACCGTCTCCCAACACGTACAAAACAGAGCATCCATGCGTTACAGCACGTTGCGAGCATCAAATTGGACTCACAATTTATTCAAGTTCATTATCGTGACTTCATCAGTCATGTCAAATATATGCAGGGCCCTATGCCTCCCGCATAAGTCGACGTATTAAACCCCCTGATGCATTACTCAACTATCAAAAAATTTCTTCTCCACGTCCATGCTCTTCTCTAATTCCTCCTCTGTCATACCAGCAACTTCTAGCCCAAAATGATAATTATGCCACCCAACTTGTCTCTTGTACCTCTCCACATAGCCCTTGGTCATGTCCCTCCATGAGGCGTTGCCCACATCTTTCAGTCGCGTGTCGCCGCTTCCAAGCACCTTTGTCTTCCCATCAAGGCAAGTTTCGACGAATGTAACTTTCTCGAGACCACCGAATGCTTCTTTCATGATCCTGACCACCATGGCAAGATCGGTATGTGGTATAGCTTGAACATCGATGATGAGCTCGCTGAGATGCACCTCGTTTGTCAAAGCGCGCAGTTGGCAGCGCCAGAAATACGGAAGGCCGCCCATATCCTTTTGCACTGGGGGTTGCAGTAGGTCGAAGATCTGATCGGGTGCCAGCCACCGCACCGAATGTAGGAGTGCGCCCCGTCCAAAATGGAAGGCGAGACGGCGGATGTGGGAACGATTGACAGGCCCTGATTGCCACAGGAAATTTGTGGTTCCTGTCAAGCCAAAGTGGAAGACGGTCCGGTGCAGAATGTATGGCTGCAGCGTATCTGTAATGGCGGGGGAAATGCGTAATAGCGTGGAGAGACTGATGGGCGATTGGACACGTTTCGCACGCAGTCGGTAGCTGAGGTCAGGCAAAAGATCGTAGTGTCGTGTTAGCCCGGCGGCCGTCATCAGGATCATCTCTTGCAGCTCTTGAGGTAGCCGGAGAAAGGGGTGAAACAAGGGCTGGATGTCGACCGTGTCTTCGGACGCAGGTCGAGGGCCAAGGGCTTGCGAGCGTGTGGTGAAGGTGTCGTCTGCGTTCTTGAAGACGGGGTTGGAGTCTGGACCGATATTCTTGACGGCGAGGCGGGTGAAATAGAGTTTGTTGAAATACTCTCGGGCAGATAGCCAGCCAGAACCGCAGCGGATGACGAGTTTGTAATAGCCGCTTGGTGGATTGGCTCTGGCTTGGGAGGCCGGCTGGGCCGCGTCATCTTCAGTAAACGCATAAGTGGCCTCGTCCAGATCTGTATACGTGTCCGTGTGGTCGTATGCGTCCATGGGATCCATCGTCACGGTCGTCTTTGCACTCTGCTTCCTGCTCTTGCTCTTCCTGCCCATCTGCGGGCTAAACAGCCTGACAACAACCTTTTTCCTGCAGTCTTTGAAGCTCGAGTCGGTAAGAACACACTGCACACTCTTACCCAAGACCAATTCCTCGCTCCTTTTTGGATCAGGAGGCAGCAGGCTGATCTTTCCTTGGAAATGCGGGCTTGAGTCGTGGCTCATGGACCATTGTTTCAGGTGGCGTATAAATATCCGCCGTTGATGGACATGGATCCAGTGCTGGTTAACCGGGGTCCGGGGAGATCTGGCAAAGGGCAAGGGAGCGTTCCTGGCCGGGGAGATGGCGAGAACGGGTGGGGGAGTCTGTGGTGTTGTGGCGTGACTCTTGTCAATGGCTGCCGGCACGCGAGTCATGGTGAGAGAGTCGACGCGGGAATAAATAGTGGCGATGGGGCAGGTCAGTTGAGACGCGCGTGCATCAGTTGAAACGCCTTGGTTCACAATCGCTGCAAGGCGTGTCTGGTGATAAGCGTCACAAGCGACAGGCACAAGAGCGGCCCGGGGTGGCGTGGCTGTTTGTGGCGGGCAACCAGCAGCAATGGCGGCGTGGGCACTGCAATGCTTTCTGGCCGGGTATGTGGATACGGCGTGTGATGGATGCAAACACGATACGGGAGCGGATGGCGGGTGATGGCAGCACACGAGGCCGGGGGAGCGTTCAGTCCAGTTGACGGCAGTCCAGAGGGCGTCGAGGAGCCGCGCGTGACCGGCACGGTTGAGGGCGGCAACCTCGAAACAAGCGATCTTTTGGTTGAAACAAGATCTGGCCGATGGGAATCGGATGCTCAGCTGTCAACGTCGCCGTCGAGCTTGGGTATGGGACCTAGTCATGTATTGGCATTGGCTCGGCAGTCCCGGTTTTGCTGAGATGCACCATGACGACGGCAGTGCGGAGAAGGCCCATCATCCCCAACGGCGGCCGCTAGTCCCAAAACAGGCAGCACGCGCCACTTGTATATCGTCGTGGACCACGTCCGCTGCCAGCCCTGCTCGCACTTGTGGTCATCACTGCAGCCCGTCGCCTGTCAGTCTCACCACCATGGCTCTAGCGTTGTGCGAGAGAGAGAGAGAGAGGGCACAAGAAGCACTCCATTTTCGAGCGTGGCCAGTATGCCGGGTATCGTGTCCGAAAGCACTCAAGTGCCAAACGCCGCCGCCACGCTAGACATCGCCGTCGACCATCCATCACGCCCTCCCCTCCAGCCAGCCTGCAGCCCGTTCCAGAAGCCCGTTGAAGCCCTTGACGTTGGCCAACAGTCCACCGCTACGTGAGCCCACCGCCCCGGCTACCTTCTCTAGCAGCATGCTTAGCGGGAGGTCTGGACCCTCCTCTTCTCTGCCCTCTTTGCGCGCCTTTTCGCGGCCCTTCTTGACCGCGGCCTCAATCGCAAACATGCTGTCGCTGAGCTGATTCCGCCTGTCCACCTCGGCCTTCTCAGCGTGGTACTGTGTCTGGATGTCGTCTTGCTCCAGGGCAATCTCCTGCCGACTGTTCTGGAGAGCAAGCATCTCCTTGCGCACGTCGGCGTTAGCACGCCGCAAGAGCTTCATCTTGTGGAAGTTTGAGCTTAGCACGTCGTTGGCGTCTTGTAGATCCATCAGCTTCTCGCTTAGGCTCTCCTTGAAAGTGATGGAGAGGTTGATTTCGCTCCGGAGCTCCTTTCGCCTGTCGGCATCTTGGGCGTTTTGCAGCTTTCCTGCCATGCGTCTGAGACGATGGTCGATATTCTCTTCTAGAATCGAGCGCGTGATGTCTGCCGCGGTGATGCCCCGGACCGTCGAGCCCTTGATGCGCATCACTGAAATGGTATGCGTCGGCCCAGTGTACTTTTGACGTTTACGAGGTGGCTTTTCCGTCGATGGCTTGACCCGCTGTGCCAGGGTAGGGGAACATCGCTTCGCCACAGCCCGAGGCGCGGGCTCCACTTGGTCGTCCTCTTCCGGCGCAGGGTCCTCGTCGTCAGCCGAGGCTTCGCGCGTGCTCCATGTTTCCACGGTGGTTTTCTGTTTTGCACGTTGCGCTTCTCCATGAGCAGGAGAAACACCATCAACTTCTCCGTCGGCGGTCTCGCCCATGGAGCCTTGCTTCTTCTTCTTCTTCTGTGTTGGCTTGCGTGTGACTGGTGTGTCTTGCGCCTCGCTCTCTTGAACCCTAGTCTCTTCATTGCGTCTCGGACTTGTGTGTTTAGCTGAAGCGGCTATTGGGGTTCCCTCTTCTACGTCCTCTTCAATCACTCGTCGCGGTCTGCCGCGTGCACGCTTGATCGACTGTGGTGCGCTAACCTGCTCCATAGAGTCTTCGTTCGGTGTTTGCGTAATGGTTGGCTCCGATCTTGTTGGGGATATCTGAGTAGGTTCCACCTGCGGAGATAGCTCGTCGATAGCCATGTCCGTCTCTTCCTGTGGCGTTTGCTGTGACGGCATCTGGCTCCCAACTACACGCGGCGTAGCTACAGCCGCTTGTGGAGAAAGCTCATCTTCACTCCCAGCTTCGGTTGGCGCTGCAGCTGGCGTATTGGGGCTGGTCTTGTTGCGGGTAGCCAAAGACTTTCTCGGCTGCCCGCTTGGAAGTAGGCTGGGCGTTGCGGGGACCGGATCAGTCGACTTGGATCGTCTTGATGTCGAGCGCCGTGACCTTGCTGACGTGGCTCCATTTGCGCCTGCGGTTGGCGTATGTTGGGTGACGCTACCTGGGGACGCGCGCTGTTGTACCGTTGCTTGAGGGGGTGTCCGCTTCATCACGGTAGACCTGGCAAATACCGTCTCGCGCACGCTGCTGGTGCCCTCGTCCAGCACAGAAAGCTCGTCTGGCCCGTTGTCCTGCTCTTGCTGCATGGGCGAGGCGGTGCCCACAACTCTCCTGGCCTTCTCGGCCGAGCGCGCAACCTCATCGCGGTCGGGGCTGAGCTCGTCTTCTTCTCCCACGGCCGCGTCTGGCTGCGCATTTGGCGAGCCCCGCTTTCTCTTGCCCAGCTGCGGGGTCACTGTGTTGTCTTTTGGCGTGCTCGTGCGTTTGGATGCGGTACTGCGCTGAAGCGACGCGCTCCTGGGACGCTGTGCCGAGCCATTTGTGCTCTTTGGTGTGCTCTGGACTGGCGTTTTACGGGGGGATGGCTGAGGAGGAAGCGAGGCTCGTTTGGTGGGAGGCGCACCGAGAGCGCCAAAACTGAAGCCAAAGGATGCCTGGACTGAAGAAGGGCTGCGAGTGTCAGCGCCTGTATGCTTGATTGGATGCCACCAGGGCCATGTTACCCAGCACCGCGCACGCGCTGTTGGCGATGTTCGCGGCGATCTGCAAGACGGTGAGCGCAAACCCGGGAAACACAAGCAGCGTTTTCGCAGGATACATACCGACTGGCGCCATAACGATGGGGGTTGTGTAGCAATTACGGGGGGCACGCCTGCGCTGGTCGCGTCGTCGTCGTGGTGCATCACCGGCAGTGTTGTGAGGGCCGACGCGCTACTCAGCCCATGGCACAGCGCTCGGACTTGGTCACCCCCGCAGCAATTCCATTCGCTGCCCACTTCGCAACACCACCACAGCAGCATTGGCCGTCTTCCAACATGGGCTGGCTGTGGAGTAGCAGCAGCAGCGCAGGCAGCCAAGACAACCTCGATCCCTCTCTCCGCGAATTCCTCACAAAGGAAGCCCCCACGGGCCCCAAGCCTCTACTACCATCTGCGCCGCCCAAAGAGAAGCCTGCACAGGCACAAGCACCCACATCGCCCTCGCCGCAAACCCAGGAACAGACCGAACCCCCGAAGCCCAGGGTCCCCCCGCAGTCTCAATTCCAAGATGGACGCTATGCCCATCTCTGGAAAAACTACACGCCCCAAGACGTCCTCAACGACCGTGGAAAGTCGGAGCAAGACCGGTTACGGGACCTAGTCGATGCGTACAACGACCGCAAGGCCTCAATTGGCCGAATAGCAATGGAGAACTGCGCGCTGGAGTACATGGAGCAATTCGAATGCTTCCGACGGCCCAAGACATGGTGGTCCAAGGGCACACTGTGCGCAGACGAGTCGCGCAAGTTCAACCGCTGCTACGATCTGCAGTCCAAGTTTTTGAAGGCCCTGGGCTACATGACCATGGATGCGCGCACCCCCGAGGAGGATGAGCGCATACAAATGCACGCCGACAAGCTGTACCAGCGCATGCTGCAGCAAGAGGCCGAAATGGAAAAGGCAAAGGCAGAAGGCCGCCCAATGCCCCAATTCGAAAGCGTCTTGTCAAAAAGCAACATTGCCCAAGCAATGGGTGGCCCGTCCCCCACTACCAAGACTGTATCTGCAGCAGAGCCTGGCAACCTGAGTATTGCAGACGAAAATGAAGTTTGGGCGCAAATCAAGCCAGAAGCACGGAAAGAGTACGAGAAGAAGCTCGAGGCTCTGACGCCCGAGGAGCGCGAAATCGAGAGGATGGCCGTGGCTGGCGAGCTGAGAGCCCAGAACGGTGTCGCGAAACAGCTGGAGCAGACTTTCATAGAAGAACGTGTGGCTCGTATGAAGAGGAGAGAAGCTGGCCAAGCCACGTTTGGCGATACCATCAAGACATTGTGGGGATGGGGCTGATGACAGCCAATGCAATGTACACGTACTTTATGTTTTGATATCATGTAACATCACTCACGATACAAAAGGTAGGACCGCATTTGAAGCGGATGATTAGACTGTCACTCTTGCATTGACAAAGACATGATGGACAATGCAAGTTAGAAGATCCCCTCTACGGCTATCCCTACGCATTCTAGTTAGCTATGAATGAAGTGCTCTGCTATGAAAAGATACTTTTCCAGGACAGAGCGCATAGCAGACTACTTTGGTTCTGACAGATGAGGTGCAGTTTCCATCTGCAACTAAACCTAACTAGTACTAGCTTGATAGACATGGGGAACTGAATTGCCCAAGAGTTGACCGAGTGCTTCAAGTCTCTTTGTGACCCAAAGGTACCATCTATTCGACCTTGTTCTTAGGAATTAAGATTTGCTAACTCATAGCCCCAATGGGAACAGTGTCTAGCATACAACGCTGCAACCAACATGGACTACGCCTTGCACTGTCAAACATCACTGTCCCGCCTTCGTAGATCCTGAACCTACAGCATACTCACACAATGCTCTACCCCCAGATCACTAAAAATCCTCCAAACCCCTCAAGCGCACTTAATTCTCCACACCTAATCCACAAACCTCGCTAGGTTCAACATACCCATCCAACGGTACGCCTTCCGCACCACCCTCCAACCCCACAATGCCATCGTCTTCAGTCCCCACACGTGACCTGTCGCTAACGGTATCAGAAATCGCTCTTCTCACCCTCTTGCTAGTCTCGCTAAACGGCATCTTCGTCTGTCTATCATACTACCTAGTAGACCGCGCAGAACGCGCGCAGCCTGATCCTGAAACAGGCGGCACCGAGCTGCTGGTTGCTCGGTTTGAGAGTGAAGAGTGGGCGGATGATGCTGCTGCTGGAGAGCCGCTGCCGTTGTATGCCGAGACGCTAGGGGATTGTCCCCCGGCGTATGCGCATGTTGTTGCGTGTGGGTTTGGTGGCAGGTATGGTGGTGAAGAGGATGTTTATGGGTGAGTATGTGGAGTGGAGTGGTGGTGATTGGTACGTGGGTTATACGCTGAGGTAAATTTAGGTTGCTTGAGGTAGGTTTGTTGGAATGCAGTTGTTCATTATACGCCCTATTTGTCATTCTGTGCTTACAATCGTAGTACCGATATGTCTAGGTTTGTTATGATCTACATAATGTGGGGTGCAGAATTATCGCGACTGTCAACGTGCGTATGGCAAATACCGTTTACGTCTGGATCTCAGTACATAACCAGTTCACGACGCTCAGTCTGAATAGTAAAGCGCGTAGTCCGAGTCGTCGATGATGTCCCTGCAACTGGTCGGACCGCCATCCCAATCATCATCTCAATAATCATCCCAATCATCATCCCAATCATCATTCCAATCATCATCCCAATCATCATACGGGTCGAAGTAATTGCAAGGAGGCACATAATTCCACTGATCCAAAAGCATATTTTGTTCTTGGCTCCACGGAGCCATCGCCCTGTTTGGACCGTGAGGCTGATAGTCGGATCGCTGAGACATTGCGACGCGTTTTTTGGATTCTTCATCGACGAGGTTGCGCCACTGGTAACTTTGCTTCCTGAATCTCTCCCGCAACTCAGGGAGGTACCGGACATCACCGACACAGTAAGATAATATATCCTCTGGAATCGGACGCTAGTTGAACACGGCATACGAGCCGCGATATTCCGCCTTGTACAATCGCTCGCCTTTCTCCTTAGCTCGCTTCCAACAAGCTAGTTGGCTATTGTACGCGCGCAATTCGCTCTCAACGCATTTGGCCAGGCCGTTCAAAAATTTCCGGGATCCGGTGGTCTTTCTGCTTGCACTCTCCATAAGCTGGACGTCCTCGACCCCCTGCAACGCCACGCTGAAATGCGCAAATAGCGCATCTGAATCGTTGCGAACGTCGAAAAACACTTTTGGAATCTTTTCGTCCTCAAGGATATCTTTTAGCGTCGTCCGTTTGGCACCGGCAGTGTTGAACGCTTGTGCGCCCAGCGTATGCACATCGAGTAGGTAAACGCGTTTGGTCGGGATGCCGGTATCAATTAGGAGGGTAAGGATGGAAATGGATCCTTCACGGCAGAGGTTTACGCCTTCGAGGTCTATGTACATGGTTGGCGAGTACGGAACTGGTGGTGCATGGCGGACGACGAGCCAGTCGACCAAATCACTGATTCGCTCCGTAGTGTTTATGATTTCTGTTTCAATGCCCTTCATACTTGGTATGTATATTGTATCACTATGAAAGTGTAGACACGAAGAGGGAAGAGGGCAGACTTGGTTGGAAATTGTTACTTATGTGTAGCAGTCTTTGCAAGCCCGCAGAAGCAACGACTTAAGTTGAGCCAGAGCAACAAGCCACTGCAGCGGCAACAGCAATGCACCACCAACGGAGAAAAAGCAACCGCTGACTATATTAATCTATCGATGAATGAGGACAGCAGATAGCAGAGACAACCAATGACTACACAAAGTTTTCTTATCACACAGCTGCGCACCTACATGTGTGACACCATTCTTACATACGCCAAGCACGGGAAATGTGCTACAAGGCAGTGAATGGTTTCTTGTCATGATACAACTGGCCTTGTCGAAAGCGGGGTATGCAGCTCGATAAATCCTTTGGTAGTTGTCGCACGCGTAGGTGCGGGGTTGTATAGCCTGAAAGAGTGTGGTATACGGAGGAGTTTGTATCTTTTCGAGTCCCCACCTAGCCGCACTGCTTCACAGAATAACAGTACTTCAACGTAAGTAATGTAAGTTTATAATTACTTAGACTTTTATGTTAGTTTATCATATGTAGCACTATCAAAGCCTGTATATGAAATTATGATCTTATTATTAGAGGTAATATGAATAGCAATCTTAACTCATGAATACTAGATAGGGACCTAGAAATACAACTTCTCTTATATAGCTATCACTTATTCTTATTAGGATAATAGATTCTTATTACCATTGCAACGACTTATTGCTCCCGTGGCCTTGCAAAGGCTGCGAAATAGTTTAAATACATATTTATCGAAAGGATAATAAAGCGTGATATTTCTACAGAATTCAGCCTGCTCAGACGTCAGCTGTGATAAGCGTGCACATGCGCGTGGTTAAGTCACCATGGTCTTGCATACACAGAGCTTCTTCGAGAACAATAACTTCTGCCGTTGCACGATTGGAGCAGATGAGCGACCCAACCATACCCAATCAATAGGTAGCTTGTAGTTATCAGTAGTGGTAGCATGTAATCCCTCGTTACAGAGCAACGCGCGGTGGAAAGCTACGTCAACTCCACGAAAGAAACGGTCTCTGTATCGACTGCATCCGATTGAGCACCACGGCCACGAATCATGTTCACAGGACTAAGCATCAAAGCAGCCTCTGTACGAACGCATCAAAGACCGTCTGGAGCAAGCTAGAGTCAATATAATTGCTAAAAAAAATTAGGGCAAATCTGTAGGCAACACTGCGCTGGCTCAGCCTTACAGCCAGAGGCATCTTCACCACTGACTAAAAGTATGTGTTGACACCAGGCCTAGCAGTGAGCGGCCAAACTGTTCCTGTCACCGAATTGTGAGCCATGTCTGTCTCCTGCTGTACCTGCTGTGAGAGATCTGCCTATTTTGTCTTTTGCATACCACAGAACTTGTGACGTACTCCCTCAATAAGATAAAGCGATATCCGTTCACTACTTAGTATATGCATTGATTGCGGTGTAATTGAGAAGTACAGGGAGGCGGTAGGACAGACGAAGGATCAACGGCGGGTCTGCGGAGCTGTAGGGCGGCGCGATAGCGTATCTCTATGGCATGTAAGCCTTCGCGTTAGCTATAGCTGTACGTTACGCTTCCTTCTAACGTTGCACATTGCACCATGGCCGTATTAGAAGCGGGTTGTTGTTTGGATGCTGGGTGTGTTTATCGACACAAACCTATTCTTTATCCGAGCTGATCTTCTGGTGAAGTGGAGCGTCTAGAAAAGCGCTACACATCCACTCAAGTACTGCTATATTTACAATATTAAAAAGTATCTATAGCGTCTTGTTACGTTCAACTTTATCGATGTATTGTTACAAGTAATACCCTTCCTGCTTCGCGTAAAACCATAGAATTATAGAATATAAAATCATAGCGACTTATTACATGCGGTGTTGGCTATATAGAAATAGACGTTATTAGATGTTTTGAAAACATTCCCTGAATATTGACAGACTCAACCGTGAGGTTTCTATGGACATGTCAAATTTCAGCCGTCAAGGCCCCTTGATTGGTGGCTGTGGATAACATCTGGAATGGAAGGGAGATGCAGCACAAGTCCTTTTACACGGGATGCCTTGTGGCTTTGCATCAGGGGTGAACGGTCATGTCTTCATTGGCACGGAAATCCACCGAACCTTATGGAGACAATAAATTGCTTTTCTCTCTCGAGTTCACAAGGCAAATTACAGTACAAGGTGGTTGAATTCAGCCCACGCCTTTATGTGGGAATAATCTCTCGTAATATGGCCGGGCGAGATCCACACGACACCCAGCTCTTTTGAAAAAGCATTTCAGGCAATAGCCAAAGCAAGATTAGACGAAAACGGGAACCAGCGTTCGGGATGACGATCTGTGTTTCGGAATGTGCTTATTGGCGCGAAGGCTCATGGTCTGGGGCACGCGCCAGCAAGTACCATGTATATGCACCTTGTTCCCACCACGGTTGCGCAAAGCTTTCCCATATTCTCATTGATTTCTCAACATGAGTCTTTCCTACAGCTATACAGCTATCTTGCATGAGGTACGCCTTGCATTGGACCCGTTACGCCCGAATACCTTGACATCGCCTTCGCCTACACCACCGCCAACAGCCATGGGATACTTTCAGCGCTTTTCCACTTTCCCGCCTTCACCCACCCCATCGACCAGTTCCAAGGCATCTTCAACTACTTCCGAAACCAGCACTTCCGACACGCTTCTAGAATCAAAAAGCTTCCTCTCCGTCTTCAAGACAAACACATTCCCCCTTTCCAGCAGGAAATCAACAGCTGAGCTTCTCCCAACCGCACCTCCCACGCCACCACTGAATCCCGACGACCAACTCCACGGAATCGGCCTTTCGTATCGCTTAGACGCAGCCGCGGCGCCATTCGCCGCCAAAAGAAGCAACACCCTCCCTACATGGCGGCGCCCAAGCCCTGCAGCCGAATACGCAGCAATGCCCTTGCAACGCCGCGAAGCCGCCCTCGCCAGAGTCAATAAACTCCGCTCGCGCCTGAATCTCGCGGAGAAAAACCTCGACAGTAGTCCCCGAATCTGGAAAACAAGTCAGCAACCGGATGATGATGATGATGATGATGATGACGCTGGCACCGCCCGCCACGTCACGCACCCGCCAACAGGGAACAAGCAAGCATACCGCCGCCAAATCTTGCATACTAGCGCTATTGAACTGCCACGACATCAGCAACAACAACAACAACAACAAAAACAAAAACAACAGCGGATCCTTGATGTAAACAATAACATCAGCTATTACGCTACCGTGCCGAAAGCCCCCGCCAAAAGATCTTTTGTCCAGCCGCTTCAGCCTGCTTTTGTCGTGTGAAGCCTATTTCTTTTTCCTTTGCATAGTTACTTTTTTCAATTATCATTCTAAAGACGAGGGCAAAAAAAAGGAAAGAAGAGAACGAAATAGCGACATTTTTTTTCCAAAATCCGCTGCGTTGGCATGTGTAAAATCACTTTATAGAAACTATGAGGAGGCTTCGTTAAAGAGCCATGTGGAGACGAGAAGGAAGAAAGAGATGGGGGAAAGAAGACATGTATGTGCATTGCGCTAGAAGAAACGGGACTGTACATGTGGAAAGTATATTACAAAGAGATGGATGGATGGACGTGAGAGAGCTTTTGGCCTCTTTTTTTTTCCTTTTTCTTTTGTATTTTGTAATTCTGCTTATTCTTATTCTTAATCATTTTCTTCTTCTGATTTTTTTTTCGAGTATTCTTTCCCTTACCGAATCTCAGCACAACAAACAAACAAACAGATAAACAAACAACGGCTGATGCTGACTGTACGGCCTAATTCCCTCATCTCCTTCATCTTCTCGTTCTTCTTCTTCTTCTCATCATGGGTATTATAGATGGAGAGAAAGAGGCCGAGCGAGGCGTAAGGGCAACATTACACCTCACCATGCTTGCTTTCTTCTCCCCGAAATCGTGCATTCACGAGTTTCTGTCATGATACAGAGTCGCATTCGACCATTGTTTCTCCTTCCTAATCTTTTCCCTGTTTCTGCTCTCTCAAATAGTCTAGAAGGGCGTTTTTTTTCATTAGTAGACTGTAGATTGTAGAAGTTATGGTTAATACACGAGCATCCACGAGACGTTTCTCGCGTTCTGAAACTGCTGGCTCACCGGCTTCGTTGCTTTTCTTCTTCTTCTTCTTCTCTAGATAACATCATGGCTACTACTGGATCTTAAGCCTCTGGGATCTTGTCAGTATCTCCGGCTAATACATGACAGCGGCAATGCAGGCAGTGTATGTCTTGGTAAAGCAAACAGCGAGGAGACTCAGGCCTGGGGAAGAAGGCATGGAGCAAACTCCACTAATAAGTATTTACAGTACTTCTTGATTATTCATACAACGCGTAAAATCGTTCAGCCTCTTCATTTATAACATGGCCAAGTCAAAAGTGTTGAGCCCATGGTATACGTGATACGTGACGCCGCCTTCAAAATCACCACGCAAGATGCTCATCCCTCAGCCTACGCCCTCCGCTCTCCACTTCACCCACAGGCCCATCATCCTCATCCGCATTCTCCATGATCGCAATCACAGGCTCCACACTATCTTTCAAAGCCGCCAAACGGCTCTTCTCCTTGACTCTGGAATAAAAAACCGGACAATCGCGGCTATCGCACCGGATCTCTTCGTTCCATGCTAGATTCGCGCATCGTCTGCACATGGCTTCTACTTCGTTTACCCTCGTCTCGCTGGTCCAGATGCGGTATTTGAGCGCTAGGAGCGAGTGTGCTGGGCGCTTGACGCACTTTGCGCAGAGTGGCAGCATGGCGTAGGCGCTGAGGAACGATGTGGACGGGGGAGGAGTCAGTTTTGCACGGCAGACAAGACAGTTTGAGGATCTCATGTAGCTTTCCAGTGTTTTCCGAGAGGAGTTGCCGCCGCCTCCTCCAAAGAAGGCATTGGTAGTATCGTGTTTCGGGGCGACGGGAATGGAAATGTTGCGTATGCGTTGGATCTTGGGCATCTCGTCGTACCACTGCCGGACATTGGCACCCACCAGGTTGAAGATGCGTTCAAGGGGTGGGATGAGGTTCTTGGAGATGTAGTACTCTGCGTCGAGCTCGATATGGTCATTTTGGAGTAGCGTCTCTGGGCTCACGCAGCGGTCGATGAGTCGGGATCCTGGCGCGCCGGTGATAACGACGTAGGGAACTCGTTCGCCATACTGGGGCTCTGCACGCGGGTCGACGAGCATCCGTTTTGTAGCGATGAGGGCACCAGGTGGTGCATGGCCTTTGTCGGAGTAGGTACCTAGCTTAACTTCTTTGGCAAAGAGAAAGTCTTGAATGCTGATGCGGCCTTCCATAATCTTCGAGCATTGTTCTTGGAAGTAGCGTTTTACTTGGCTGAGGTCTGCGGTTCGGAAAAGAAGTTTCAGCGCCTTTTCCTCAATCTTCTGTTCTGCCGGTGTGCCGTCTCGACGAACGGTTTCGATGCCTTTTGCGTCAAATTCTGGCTCTTTCTGGTTTCTGTGCTCGTACTTGAAGCCGACGTAGCGTTTTTTGGCGATTAATACGCAAGGATGGTACACCTTCTCGAATTTGAGCTTGATCGGTCGCGGATTCGCAGCGGTGATGGCAGCAGCAATCTCCTCGCCGATAGTAAACGCTTGGTCCTTTGTGCGCCCTTTGAGATGGATGAAGAGCGAGTCTGTGTCTCCATAGACCACTTCGGCACCCCATTTTTCTGTAGCGTGGATGATTGCAATGGCCTTCTCAAGCGTCTCGCGGCCAGTTTGAACAATGCTGTCGGCAATTTCAGAGCATGGCATGCGCCCCGAGAAGGAGGCGGATGTATAGCCATAGGTGACGTTGGCCAGAAGCTTCAACGCCAACTGCCTGTTGTTCAGCAACTTTTGAAGTGTCCTGTCGTCCTTGTCCTGTTTCATTCCACTCTTGACCATGACCCGGGTCTCTAAGATTTCACCAAGCATCTTCGCTAGCAACGACTTTCGCATCTCTGGTTTGACGTACATCATTCCATTTGGCGCGATATTGATATGGTCCTTGACCAGCTCGAGTAGTTGTGGTTCGCGCCTGAAGTCCATAAAGCCCAACTTGTTGCGACCGCGCCAGTTGACGACACGTCCAAGACAGGTTGAATAGCAGTAGTTGTACGCTATCATTACACTCGGGTATAACGATTGGAAGTCCAGCACCAGTACTGGGCTCGAGTAGAAAGCACTCTGAGGTTCCATAACCAGAGGTAAGCACTCCAAGGCGTTCTGTTGACCCACCTGCTTCCTGCTTGGCGAGATGAGGATGAAGTTTTCCGGCTTTGCAATGCGAAACATGGTGGACTCTACTTTGAACTGCGAGCCTCGAGAGATGACTGCAAAGAAGTCAATGCCAAGTAAGCGCGCTTGTTCGCTAGTACGCGGTACAATGTCGTTGGCCTCTAGAAGGTCAAGGTTCAGTTGCACGCGAGTAAGAAAGTAGTCGAGAACTTTGGCAAGATCTCGAGGCTTCCCATTTGTGTACCACATGGTGAGGTCTGAATGCTGGTAGTGCGGAATACGCTTGTGAAGTAGGTGGAATACCACATTCTCCATAGTATATTGCAGCAAGTTGAGCTCTCCACGCATGGCTCTCCAGATATTGATCATGTGCCGACCAGTGACTTGGATAGTGGATGTGTGTGTAAAGCCCCAGCGATCTGCTTCTTTCCCAGATTTTGTATACGACGGTGACTTCATCCTGCTAATCTCATCGCAGAAGTTGTATTCATACTTCATCCTAGCGCGCTGTATGAGGTAGCCCCAAGAACTATTGTGCACTTCATATCCCGTGAGGATATCTGGGTCGAATTGACGGACAATATCGACTATACGATTGAGGAGGTCCAGCTCATCCTCCTCGTATTCAACCTCTACTGGAACCTGCTTGGCGATGCGCATAGCGATGCCATCTTCATCCGAAAAGCATAATATACCTCTGCGTGGCCGGTCGGTGGTCGCGTTTTCTTCACCTTGGACGCTCCAGAAGACACACTGGATCTCGTCCTCGGCTGGATCCGGTACCAGGGATCCTCGAGAATTTACATGGACTTCTAAGCTCATGATGCTCATGTATTGAGATTGGTGCTTCACGCTAGTTGTTTTACGGTTTTGCGAATACTTGAAGCCATGTGGATTCTTTTGTGTTGGACCTTCGATTTGCGAGAGATGACTTACGGACTCGATCGTGTGACGTGTAGGTTCAGGCGGATGTTTTGTCTTCGTTTTGGCCTTTGTCAACTTATGCCGTTTGGTCCAGTCTTGTACTTCCTTGAAGGAGGGTGGAGGTTTGGAGAGTTCCCAATGACGCAAGCTGCAACGTTTGGATCTTGCTTGATACGATGCAGCTTGTTTTCTCTTATCCATTACAACCGGAGGATACTCTCCGATGTTGGCGAGTGATGCACCCACAGGGTCGAATGGAGGAAGGTACGGCAATGTTGTACTCTGTAACTTGAATTCCCTGCCCGCATACTCACGAGGACGATCTGGGACGTCTTTCTCGTCGCTGTAATAAGCCTCTTGGTATATCACAGGCGGGAGCCCAGCATGCATCATCGTGCTTTCGACCAGTTCGGCAGCTGGCGGTAGACAGCCGTAATATACTGTGAGGCGAGAGTGCCGACAAGACTGGTCCAGCTTCCTTACTAGATCTGCGGCTTGTGAGTGAGCCTTTGACGCAGTGCTGCTAAGCAGCATAGGCGAAGTCTTTTGATGCGTCCACGGGGTTACGGGAGACCGTTGTGAAGCTCTGATGTTGAGATGCTTAGGCCCAGGTGTCTTCGGACCCTCTTGGGAGTTGGAGTAACCTGACTGGCTCAAGCGATGCACAGTTTCAGGTGCATTCGGATGCTTCACTACTGGAAACGAAAATGTAGTAGGCCCTCCGAGGCCTTGTGCTTTGATACTTGCTTGTGAAGCCTGAGCGGCTGGAGGTGGCTCTTCCCAGGAACTCTTCTGCTGTTCGCTCGCCATTTCAGTGTTGTCCTTGCCTACAGCGTTACGAAACGGTATCAGTCGGGCGCTGCTTTTCTTTTCTTCCATAGTTCGCCGACGCTTGTTGTATTCTCCATCAGTAGGGTCAATGCGTCGCTTGCGCATGGTATCAGGGCTGATAGAACTTGATGGTTCATCCTCGTCGCTGGCATCAACCAGATCGATGCCTTCGTCAACAAGTGCATTGTTCTTCACAATTTCATCAGAGCCTTGTAAGAGTGACATGGTCAGGGGGTCCATCGAGCATTCCTCAGTATCAGTATGGTGTTCCATTTCTGCTTGATCTCGGCCATGGCAGTCATCCAGGACAGGATCATCATACTGATACCGCAACGGTGGTTCTAGCTCGTCCGACGATGGCTCAGCTCCACCCAAAGCATAGGCGGTATCTTCTTCAGCGCATTCATCTTGGTTTTCATCATCCGGGAGCCTTTGTGTAGATAAGACCTCGGGGTATAGATCTTCAATGCTTTCTGCGGCGGTCTTGATGCGGTCTTGATCTTCAGGTGATTTTACGAATGTATCGAAGCTCACTTCACCCCTTTCGTGTTTTTCCTCTTTGATCAAATCCTCAACGAGCTCCCTATACTCATCTTCGTGTATCCATCCAAAAGTTTTAGTGTCTCGCGTGTCTGCTGACATGGACACGAGCACTTCGGGAGGAAACGGAGTACCTGAGGGATCGGTAATGCCCATGCGAAGTTTTCGTCGACGTGTTTCGTCCCTCCAAAGGCCAGCCATAGACGGTACAAACTTGTCGTCAGGATTGTGAAGCATCTGACTTGATCGCTCTAGAAAATCGTGGTGAATAGGGCGATATTGTAATTCGTGCCGATTGAGGATGTCTTGGACACAAATGTCCACTTCAAGCGTACAGTGGCTTTGACGTGGATATTGGTCCTCATCCGCCATGAACTCGTCTGGGATGGAGGCATCATGCCACCTATGTACAGTAATGTCCACCTCATCGCTGTCAGGAACAGGCCCTCGGAACTGCACTTTGGCGCAATTGATGTAGTCGCATCCGTACAAGTTGTAATCGCACATCCATTGCAGCAGGTACTGTAAATGGCTTTCGTATGGCTGGAATACTCTGTTCAAGATGGCGCCTTGGTGCAGGAGGTCGGCAAATCGGGTCATGTGCATGGGATTGAGCATGTAGACCTTGAGGAAGACCTTGTATCCAACGTTGTATCCAAAGAAAGGCACACCCTTGACCAGCGAAATGTGGCCAACGTAAATTGATTTTGCATCGTAGGCGTTGCGTCGATAAGTGGCGGCAAGGGCATGGTCGATTGAAGCGCGGAGGTCCAGGATGTATGAATTGACTGCGCATTGTCAGTAGGGCGAAACCATGTCGAGCATGGGTTCCGCATACCAACATCTGGGTCCAGGCTCCCATTGTACTCCAAATACAGATAGGGAAGCGCGCCATGAATATGAGCGCACACCTTCTGTCCCGTTTCTGTTGCACCGAATGCTCTAATGACTGGTACTTGAGGCGCGCCCAACCTACCAGCGGGCCCAGGATTGCGGCGGAGAGGAGGGTCGAGATCGGTGGGCGGCGCCTGGTAGTTGTCGATGCAATTCAGGCGAAAGCGAAACGTCTCCATGACGACACGGCCAGGGTGCAGGGAGAGTGTCGGAAGCAAGAGTCGTGCATTTTGTTCGAGCTCATCCCAAGGCGCAAGTGAAGATTGCGCGCTACTGAATAGTTGGTGGCGCAAGGGTGTCGAGGCCGACGCGGTCCACGACAAACGCGAGTCGCGTGGTCCCGTGAGAGCTGAGATCGCCGCTGCAGCCCTACGACGCTAGCTCTCCACTTTCGCCGCCGGAGACGGAAAGCTTCAACCACCGCCGACCTCTCTGATCGCTCACCACGTCTTCGGCATCCCGCATCACCAAAGATGCCGCCCTCACAGCCCAAGAAGCCTGACGTGTCCGCTGCCGCCAAAGAGCGCAACGAATACATCCCCTCGTTCATCTCCAAGAAGCCCTTCTATGCCGTCGACGAAGATGGCGAAGACAACACGGATTACCTCGAGCACCAGCGTCTCCAGAAGCAGGAACAAGACTCAAAATGGTACGATCGCGGCAAGAAAGCCGGTCCCGCGGCAACAAAGTTCCGCAAAGGCGCATGCGAGAACTGCGGAGCCATGACGCACAAGAAGAAGGACTGTTTGAGCCGGCCGCGCAAGGCTGGCGCAAAGTATACGGGCAAGAACATCGAGGCAGATGAGGTCGTCCAGGAAGTTCAGTTGGGATTCGATGCGAAACGCGACCGCTGGAACGGGTACGATGCGTCCAACTTCGAGGAGGTGATTGAGGAGTACAACGCCATGGAGGAAATGCGCAAAAAGGCAAAGGAGGCAGAGAAGGGCGACAAGTCGGACAACGAGGATGACGGCGACAAGTACGACGCCGAGACCGACATGGGGCGGAAGCAGGCCACATCTACACGGAACCTGCGGTTACGAGAGGACACTGCAAAATACCTTCTCAATCTTGATCTCGATTCGGCCAAATATGACCCCAAGACGCGTTCCATGGTCGACAGCGGCGCGACAGCAGACAGCGCAGCCCAATTGGTGGCCGAAGAAGGCTTCATGAAGGCATCTGGAGATGCCGCAGAGTTTGAAAAGGCACAGCGGTACGCGTGGGAGACACAGGAGCGCGGAGACAAGAACAAGCTTCATCTGCAGGCCAACCCTACATCTGGTGAGGTCATGAGGAAGAAACAACTCAAAGAGGCTGAAGAGGCAGCGGTCGCCAAAAAGAAAGCGCTGGCTGAGAAGTACGGAACGCAAGAGAAGTTCACCAGCGACACACTGCGCAGGACGGCCGTCACAGAAAACGAGCGGTATGTCGAATACGACGAGCGAGGCGCCATCAAGGGCGCACCAAAGGTGAAGGCAAAGTCGAAATACCCAGAGGACGTGCTGCTCAACAACCACACATCTGTCTGGGGCAGCTGGTGGTCCAACTTCCAATGGGGCTTTGCTTGCTGTCACTCGACGGTCAAGAACTCATACTGCACGGGCGAGGCAGGCAAGGAAGCCTTTGAGTTAGCGGATCGCATGCGAACGGGTGCTGATCTCGACGAGGTTCCAAAGGAGATTGCATGGAAGGAAGAGGAAGCGCTTGAGGAGCATGTCCCCAATGCTCCAGACGAAGCCAAGAAAGCAAAGGCAGATGCGGCGAGTCGGAAACGAGCCCTCGACGAGATGACTGGGCAGGCAAATGAAGAGGAGATGGAGGAGTATCGCCGGAAGCGTACCATGGCGGCAGACCCTATGGCGGCATACCTCTCCAAAGGCGGTAAAAGTGAGGCGATTTGAGTTGTCCGATGGCACCACGTTGTCATGGGGCGTTTGTTGTGTAGCGGTAGCATTGCATGGCGTTTATACCCTGGGGTCGCATCGGAGCATATCAAGTAAAATTGACACAGGCGTTCCTGATGATGGTTGCGCTGGCCACGCGTGATGAGTATGGTTCAAGGGCTCGGGTAGATGATGCAGGCCTATTCGGCGAGCATCTCACCCGCCCTCCATTGCTAGGCTGCCAGCTCAGAGCCGGCCATGATTGCGCATGCAGCCGCGTATGCGTTGTTGGCCCGGCGCGAAGGCAGCCGTTTACGTAGTATGGAGCGCATGTATGCCAGGGATGCACAGCCCATGCGGAGAAGGGTTCACGGGCAAAGGCGATGACGAAGCGCCAAGGAGCACGAACCACCCTCGTCGGGTCGAGGCACAGCCAACCCAACTTGGGTACGAGAGCTCCTGGTAGTCGACTAGACAGCGAAACCCAATAACCAGGCCCCACTACCTCTCTCGCTGTGCCTGTGCCTTTTCGCTCCTTTCTTCACTCTAACACTACGTCTTGCGTCTCCCTGCCTACTTGCGATCACCAACACGTAGCTTGCCAGGGAGCTTATACGGAGCAGCATGGCGCTCTACGGAAGCTCGCGCAATGTCGACATGGGCAAGTAAGTGCTGTGGCGATCAGGACTGCCAGAAAGACCCTCACGGCGGCGGCTGCTGGGCTGGCGACTGACCAGGGCTAACAAACATGTCTAGGCAGGAGTCGGAGCTTTCCATTCACATTCGCAAAGCAACCAGCATCGACGAGGTCTCTCCCAAGCGTACGTGCCGCGCACCTCCGCACAATGTCAGCAATACTCATGTACCTGCGCAGGAAAACACGTGCGAGCATGCATCGTCTACACGTGGGACCACAAGAGCTCGGCCTCGTTCTGGCAAGGCATGAAAGTGTAGGTCGAGTTTGCGTCTGGTTGCTCTGCGCCGTCGCGCCGCTGGGGCCTCGCGCAATGTTGACAGCGAGTACAGGCAGCCAATTCTTGCCGACGAGGTGCAGACGTTCAAGGCGCTCATCACCGTCCACAAGGTCCTTCAGGAAGGCCATCCCATTGCTCTCAAGGAGGCGCAATCAAACACCAGCTGGATCGAGAGCTTGTCGCGGGGCTCGGCCGCTGGCGAGGGCATGCGAGGATATGCGCCACTCATTTCCGAGTACATTTACTATCTCCTGGCCAAGCTTGCCTTCCATCGGCAACATCCAGAATTCAACGGTACGAGAGGCGGCTGCGCTCTCGAAATGGCTGCCTAACATAGAACAGGAACTTTCGAATATGAAGAGTACATCAGTTTGAAGTCGATCAATGACCCCAACGAAGGTTACGAGACCATCTCCGACCTGATGACCCTCCAAGATCAAATCGACGCCTTCCAGAAACTCATCTTTTCCCACTTCCGAAGCGGTACGAACAATGAATGCAGAATCGCTGCGCTGGTACCATTGGTTCAGGAGAGCTATGGTATCTACAAGTTCATCACCAGCATGCTTCGCGCCATGCACACGAGTAAGTCCTGGCATTTTCAGCTGGCCTGTGACCTGACTAAACTGTATAGCTCTTGGAGATGACGAGGCACTTTCGCCCCTGCGTGGCCGATACGATGCACAGCACTACCGTCTTGTCAAGTTCTACTACGAATGCTCGAACCTCCGATACTTGACCAGTCTTATTACCGTACCCAAGCTACCCCAAGAACCCCCAAATTTGTTGTCTGAAGACGAGAACGCACCCGCCTTGCCTGCACGACCTAAAAATGAGAAGCCTGAGCCCGAGCGAGCGCCTGCGATCGATCCTGAGCCTATCAACGAGTTCTGGAAGGATAACCAGAGAAGGCAACAGGCAGAATATGAGGCGGAGCAGCAGAGGCTACAACGGCAATGGGAGGAAGCCCAGCAGCAGCAACAACAGATGCAGTTGCAAGCACAGCGTGAGTTTGAGGAGCAACAGAGGCTTCAGGCTGAGCAAGCTCGCTTGGCGCAAGAGCAGCTCATGCGCGAGCAGTACCAGCAACAGACTCAGGGTCGCCTTGCTGAGCTTGAGCGCGAGAACCTGAATGCACGCGCCCAGTACGAGCGCGATCAGCTGATGCTGCAGCAATACGATCAACGGATGAAGGCTCTCGAAGGAGAGATCAACCAGATGAACCAGAACTTCCAGCAGCAAATGGGTTCTCGAGATGACCAAATACGGGCGCTCCAGGAACAGCTCAATACCTGGAGGTCAAAGTACGAGTCACTGGCTAAGCTTTATTCGCAACTGCGACATGAGCACCTTCAGCTCCTGCAAAAGTTCAAGACGGTGCAACTCAAAGCCAACTCTGCCCAAGAGGCCATAGACGCAAGAGACAAGCTGCAGCGAGAGCTCAAGACCAAGAACCTAGAGCTGGCTGATATGATCCGCGAACGCGACCGCGCGCTCATGGACAAGGACCGCCACACTGGAGGTCATCGTGAGGAAGTCGAAAAGCTCAAGCGTGAGCTTCGTTCTGCATTGGACCGTGCCGACAATGCTGAGCGTGGCAAGGGCTCCGAGCTATCTGCAATGCTTTCAAGGCACAACCGGGAGATTGCAGACCTGGAGGAAGCGTTACGAAACAAGACACGCGCGCTGGATGACATGCAGATGAAGTACCGCGAGGGCGACTCTGATCTGGAACGTCAACTGCGTGAAAAGGAGGAAGAGCTCGAGATTTTCCGTGCCGGCATGGACCAGACCCTGCTAGAGTTGAACGAGCTGAAACTCAACTCGAGCACAAACGACAATGTCCTGGACGGTCATCTGGATACTCTGATCCAAGACAGTCTCCAAAAGATCAACGACATCATCGACTCTGTCCTGCAAAGTGGTGTACAGCGGGTTGATGATGCACTGTATGAATTGGATTCTCCTATGCAAGCTGGAAACCAGAATGCAACTGGTTCATACGTGCTCTCGCAAATTGAGAAGGCGTCAACATGCACCATGGAGTTCTCAACCGCGTTCAATAACTTCATTGCCGATGGACCAAACGCCAAGCACGCCGAAGTCATCAATGCTGTCAACAACTTTGGTGGCGCTATCGTCGATGTGCTCGTGAACACCAAGGGATTGACGCGCTTCGCCTCCGATGAGAACAAGGCAGACCAGCTCATCAACGGCGCGCGAGCCTCGGCAACTTCGACTATTAGGTTCTTCCGCAATGTCCAGTCGGTGCGCCTGTACGATTTGGACGCTGAGCAGAAGATCAACGTTGTCATTAATAACAGCACGGAGGTGGTGCGCAACCTGCAGAGTCTGTCCAAGCTTGCAGATGCATTCGCACCCAAGAGCAAGATTACCAATGCTACAGGTGATCTTGGTGACTTGGTCGATAGCGAACTGACCAAGGCTGCCAACGCCATTGACGCAGCTACTGAGCGTCTATCTAAGCTGATGAAGAAACCCAGAGACTCATACTCGACCTACGAGCTCAAGATCCACGACTCGATTCTCGAGGCTGCCATTGCCGTCACAAATGCCATCGCGCAGCTCATCAAGGCCGCAACGGCTTCGCAGCAAGAAATTGTGCGCGAAGGCCGAGGCAGCATGACCAAGACTCAGTTTTACAAGAAGCACAACCGCTGGACCGAGGGACTTATCAGTGCCGCAAAGGCTGTCGCTACATCCACAAACATGCTCATCGAAACTGCCGACGGTGTCATCTCCGGCCGCAACTCGCCCGAGCAACTCATTGTCGCTTCCAACGATGTCGCTGCCTCAACCGCTCAATTGGTGGCGGCTAGTCGTGTCAAGGCTAGCTTCATGAGCAAGACGCAAGACAAGCTGGAGAGCGCGTCCAAGACTGTCACCGCGGCTTGCAGGTCGCTTGTTAGGCAGGTGCAGGAGATTATCGCCCAGAAGAACAGGGATGAGGGCGAGGCTGTGGACTACAGCAAGCTGGGTGACCACGAGTTCAAGGTCAGGCAGATGGAGCAGCAGGTATGTCGCAGTCTAATATTTTGTACGGGTGAGACATGGCTAACATGCTGTTACAGGTCGAAATCCTTCAGCTCGAGAATGCGCTTGCTCAGGCTAGGACTAGACTGGGTGAGATGCGTAAGCTCTCTTATTTGGAGGAGTAAGCCAGTATTCGTAAACTAGCACTCGCTTGGGATGATTGTTTCGCACGGCTAGTACTTTTGTTCTTTTATATAATTAGTAGTGGATGTCGAAGAGGGATTCTGGTTGCATTTCTCTCGAATATCTGCTTAGAGGAGAATGGTCTGGTTGGATGTCAATGGCAATGAATACCATCTTTTTCCTTGATTTCTACAAAGAATCAGTCATTGCATGCAGTTCTTGTACGTCAAATACATATTGCATGCTATCAAACTGCTATGTCCTCGAACATCTCTGCAGCCTGTTATAGACCACCTATGGTCAATTTGAATTTAACTGGTTGAGATAACTGGACCCGTTTTCAAGCAGGACAAGCAGAACATTTAGGTTCTGCCCGCCTGCTCTCCGACAGCCTGATTTTCCTAAACTCCCTCAGCCAATATTCATGAGTGACTGCGGGGAAGTGGGGTCCCCTGGCAAAGCGCGTTATCACGTGAGAAATTAGCGTGTTATCGAGTAAACAGAGCTGGGATGAATGGAATGCGACACGCACTGCTAGTACCAGTATATCACGACTTTGGTACCAAGTTACTCTGAATCTATATATCATGCCTGCTGCCACGAACCCAGATTCTCGCTCGCCCTCTCCTACACCTGCCAGACCCATCGCCGAGACACCTGGACCACGCGCGCAAGGTCTAATCAATGTCTTTAACCAAGCCTCGAAAGCGACTCTAGATAAGTGCTCGGCCAAGAACTTTGCTTCATGCTTCCCTACCGCTGCGCAATATAGTCCCGAAGTGCTGGACAACCTGAGGGGGCAGATTGTGGACCAACTTGATCGAACATGGAAGACCAACTTTGAGGATATTATGGAGAGAAGGAACGTCGTTAAGCTGCTCAACTCTCTAGACCAATGTATAGAGGATGCCAGGCTCAGAAAGAAACGAGCTGAAGAAAGCGCAAACGGTGGGCCTGTGGAAACACCGGTGCCGTAAGTATAGCATATGTGTCGACCATGTTCTCAGAACGCTGACTGTTATACGCAGACCTCATACTCTTACACCTTCTGAGATTCACTTGGCCCACCTCATGCCCTTTCTTGAGAAGCAAGCTACCGACATGAATGCCAAGCTCATTGAGACGCAACAATCGAACACGGAGCTGCTATCGACCGTGGCAGCACAGCGCGCAGAGATCGAAGCGCTGGTAAGGGGCCTGGAGAATATCATACAAGATCTGGATGCTAGCGCGCAGACAATGGCCCAAGACGATGTGCAAGATTTGAGCAAGGAGACTAGGGATCTAGAAAAGGCATTGCGAACATGATTTTACAGTAGCGATGCCGCACTGAAGAACAATTACGGGCTCTTAAGCAGAGCGGGAGGGAACTAAGAAACTCCCCACAGTTAAGAGTCGCCGTTCCGCGAAAACAGGGCTGGGTTTGCGCTCCCTCGCACGAAGCGACGTTTAAGAAGGACAGCCACATGTCTTTGTAAGCTACGAAGTAGTCTCTGTCCCCAGAGTCCTTGCACAGGAACACAAGCCTGTGGTGATATGCAATATCCCAAACTACTGGGACATGCAGATCAGAAGTGTTGGCGGATGATGGCTGTCCTTGGGGAATTGTATGCTTCAGGACTTTGTATACAGCATACAGGTTTACATGTGTTGGAGCATATGGTACACCAATAGCCATGAAAGCAACGCGAGTGTGAATCAGGCGAGCAGGCAAGAGGAAAGATGGCAGACAGGGTGACAGAGATAAAAGTTTCACAACTGCAGCGGATGTTTATTGCTCTTGATCTTAGAACATGACCTGATCAAAGATTGTTGCATATCGATATCCACGTCTTGAGAAAATAACACGTACTTTTCGTCATTGTGCATGTTCAGTGTACACGACTACGTGTCTTTGCTCTGTAGTGAGATTGAAAGGACGATAGTCTATAGCGAGATGGTCAAATACAAGACTTGCACCAACGCTGTCATGACGAGAGAATAATGCTTCACTCGCGAATCATCTCAGGCTTTACATAAACTACGCAGGTATCAATGTTAGTCGTGCGGCTCGCAAAAGGCGCCGCAGTACATCTTCTCGAGGTAAGTAATCGAATAGGCATTGTATGTGCATACCTGGTATTCCGCTACCAAATGTGAAAAAGAAGATGGAAAAATTCACCCATGTCATGTCACCAAAACTTTGGTGAATAGCGAGCAGGATCGAGAAGTACGGTTCTCATTCATCAATTGCGTATTCATCACCGCATGGTATGAATCCCTGTATACCAGACGAATCCAACGACGTCTCCTCGGAAGCGCTTTTCTGATAACACGACGGTACCGTGTGAGATATGTCCTAGTCAGCTATAAAGGAAGGTTCGCATAAATACGGTATATGCCGCTAGAGACACGATTGTATCTGTTTTCGGCCTCTCTCTCTCCCTTTCAAGTCACTCTACACCACAAACCCATCACCACCAACAAAAAAAAACCGCAGACTTGGAAAAAGAGGGGGGGGGGTTACATAGTTGTAGTCGCTGTAATCCCCGCAGTCCCCAGCAAAGCAAGTGGAGTTTGTATATGTATATCTTGCTCCTGACTCTTTGCTGTTAGAATCTATTCATCTCGCTTTCTATTTTTCACTTGTGGAGATAGGATGGCGCTTATACGAAGGGATTTAGAATTCATGGTTGTTTGGAATATGGGTAAGTATGTGTTGTTGTTGATTTTTTTCTTTTCTTCTTTTTTTTGATGGGGGGGGGAGGAGGGAGAAAGATGGGTGTATGAAGAAATGAGAAAGAGTGATGAGAAAGAGGAACCACATTTCACATCCCCTCATACTATTTCTATCAGTGCTACACAGACTGGGACCTGATTCATACCCTGTTTCGTGTTATTTTCTGCCTTCTGTTGCAACCAATGCTTATACGATGATTCAGCGTAGAAAATCTTTCCTTCTTCTTCTTCTTCAGTTCCTTCTTCTTCTCCTTGTCACACATTTAGTCCCCCCCCCTTTTTTTTCATAATCATTATTTATTTTACACGAGCTACACACATAATCAAGTCATACTTCCAGCATTGCATCTAGAAAAGAGATAGAGGAAACCATGTAATGTAGCAAGGAGAATGAACGGATGATAATTGGTTTTTAGGGATTCTGTTTATCATCAAGAATTTACTTGCGCGGGACAAGCCGTGTTTTGTATTAAAAAGATTTTTCAATGTTAAAATACACACATACACACACGGACAGACAGACAGACAGACAGACAGACAGAGAGAGAGAGAGAGAGAGAGAGAGATCACATTACTGAGGTATATGTTAAAAAAACTTCTCAATTCATACATCTACTACATATCTCCCTCCGACTCAACTCAACCGAGATAGCAATCCAGCAAGGCCTTGATACTCGGCTGTTTCCGCGTCTGCAGCAGTACGTTTAATGCCGCGGTACCCAGAAACAGGGGGGACTTAATTTTCTGCGCCTCGTCAACAGCCAGGCGCAGCGCCTCGATGTAGCCGCTCAGCACGGCACCGGTACCATCGCCCCTGCCGTCCAGCACGTCAATCATGTGCTTGCCCGCGTCCTTGAACATGGTGCTGCCGCCGGCAGCGTCGCAGGCGAGCTCGTAGAACTGGGGGAGCGGGATGCCGACGTGGTGGGCGAGGGCGACGGCTTCGGCGGCGGCGACGAGATGGATGCCCGTGAGGAGATTGAGGACGTGGTTGAGTTTTTCGGTTTTTTCCGAGGCAGAGAGACGGTCGGATGGGATGGATGTGACGGCGTCTGGGGTCCAGAGACGGACTATGCCGCCGTCGTCTTCGGCGCCCCAGCCGCGGTCCAGCGCGGTGAAGTAGACTTGCTCGGCGGCGGAGCACAGCATCGCTGGGAACATGACGCTGCGGGACATGGAAGTGATGATGCCCTGCGGTATCTTGATATTAGTCCACAGCACGGGAAAGTTACAGTGCAGAGAACAAACATACCGTGTCTTTGAGAATAATCGTCACGGCACTCGCACCGGGAACGTAATCCTGCTTGAGCGTCCTCTGGCTGCGGTTCTCAAACATCCAGCTCCACGCCTTGTTAGCGTCCTTGTTGCCCACGACCTGGTCGTACAGATCCTGGCCGTTGACGCCCATGCGCGCCGCAAACCCGTATGCCTCGTTGAGCGAGAGAATCTGGATGGCGGCAAGGACCTGATGCACCATTTTCATGTTGCTGCCTGCGCCGACGCCGCCGTCGACAATGAACAGCTTTGAGGGGGCACTCATTTCCTCGAGCAGGAACTGGCCTTTTTCAAACGCCGCGCTGGATGCTCCCGCCATGATGGACAGCGTGCCGTCTGCGGCTCGGATGGCGCCGCCTGACACGGGCGCATCAATGAAGGCGATATCGGAGCGGCCAATGTCCGCAAGCTGCTTCTCGACGGCCTGGGCGTACGCGCTGGGCACCGTGGAGCACAGGAACAGCGTGGCACCTTGAGGCAGCGCGTTCACGATGCCGTCTTTGTCGAAGAGGGCGGGCTGCGCCTGCATGGCGGATGCGACCATGACAATGTAGAAGGGCTTGTCCTTTGCCGACTCGGACAGCGAGCTCGAGGGCGTTCCACCCGCCTTCGCGAACCGCTCCAGAGAAGGAGGGTAGACGTCGAAGCCGGTGACGGGGTAGCCTTGCTTGACCAGGTGCGTGGCCATGCCCATGCCCATGGCGCCTAGGCCGCAGAAACCGACCTGGGGTTTGGAAGACATTGTGACGTGTGGAGGATAGCGGTAGGTATGTGTGTCGATATTCCAAATCCCGTGGTAAGGTGATTGCAAATAGATACCCAGAGAGTAAATCTCAATTCCAACTCTTTGTCCAGAGGAAAAACTTCTCTCAGTCTCGTCTGTAATCCACTCGTTTAAAAAAACGCTGTCCTCTTCTCACGAGAGATTCCGACCGAACAAGAATAGTATGCAGAAGAAAAGTAGTAGTAGTAGTAGTTTCCAAAACTTGTCGAGCTCAACCCCAGAGTAAAAAAACCCCACCCCCATGTCCCAACGTCACAACCACAACCGTAGTCTGCCACTGCTTAGCCGGCAAATCAGCCGTCTTCGGAGTGTGGCATTCATCCTGTCACCCCGCCCTGTGTTGAAAGAGGCAAAGGCGGGGGTTCCTGGCCGTCCCACGGAAAGTGGGCATTCGGTCATTCGCCGACCACTAGGCTAGATTGGGGAAGCCGGCTGCTCAGCCAAGCAGGGACAGGCCTCGGTGTTTGCCCGGCATCACGGCTCGGCATGCTGTGACGTGCAGTATGTGGGGTATCCATGGGGCAAGGCCGTGAATCACACGACGACGGTTGCAACGGGCATGATGAAAACATCATCTTCATTACAGAAAGCTACCGCGAACGCTGTGCACCATAAAATCGTCAAACAAACCGTGATATCTGCATACAAAACAAGCCCGACCTGCCGTGAGAGCAAGTTATCCAGAAAGTCTCCCTCACATAGCCCACGCTACATAAGATTGAAAAGCTGGGTGTAAATTTGCCGCATCATCGTCCGCTCCTTCAGGGGTATACATCGTCAGTCTTTGCGAAGACGGACTATTAGTTGAGATGGAGCGGAACACTACTCATGCCGTCAGCACCACCATTAAGCAGCCACCATTCTCGCCTCCTCGCGGCCGCGCTGGTGCTCGCTAGCAATAGTAGATGTGTTCTCGTCGTCGAGATCATCCTGCCCCTCGTGGTCCTCGTAGCCGTTACCTTGATGTTCCGAGGCAGGGATCCACAGACCAGACTCCCGGTCTAGGGCCTGGTCTTGCCCAGAGAGATCGATGCCCTCGGCGCGGTTGCGGCTCTGGTTGCGGCGGCGCTGCGAGAGGGTCCGTGATCGCTGAGATAGCTTGGCTGAGACAGAGGCGTTCTGGGAAACCCAGTTGGTCAGAGCGTCCTCGCAGTCTTGGATGATGCTGTGCCCTGTTAGCGAAATCAATCAACTACACGTGCTTGTTACATACGCCTTGCTGGCCTCGTAGCCGTCGTAGGCCTGGCGCGTCTCTCCAGGCGTCACGGGGGTGTCGTCGACCAATTCAAGAAGATGCTTGCCGTAGCCGGCAATAATGGCAAGCTTTTCGCAGTGTTCCCGCATGGCATCGAACTGATATGTAAAGGCTGCCTTGAGCTTCTCACGGGTAATGTTGGACAGCTGAGCCTCGGCGACCAGGGACTCGGCCTCGGCACGGACAAGCTCTTGCTCGAGAACAACAATCTTGGGCGAATTGGGCTCCTTGTACTTCAATTGGGCAATCTGGTCCGTGATCTTCTGCTTTCCTGCATAGTTGTGAGCTTCGTTTGACCAACAGAGCGTGCGCTACTTACGGTCACGACTGGGCTGGACCGAGGCCTCGATGTTGCGAATGCTCTTAATAGTCACACGGTACTGGTCGTAGCGATCCACGTATTGGTCCTCGAGCTCACCGATTTCGTAGATGAGGACACCGAGCTTGTCCGTGACGTCAGAGACATCGTCGTCGCAAGCCTCGCCCCAAATGGACAGTTGTTGCTAGAGGAAGATTAGCATTAAGCCGAGCCACTAGGAACGCTGCGCAAACTTACCGCTACTTCCATGCGCTCTCGCGATACCAGCTCCATGCTGCGCATCACGTTCTTTTCCATCTTGACGAGTTGTGAGAGCTTCTTTGCAAGATCGGGTCCGAAGGCACCGGCAGACTTGTGGCGGAAGGTGTGGCCTGGATGCGAGGGCGAAAATTAGCGAATAGTTGCATCAAGCGGTGAATCTTGGATACGCAAAAGGCAATCCGACGGTCCACAGCCTGGAGGGCAGCCTGTGCTGGCCATGTGCAGCTGGAGCCTGCGTGTGCAATTGGGCGACACGGCTGCCCACAGCTCTTGCTGCACGTGGTGCGCAAAGGGCTGCGGCGGACAGACCAGATGCAAAAAAAGCAGATGAATACGACGGTCACAGCATACCAATGTTGCCCTTGCCAAAGAAGCGCCCGCTCTTGGTCGAGGATGCGGGCGGCGGAGGGCTCTGGATCTGCGACGCCGTGGGCGCGCGGGACTGGCGCATGCTGTATGTTCGGTGCATTGTTGTTGTCGTCGGAGAGTGGTTTGAGGGCTGGGGTGGGGATTCAGCTGTCGCGGGTGGGGTTGGGGGAGCGTGTGGAGTGTTGTAGGGATGGAATGCTGGATGGGGCGTGGCCAGGGCGACGTTTTGTTCAGCGAGTATCAATGACGTAGTGCTGGCTGGCTGGCTGGCGGGGGCCCACTCGGCGCGGCGATCATCGTTCTCGGGCGCGTCCGCTGCCTCGCATCATTTGCACATCCTCCCCACTGCATCCATGGACATGCCCAGACATTTGCTGCGCCGGCATGCCATGTGGGCGTGTGCCAGGGCGTGTGCCAGGGCGTGTGCCTGTGCCTGTGCCTGCATGGCCGAGCTGCCACTGCCGCCCTTCTCCACCCTCGCAGCCGTGCGTGTATACGCATGCATACACCTCATGGCAAGCATACAGCAACTGCCGTCGCCTGCAGTCTGGTACCTTCAGCCCTGCTTCCAGCTTCCGTAGCTACGCTAGCACCAGCGCTAGTGTTATTGGCCGTTGCTCGTCGTCCTACTAGCTGCCCGCGGTGACGTTATCGTGTGCCGTGCCTCTGCTCCCAGCCGCATCCACGCCACCATGACCACGCTGTTCGCAAATAACCTGTCTGCAACCCTACCTTGTCCGACTTCGCACCCCCAATACCGAGCCCGTGTACCAATTAGAGTGCCCGCCAGTCTGCTCTGGCAAGGCAAACCCAACCAATCGTCGCTGCATAGTGCCGTTTCACAACAGAATCGACATGGAGGGCGGCTAGTGATTGGGTATCAGCTTGTTCATTTAGTCGTCTTTTTACTGCCCTACATGTCGTCACTCTCCAGAGCCTAGAACGAAGCCTGTAGCGCCCCGTCGTGCAGCTGGTTGGCGAAGACACTGAGAATGCTGCCCGCCTCGCCCAAGCCACTGCCTGGACGCAACGCCCAAAAAACCACCTCGCCCTCTCGTGGCGACCGCCGATGGCGTACCGCCAATGACGCCAGCCCTACTACACATGCCGTGCCAACACCCACCAGTGTATTGAGGACCAACCGCGATGGCAGCTCAGACCGCGCACGCTGCGACACCACCAAAGGCCCCGAGGCCACAATCGTCCGCCCTTGGACCAATGCATGGATGCCGGGAATATTCCCCAAAATCTCCTCTGCATACCCAACGGTGCTCGCCCCGAAACCTGCTGGCCTTGCTGTCCATGGCAGCACTGTACCTGCTGCAGTCCTTGATTTGCCGCTTGACACAGCCCAGACCTCGACAGGCTTAATCTCCTCCTCGTCAAAGAGATCCCTGTGCAGTCTGCCTACGTATGCTGCGATGCGCGGGTACTTTGTCCGGATGGTCTCCCTGATCCATGCCTGGGGCACTGTCGGGTACATGAGTAAGGACAGGTACCCAAAAGCCAGGCAGTCCAAACTCGACGCCTCATCTCCGCCAAACAAGTACTTGTTTTTCCTCAACAGATCCGACAGTGGATCCAGAAGTTCTGCCGAAAGAGCATCCAGTCTGAAGCGAGCAGCATACATCTGCCCGCCCAACAGACCACCAAGACCCTTGCCGCGTCCGATGCTCAGCGTCTTGGGCTGGCTCTCCGTGGGTATACCGGCTGCTCGTTTAGCAGCCTCATATTCCGAGGATGCAGTTCCTCGTCCTGGTGCGAATCCTTCCTCGGCGCTAGTATCTACATCCAAGCTGCTCAATCCCATGTGTGCAGTTCTGTTCCTCGCCAGTTCCCTCCGCCTTGGCGGAATTGTATAGTTTGCATACCATGGCAGGACCGCGGTATAGGCCGACGAAGTAGTCTTGTTGTAGTTTTCGGCCGAAACGTACAGCGAGAGGTCGATCAGCGGGGTTGCCGTAGACTGGAGGAACGTGCAGTATCTGATGGGCGTAGGTGTAAGAATGTATCCCAGTCTCGGAAATGGAGTGGCTTACGCAGTCCGGTCGGTCTGCTGGCCGCTCGAGAGACCAGCATCTAGGTCGTTGGAGACTGTGGGGTAATTGCGAAGATACGCGACAATGTCCTCGAAGCCGGATGCAGTGGCAACGCCATCATCAAAGAGGATTGGTAGACTCTCTAGTACATGTCAGCTTACGTGTATCTCTTCATGACGACAGAGCCATGTACCCGTTGTGCCGACGGTTGGATTGTAGTCTGCAATCAACGACCATTGTCCTCGAGGAATCACGCGCCGGCAGTAGGCGACCGTGGCAATGCATTCGGGCTCCAGCGAGGGGAGGCCAAATGCTGGACCCCATACGTGGAGTTCTAGCACCATTACTGGCACTGTGTTGCGAGAGCTGGTGTACTGGCGGAGACTTTGGCGGGCTTTGCGCAACAAACTTGGGCCTTGTGCGCATGCCGATCGGAACTAGCGTCGGAACGCCCGCACGTGAACACGCATCGCCATCGTCATGGTTGGAGATGGATGCTTGGGCTGCACTTGCTTTCGTTTTCTACACTCAACCCTGCACCATGGCGCCATTGCGGAGATATCTTCGAATCACAAAGCACTCAGTCCTCGAAGTGCGTATCTACCTCGACCGACCGTCCGACGGAGAGGCATGGCTACTGAAGCGCGACGATGCAGCGTTGCCACGCGTCATCCAGGCCGTACGCCCGCTGGTTCTACCCAAGCTCCGCGAGGAGAACGGAAGAGGTAAAGGCCGCGGTGGTGCTAGAGCAAAGAAGAAGGGCGTGAAGGATGTTGTGATCCAAGGTAGGACACACCCCGCGCCACTATGCACCCCTCTCACAAAACAATTTAGTTGCTTACTTGTGCTATTGCTAACCCGGAGCCAGATGATTTTGAGGTATCTATTTTCTTGACGGAACTTTCCTGCCGGCATTCCGTCCTCTCAAAGCAGAAGATCTTCAAAGACAGGGCCCGCATCCAGAGTAACTCGGGTAAACTCACTAGCTGGCTGACCACCACCACGGCCACGGGAACTATCGACGAACCAGTGGTAATCAACGAAGATATAGCACCGCCAATCGTGATTAGGGAAGAGGACGGCGACGAGCCTGCTGACCTTTCCAATATCCCCGAGGCCAAGTCGGTGGAAAAGCAACGCAGGTATACAGCGCACCAAAACCGCCGGAGTGACACCCGAAGTGCTGACATTTGCAGCCATTGGAGCAATGGCGAGAGTTTGGACATGTCTATCTCTGGAGCAGAGATAACCAAGGCGGGCGCGAGCAACGCGGGACATGACAGCGGCGACGGGCCGCGTGCAGATGATAAGAAGAAACTGGGACTCAATACGTCTTACGATGGTTTTAGCATATATGGACGCATTCTGTGTTTGGTGGTCAAGCGCCGCGGCGGGCGCAAGCCTACTTCTGCAGCTTCTAGCCAGGCTATACTGGAAACGTGGGTCTCGACACAAGCGGTGAAGGACCACGTCGATGACGATGAAGATGCGGTCTGAATAGAGTTGAAGAAGAGTCTTGTTAGATGGATGTTAGCCGAGAGGCAAATCGTGATTGCGTTGCGGCGTGATGGAAGAGGCTTTTGCTGACCAAACCAAGGCCGACACGACTGGCCGAATCTCGACCGCGGGTGACTTCATGTCATGTTACTTCCCCCCCCCCCATTCACGTGGGCACGCTGGGTGTACCACTGCCTGCTATGGGATGCACGCACGGCGCAGCATGGCGGTCGTGCGTCTTTATTGGGAGTGGTTGCCTCAGGCAATGAACCGTTTTCCCAGAGTGGACGTGATGTGCCACTGATGGCGCGGGCCTCTGTCGAGTACAGTATGCTGCGCCCGTGCCTATAGAACCCCCCGCCTTTTGACAAGCGCGCAATTAAGCGGGCTGCATGTGCTGTATATACAGCTAGTACAGAGGTGGCTTTCAAAAGTTCTTGCTAAGGCGCGGATCCATCGGACCGAACTCTCGTGATAACGTTTCCATTATTTACTTAGCGTGCAAGAAATAATGCCTAATATAGTTAGTGTATTACTGTAAGTGTATACTTTAGTAGCTATTATTCTCTCCAAACTCCCATTTTAAGGGCTTTTAGTTGCGAATATAGTATGATTCTTAGTCTTCGGCTATATTTTCGGTGGTAACCAAGGAACCCCTGTCAGCAAGAACTTTTGAAAGCCACCTCTGTAGTCTGGGGGCGAGATATGCAGTGTCACCTGTGGCGCAAGGCCAGAGGGGGCCAGGGTGGGCGCTGCCATGACAAGGCCGATGTTGGTATAGGACAAGACCGTCGCTGTGTACTATGTACGCGCATACATTATAGGGTATAGCTGCTGCTGAACAAGAACGATGGCCTTGGCGTAGGGCGGCCGTTGTTGGTCTGGAACCCGCCTCTCAGCTGCTTGTCGAGCGTCTTCTCTTTGCATGTCGAGTTGTTGCACGTCGGGGCGCTAGCGCATCGGGCTCGCCGTACGCCCATGTAGACTGGCGCTTCAGCCTGCGTTTCAGGAGGCGAGACAGAGCCAGCCACAGGCAGCGCGCAGGTGCAGGCGGTGCAGGCAGCGCCGAGAGAATGTTTGCGCGTACCTGCAGCAGCCTACTGTATGTCCAAGGGCCGGAGGGACCAACAGAACAGAGCCCATGTAGTGATAGTATGGGGTGCCGATCGGGTGATCGGCCATGGTGGTCAGCCAGGCTGAAGGCTGCCATTGTGCGTGGACGTGCAATGCGGTCGGGCATTTTGCTGGACTAGTTGCAGCGAACACGTAGCCAGTGGATAGAGTTCGAAGCCAATTGATACGATGTTGTTTCGGTCCTTGGACGCGGCGATCGCGATAGGAGCAGGGCGGCGGCGACGACTCGCAGGGCGACTTGCGCGGGGGGCCATGGACCGAGTAGAGATGGCATCATGGATGGATTGGGCTGAGAAGTGACGAGAATGGATGAGAAGAGACCCCGAGCGGCGGCGCTGACAGCCTTGCGCAAGTCCAAGTGTGCAAGTGCGGTATAGCAGGCAGGGCAGCACATGGCTTGGCGCGTGGTGGCCTGTCAGGAGCCGACACGCCCACACCCACACGCCCACACACGCCCACGCATCCACACGTCGTACGCTCGGCGTCTCTTCGTCTCTCCGCCCTCTCCGCATGTGCCCGAGTTGTCGGGAAAGGTCGACGACGCTTCGCAACGTCATTTCTTTTCTTTTTCGCTCGAACCACGCTTTCGCCATGGTAACGCAACGCTCTTGCATGGACCTGTAACAGCGTCGTAGAATTTCCCCACCGCGCTGAAACGGCAGACTTTGGGCGGTACGCTTGAGTAGCAACTGCCGAGGATGCGCAATGGATCGAGGCCGCCAGCACGAGCACGAGAGCGAGTGCAAGACGACTGCTCCGCTGTTGTTGCCATCGTTGAGCTCTGACGAAATGGGCGCCCCTGCCGATCGACCCTCGCTTGCTGCCCACAATGAGTGCTTCATCTCAGAGGGCCTTGCTTAGTCGCGCCGCCTAAGCACCCATGGACACTGCTTCTGATCATCGGCCTTTAACGCCTACACGGCCGAGATGAGGAAGATAGGGAAATGCATCCGACCAGAGAGTGCGAGCGCGGCTAGGCGGGCGTCGTGTTGGTGGTCAGCTTGCTGCCATGATTGCTCCCCAGCAAGCCACAATTCCCACGAGCGAGGGCGACAGGCAGAGCTACAGGGAAGGGCACCAAGTAGGTGCAATGGCCAAAGTCTAACCGGGCTCTCTATTTTGGTTGGAGGCCACCACACCCACACCTACACACAATCGGGAACCCTGCGCGTCCACGTGGAATCGCCAGCCGCAATAGGAGCGTGGATGGGTGGTTTGCGCTCCGCGGCAGCCGAATGGCCACCCCCAAGGTTGAGGTGACCAGCCTCGTCGTCTTGTTCCGGAGCAGCCGAGCAGTTGGGACAATAGGCTTTGTCCGGCGGCAGTGGTTGGCAGGCAGCACATGGTGCGCCGGAACTCTAAGAGAAACAGGATACACTGGGTCCAGGACCAATACGAATCGCGCGGGCTCGGCAAATCACAAAGGGACAAAAATAATCCTGACGTGCCTTTTTTTGTGCGACGCCTTGGCAAGGCCCGCCAGGCGCACGCAGGCTCAGGCTGCCTGCGTGCCCTGCCCTACCCTACCCGACGACAGGATGACAAACACGCACCAGGGCCCCGGCGTGCCGCACAGCTGATTCAGAGGGCCAGGAGCGGCCGTCATGCGAGAATTGGCTGGCGGTGGGCAGAGTGGGTGGCAGAGGGTGCGGGTGCGTTGCGGCGACGGCGACAGAGGCCGCAGTGGAGCGGAAAATTCTAGGGGGGGGGGTTTGCTGGAAATTGCATCGAAGCGTGGGAGAAGCACGGGAGAAGGTGGGCATGGACGCTAAGCTGGGCGTGTCCGTGTCGCTGCGGTGCAAGTCGTCGGGCGAGCGAGGGGCGTCAGCAGCAGCAGGCGGAGCAGCAGCAGCAGAAGCAGCAGCGCAGGCAGATGAGAGACGTCGCACAATTTGCAACGCGCAGGCTGGCAAAGGCCATGATGTGGGTTGCTTGTGTCAGATGGCGTCCCTGGCGGGCGCACGGGACACGGCAAAGGCTGGCGGTGCTTATTTCTAAGGTTTCGCAAACAAACATTCAACCTCTGACCAGCGGCGGACCTAAGGCGGCGACGGATCCCAGCCCTGCGCGCGTTGGCACAGCACTGGCACAGGCTGGCACAGCGAGCAGCGTGGGGACAGGACAAGGCCAAGGCGAAAAGGAGACGGCCAGAGAGCTGCTACGTTTCAATGTCGACGACCGTTCGCACTAGACACGGCGGGCAGCGAGCGTGTGATGTCAGACTGGGCCAATTCACCGCCCGTTGCGAGCGTCGTGGGGCGCTGGGTTGCTGCTAGTGCTAGGCTCTCTCTGGTGCTGGCGCTGGCGCTGGTGGTGGTGGTGATGCGCTGGACGAGCGGGATGCTCGGCGACAGTGCTGGGACAGGATTGGGTCAAGGCCATTTTCACACAGTCACAAGGCTGATGAAACGACAAGCGGTAACGCAAAGGTTCGTGTTTCCTCGGATCCCTGCTCATTAAGTGACCAGGATGGGCAATGTTTCGGCGTGCTTTAGCTCATGCACACGCCAGGAGCCACCCCTTTCCTGCTCATCAGCCCAACGCCTCTTTCACCGCTTGGCCCGTGCTGGGGGGAGGGGCTTGCCTAGCATCATTACACACATCGCCAAAGCACAGAGCTGACCGACATTTTAGGCGTCTGCAATCTCTGAGCACAAGCATAAATACTTTGCGCCCCCACTGTCAGAGAGCCCGTTTCATTATCCAAGCCGACTACATCATCACCATCATCATCTAGAAGAGAGTATACACTGCTATATATCTGCTTTGCACGACGACCCTCTTACGCACTTGAACGCTCCACGACTCTCACCCACTCGGCACTCTCACCCACTCGGCACTCTCACCCACTCGGCACTCTCACCCACTCGGCACTCTCACCCACTCGGCCCGGCTCAACCACGCTACTACTACTACACTACTACACTACACTACACACTACACTACACTACACTACAACACCACACAACAATACAATGGCCGCTACCATCTTCGACGACTCCACCATGGCTCCCAAGAACCTCCCACCTTGCCCCGGCCCACCACCAACGCGCCCTCTGCCAGCGCTTCCCACAAAGGAGAACTGAGCAAGGTCAAGCCAACGACACCTCGCTTGCCCTCGGGATCAACCAGGACGCATCCTCAGCTAGACGGCACTCTCTGGATGCAGCCTCTCCTCGGGGCGCACTGCTTGGAATCGCTGCCTGGCATGCCAAACACAAGACGCAGCGCATGTGCAGCACCTAGTACGGCCTGACTCTCTGGACGCACCTGGTGCCTTGGATTCAGAAGCACCCCCCTGTCACTCACCTGACACTTGACGCGATATCCGGTTAAACGCCCTCTTACGCATGCTACTCGGATAGCAACGTCGACACCCGTCTTGCCTCCAAGCCTGACGCGTGGCGTCGACCCCCAAGACTGCTCGGGCTGCCAGCCTTGGCGCTTTTGTTGTGCCTGGCTCAACTTGTTTTTACGCACTCGCATCCTACTTCACCACGGCTGGCCCTCGGGTGGACGGAACGAATCTTCTCTATAGACGCCTATTTTTTTTTATTGGAGGGGATCACTCTTTGATTTTGTTTTTTTGAACCACCAAAGGCACCATACACAGACTACACGTAACCACAATCGTTGTAATACCGAGCGACTTATTATTGGGGCGGATTTTTGAAGGAGTATTAGTATTAGTATTTATTTTATTATACATGGAGGGTGGAACTGCATTTGGATGGCGCTTGGGATATACTGTTGTTGATGTTGTAGTGTTCAAAGCAATCATTCGCTTTTGAAGACGTGTCTGTGTTAGTAGTAGTTTATAGACGGCATGGTTGCCCGGTGGGAATACCCAATTACTTGTCTTTTTTAGCATTAATCATCTGATCTCAGATCGCATACTTGATCATATCTGGACATATTTTTTTTGGATTATTGGTGAAGTCTCAAGTATGGAACGCATATGTGGTCTTGGGTGGAACGGTCAAGGGCTTGGGTGTGACATGTGTGGGTGGGCAGTCAGGTGAGCAAAGGGTGATAGAGGGGGTGTTCACCGGGAGCCCTGAGCTAGTTCTCAAGCGCAGAGGAGAGACATGCATGAATATGGACAGGATGCCCAGGCGGGCCACGAGAGCTACTACAGCAAGTGGGAGCGGCCATGGGAGCGGCTCGTCGACGTTAGGCACACACACACACACACACACATGTCAGGTTGCAAGGGGGCTGTGGGCCGCGACACGTGGGGAGGTTGTGACGTCGGATTTACTAGTCGAATAGATGGATGATTACATGTATACGTACTCACACACAGAGAGAGAGAGAGAGACGGGCGGAGTAAAGCCTTGGGTTGGCAGCTCCCTTTTCCGTGTTCCTGGCGCGCATGTACCGAGCGATTCCGCGTGACCGGAGGGTGGCTTTTGGGGTGTTGCAGGCAGCAGCCAATGAGCAGGCGGCGCAGGCGGGTTGTGGTGCGTCCGATGACCTCTGGTCTGACTAAGTCGCACTACCCGACGTGCAGGAGAGAGCGGCCGCTAAACTAAAGCACACCCACACACACACACGCGCGCACACAGAAAGAGAGCAAGCGACAGGAAAGAGAGAAAAAAAAGAGAGAGCTGCACCGTTGTCTCGGCTAGCCAAGGCCGACCCCTCTCGGTCGACGAAAAGCGTTGCGACTACTTCACCGCTGGTCCGCAGGTTACGGCGCCGGTGGTGGGGGGGGTGGGGGTAAGAGATGGAACAGCGCGAGAGAGGAGCAGAGAAAAAAATCGACATGGTTTATTTGCAGCGGCACTGCACGTACACGTCGAGAAAGAGGACTAGGTGATGTGATGGCGGCCATTTGTCTCGTCATCAGACAATTAACCGTGCGCGTCCCGCGGTTGCACACCACACACACACACACACACACACACATGCACACAGATAGGCACACAGCCAGCTAGCCAGCCCAACACACAGACACGGACTTAATTTAGCTCGTGGGCGGAGAGAAAATGACTGTACCCTGACAGCGTTTGATAGCTGCCTGTCTGTGTCTCTCGGATGCATAAGCCGATGCTCTGACGCTGCTCAACGTGCTCGACAGGCTGTGGCCGAGAAAGAGCAGCATGCTGCAAGGGAAGACAAAGAAAAGGAAAAAAACCGGGCATGGCAGGGCAGGGCAGGGCAGGGCATGGCAGGACAGGGCAGGGCAAGACAAGGCAGGGCAGGCAAAAGGCGGCCGTATTTGGATTTGCAGTCTTGGTCTGTTCAAAGTTGCATGGTCGCCCCCACCCCGCTTTCTTTGATTGTTCGCTTTGTGTGTGTGCGTGTGCGTGTGTGTGTGATGGGCAAAAGATATTTCCTGCTAAGCGGTATATCCCCCTAGGCGCCGCCGGGAACCAGGGCTTGCAATCAGGTTTTTTTTTCGGCCGTCTCGTGTATATGCAGGCGTGGCAATGGCGCCGAGATGATTGGCAAGGCGGATGGCAAGGCGAGGCAGAGCAGAGCAGAGCAGAGCAAGTAATACATGGCAGGAGGATGAGCAGGAGGATGAGCAGGAGGATGAGCAGGCGCAGGAGCGGCGTTGCGCAAATGTCAGACGTCGCACCCATGCGCCGACGGCAGGCGAAGGAGCGGGGGCGGCGTTTTGGGTGGATGGGCTCGCGGTCGGAGGTGGTGGTGGTGGCAGCAATCAATCACACGGGCAGGCATGGTGCATACTAGATACATGGACATACATGGACAGAGACATAGATGGTTGCATGCTACAGTGCAGTACAGATGCAGATGCAGATGCAGATGCAGCCGGCTGCAGCGTGCGCCGTGATCCCTGGCAGATCCCGTCCGAGTCATGCGCGGATTATCATGTATGTATGTATGTATGTGTATGCACTATGTACGGCCATGTAGGTATGGGTTGATGGTGGATGGCGATAGTATACAGGACTTGTAGTAGTATTACTGTGACTGTGCCATGCCGTGCTCACACACCACCAAGACACGCTGGCCAAGTTGCTGCCTGCAGATCGTGGGGCCTTTGTCGTCGTCCAGTCAGATGGGGCCACGGCGGTGGGGCGTGCCTCTGACTCATCCACCCCCCCCCTCGCTCGCCCTCTCGCTCGCTCTCTCGCTCCCATGCCACCACTCTCTGCTCTCCCTCGTCGACTCGCTCGTGCTCGCCCGCCCGCAATGGCCTGCCGCCGTCTCAACCACGCTCCCACGCCCACGCCGTTAACATGTCGCCGCCGTCGCCACTAGTCGCCCGAACCAGGTTGCCGGATCCCGTCGCGCTGCCACTGCCACGACCGCTGCCGCTGCCACTGCCACGACGATGACGCATTCTGCCCGCCGGCCTGCCTGTGTGTGGCTCGAGACAAAGAAGCTGCCCGCGTCCGGCTATATTCCCTCGCTACCGCTGTAGCCGTCACTAATCCTGAAGCCATTACCCGCCGCCCGACATGTGATTTTCATTCCTGCGACTGCCACCTCTGCCACCTCTGCCACCTCTGCCACCGGCCCTGACGCCTCCGACTGCCCTCGGTCGGTGCACCGCGCTGCCCAGCATACCCCAGCTTCACCACTCGTCGTCTCCCAGCGCACGGTGCTCATTTCGGCGACTCCCCATGCCCTTCTTCTCTTCTGATCTCTTTTTTCTCGTCTTCCTCGTCGACACGTTTTTCGCCCGCCCGCGCCCTGGCCGTGCCGCCATGTCCTCTTTCCCCTCCTGTCAGCCATGGTGATTGTTGCGCAAAACCCACACCGCTTACCCTCGTCGCCGAACAAGGGGACACGCGCCCAGGGCAGCATCAAACGGCCAAGTGGAACAATCGGGCGGGTGGCCTTCCACAATGGCTCCATGGACAGCGGCGTCGTCTCCAAGTCGGACATTAGGTGTAGACTGGCCTTGATCGCTTGCGCCATGTGTTTCGCAGGCACCCAGGCATGCCTGCATCAATTTGTCCCTCCACCGCTCTCAGACAATGCAGGCGCCGTGTGGGACCCTGTCGATCAAACCGCAGCCTCCTGAACATGCCGTTCATGTGCCTCGCCCAAAGCGGAAACGCCCCAATTGTCCCTCTTTGTCCTGGTCCCTCGATTGCCACCCGTCCCCTTTTTTTTTCTTTCTTGCCTGGGTGCCTGCTCGCCACCGCACCACCGCCCATGGGAAACCCTGAAACATGCGCCAGTGGTGCCTGGGTCCAACAAAAAAAAAAGAATAAGCTCTCCCCCCATTTTACCCTTCCACTCAGCCTCATTTACCCTTGTCCCGCCCATTCTCCGCCCCAGTCCCTTTCGGACATTACGTGCTGGGATAAGCGAACATGTCCCACTCTCGCATCAAAAGGGGATGTGGATGTGGATGTGAATGTGCATATGCATGAGAGCGAGGGCTTGCAGAAATTACCCTACAGCCTCGGTTGTCAGGTTAATACATGGTCCTTTCTGCTTTTGAGGCGCGAGGCTGAGCAGAATCAGTTGAACCGACGGCAGGCCCCCCATTATTTCCTCCAAACAGGGTGTCGGCTTGCACGCCCTACATTGCCCTTTACCCAGTCGAGTAAATCCCATCGCCTCGCAGGCCATGGCATCCGCACAAGTTCCTTTGGTCCTATCGCCCAACCAGCACCCAGCAAGGTCCCGGCTTGTTTGCCATGTACTTTCTTTCTAATTATGGCATCCATCACTCGCCTTTCCCTTTACCAAAAAAACGCGTCACACCATGGATCAACTGCGCCTACCTTACGTACGCCTGCCTACTGTGGATGCGGCTTAGTTCGATAAAGGAAATCGATGCGCCGGCCTGGAATGTTTTTTTTTGGTTGGGACGGCCCCCCGTGTCCCGTATTCGTACACCTTGTAGGTTTAAGGGGGGGGGTGGCTAAGTAAGTGTAATAACACGGGAATGGCGCCACCTTTGCTTTTGCTTTTTTTCTCTCTTCTCTCTTTCTGCTAAGCCCGGATATGTACGTAGTACGTACGTATTCCACGTATTCCATGGCTGTGTTTCCTCTATTTCCGCGTTTTGCCCGTTGCTCCCCGATTTACACAACCAAGTATAGGTATTTTACCGCCCTGCTCTTCCGTGCCCTTGTGCGGCTCAAGTCGATAAACTTTGTTTCTGTGACATGATGCTGCTGGTAATATCGTGTCAGGTCGACTCTTTTTTTTTTTAATTCTCTGCATTTATTCATTTCATCATTCATTTCTTCATTCATTCATCGATTCATGTTTCGCCCTATGTATGTCTTAGCCAAGCTTGTGACAAGAATCATAACAAGGCCTAGTTATATGTATGTATCTATCTCTCCTTTCTCACATATTTACAAACGTCATTTCTTACCATCCATGTCAGCTATCTACGTACATTCCAACTTCCCCCCCCCCCCGTGATTCCTCACCATGTTCCCTACCGTCTCACTCAAGCTCCGAGCATCAGATCGAAATGAATCGGATCGAAAGCACATAGATCGGATCGAAAAATGCGATGGAGAAGCACATGGCCAAATGAGATGCGATGGCCAAACCGCCGACACTCGTGTCTCTGTGTGTATGAACCTGGAACGAGCACGGAGAAAAGCAGTATAGTAAGAAATACCACGAACACGGAGAGTTTAAAAAAAAGGGGGGGTGCGGGTTTGGAAGCGGAGAGAGACACAGCGGAGAGAGAGAGACAGCGGAGAAACCCACGTATCGAGCTTAGTAGTAGTACAGTAGTAGAACGGAGAAGGGGGGGGGGGCCAAGTCTGACAAGTGGGTATTGTAACACGTGCCCGTTATTTTTAGATGTGTGAGAGAAAAAAATATGCTTAAAAGATATACATGTCCACATACATACATCTACACGCAAAGCATGGCCGTACAAAGCACCAAGCACCAACAAACGAGTTCAAAGAGTCAACATCAACAACAGGAAAATACAGCCGCAGTTTGACTTGGGCTCTCTCAAACACGCCAACATGTCGCGACATGTGACGCGTCTGGCGCTAGTCTCGTCTAGTACATGGCGAAACACATACATGTCTGTCTACATCTCCACTCACTCACAGACAGACACACAGACACACAGATGGAGAAAGAGACAGATGGAGAAAGAGACAAATGGAGAAAGAGACAGATGGAAAGAGAAAGCTTCAAACACTCCCAACTAACCCCCACATTTGTTACTCGTTACTCGGTTACATCTGGTCACTCCCCACTATGGTGCGATAATTCTACAGGGGGAATACCCCTGCTTTGCAACTACTACTGCTGCTGCTGCAACTGCGGCTAGTAGTGGTGTTGGTGTTGGTGGTGGCGCGCCTGATTTGCTGGTCGGGTATTTATCGGGTTTACTTGGCTACTTACATATGCATGTGTGTGTGTGTGTAAGGATTATATGCGCATGCATGTATGTATGTAACATGATTGCTTTTTTCCCCCCCAATCTGCAATCCTGATTCCTGATCATGTACGTAGGTGTATGTATGTATATTTGCTTTTGCTCTGCATCTTGATTATGTACATGTACGTACATGTATGCTGATGTAGTGGTAAATGCAGGGTATATGTATGATTGCGCGTTTCTACTCCATGGACTGGCTGTAGATTGGCTCGCTTGGAATACAACATGCTTGCTGGTCCAATTAGATCAGGTTTTGCTTAGTACCTGTGTTGTGTCTCCCCGCTCTCACGCTGGTATTGGCGGGCTGGGGCTGGGGCTGGGAACATGGGGCTTGGCGTGTAACCACTTGTTATCGCACGCAAGCAAGCACGCAGGTAAGCGAGCACTCAGAAGCGAGGAGGCGTTTTGTGGCAAGTCGCTTAGTCTACCTCCTCTCTCTCTCTTGTCGCTTTCACATGTGCATCATATAGTACATGGGGTATTGTTGTACTCTCAGCGGGTCATCAAGCCACCCCACGTTTCCCACACCAACGCCATAATGACAGCCGTCGACTTGCTCAACTCGCTAGCTGAATTCGGAGAGTGGGCTGCTGGCCGCAAGCCCGTGGCCAAGAAAAACAGCGCCCTTCGCATTGGCATCCTGGGCGCGGCCAAAATCGGGTGTGTAGTGTTTGCTGATTCCATTCGTGTCTAGGCATCGAAATGTTGAGAAGAAGAAAGAGGCGGGTCAATGAATGCCGAGTTGAGTGAAAACGAGCAATTGCTGATGCACATTACCTAGACCCGTTGCGTTGATTCTGCCCGCACGCTCACACGCTGGTATCATTGTTGTGGCGGTCGCGGCGAGAGATAGGCGCAGGGCTGAGGCGTATGCAAAGAGATGGGGTATTCCGATTGTACATGAGAGCTATGAAGGTGGGTACTCTGGATGAATCAATCGGATCCATTGGATTGACTCGATACAGCTCTGATTGCAGACCCCTCCATCGACTGCATCTACAACCCGCTGCCCAACGGCCTGCACTATGCGCCCACGCTGGCCGCGCTCAAAGCCGGAAAACACGTCTTGCTGGAAAAGCCGTCGGTTTCAAATGCCCAGGAAGCCCGCTCGCTATTCCAAAATCCGCTTCTCCGCGTGCCAAATGCACCCCTGGTCGTAGAGGCAAGCCACTATCGCTTTCATCCTGCGTGGCGTCTGTTCCTCTCGCAGTTTGACAGCAGCGCCATCGAGCATGCCGAGGCGCGCGCTGCCATTGCCGCTGGCGCAATGCCCGCCGACGACATACGCTTCCAGTATGAGCTTGCTGGTGGCTGTGCCATGGACCTGGGCCACTACGTCTTGTCTGCGCTGCGCGGTGTCTTTGGCACAGAGCCCTCAGGCGTCGTGTCTGCAACACCGCGCCTCATCCACGCGCCGTTTGACCAGCGCTGCGACCAGGCCATGGACGCTACCTATGTGTTTCCCAACGGCGGCACCGGCCGTGTGGCTGCCGACCTGGGAGCCAAGGGCGGCTACCCCTTTCCGTGGCTCACAGCCAACTGGCCCAGTTTCCGCGATGGCATCCCCAATGTGCGTGTTGTGCTGCGGGAAGAGAAGGGTGGTAGTGTGCAAGACGGGTTGACCAAGATCACTAACAAGACGGTTACCATGTGGAATTTCATGCTGCCTCATATTTGGCATCGGATTGATGTCACTACCGTTACTGCACTGCGCGACGCTTCAACGGGCAAACTTGTCAAGGAAGAAAAGGATACACGCTATCTCAAGGCATATACATGGCCCGAGGGGACTGCGGCCGAAAACAAAGGTGAGTCCTGGTGGCCCACCTATCGCTACCAGCTCGAGGAGTTTGTCAACAAGATTCGCGGGAACAAGGGGAGTGGCGCGTGGATCGATGGTGAGGAGAGCATCAATCAGATGGCTGCCACGGATATGACGTATGAGAAGGCGGGTATGCTGCTGAGGCCATCTTGTAACGAGTTAGAGTAAGGGTGTTGGTTGGATAAAAAGGAGGGTTGAGTAACGATTATGCCTGCGTGGGGTGAGCATCATGGTAAATGGGTATTCATCACCTGCGCATGAAGCTTCCAGCCACGCTGTATACGGATTACTCTACTAATCACTGAATCTTCTCAGATAGCTCTACTAACCACAACAAGTCTAGGACACGTGCGGTTGGCGGCGACCAAGCACGTGATGGTGAATCGCAATGCTCCGCGGAATGACATCATTCTAGTCTCTATTCGTACATGCACGTGTACCGACTACGCTAGTCATCGCCCTGGCCCGCTGTTCAAATCTTCGTAGAGATAGCGGCCGCTTGGTGGCTTATTGCTTGCGCATGGACGTGTTTCTACCACTCGGCGACTATAAAGTATGTTTACGGTTTTGGTGAAATTGGATGGCGATCGACGGGCAATAGATAGGCGGATGAATGAATGAACAAATGGATGAATAAATACTGTGTCGAGCCAATACCAGCACACTCATACGCGTGTTCAAGCAATTGCGTCAATTGTACACCGACTTTGCAAATCGCCATGCCACAAACGCAGCCCATACGCAGGCCATACGCTAGCAGCGTGAAGCGCCACAGCCTACGTCCAAAGGCGGGAAGGACAGCGATAACGTCGTCAGCCAAACTCACCAAGCCATGCTAAGCCTTTGCAAGCACGCACAAGCCTCGACCGCTACCTGCCTATCCAGGCATCGCTCGCTGCACGCCTTGCGGCTCCACTCCTCGTATACTCTTCCTCACCTCCAATCGCCAGCAGCACGCGGCATGCTTCACCGAGGTCTATCCGCTGCGTTATAAGACTTGGCTGCGGTGGCTCTCGCACACAATGTGCGAGCACAGCAGCTCTGCAGGATGAAGCTTGTCGCGTCGCTGGTATGCGGCGTTGCTGCGCTCGGCGCTGTGGCGTCGCCCAACTCCAAGGCAAAGAGACAGACGCCATCGACGGCAGAGGCGTATGCGCCGCATGCCATTGACCAGCCGGTATGACTCGCCTGCCCATCTTTCGACATGACTGCTTATTCCTGCTGATCAACCCGCAGATTGACCATTTCCCTCACAGCAACCGCTATGTCCCGCATACCAACGACACGTTCAAGCAGCGCTATTGCAAGTCCATTTGAAACTAAAAGCACCAAAACTAAAAGCTGACTCGCCAAATATCCAGTCTTTGACTCGTCCTACTACAAGCCCGGCGGCCCCGTCTTCCTGTACATTGGCGGAGAAACGAGCGGAGAGTCGCGCTTTTCCAACTTGCAGACTGGAAGTAAGCAATGGCCGTGAATTACAGTATCCTGGTGATGCCAATCTAACTCGGTTCAGTCATCCAGATTCTGATGCAAAAGTTCAGTGGTCTCGGTGTTATACTCGAAAACAGGTACTATGGAGAAAGTTTCCCGTACAACACCAGCACCACAGATGAACTGAGGTTCTTGACCACCGAGCAGAGTAAGGAAATGGCATCGCTTTTTTTTACTACCGAATCTGACGTCTGATAGCTATTGCCGATAATGCATACTTCAGACAACATGCAACTTTTCCCGGCGTCAACGCCAGTCTAAACAGCCCCGACACTCCTTGGATCATGTACGGCGGTTCTCTTGCGGGTGCTCAAACTGCCTTTACCATGAAGACATACAACGACCTCTTTGCCGGCGGCATTGGCAGCAGCGCGACGGTCCAGGCGCACCTCGGGTACCCCTCGTGGTACACACCGATTATGAAGTTTGGCCCGTCAGACTGTGTTTCGCGCGTCATTTCCATTGTCGACAAAATGGACGCTCTCATCGCCAGCGGCAACGAAAAGGGGATCCAGCAACTCAAAGATATTTTTGGCCTGGGCTCGCTCTCCAGCCTCGGTGACTTTGCCATGACGATTGCATTTCCCATTGGGGGACCCATGAACTACCCAACCAACACCTGGCAAGAGCTCAACTGGTCGCCGCTCTACGGCTCTTCCGACTTTTTCGACTTTTGCTCAAACGTCACGAATCCGTCGTCCCCCGGAAACACCAGCAGCGTCGACACAGCTCTCGCACAGTACTCTGATGGCGAGGCCTGGACGGGCTTGAGCAACTACGCCGCCTACATCAAGCGCGTGCTCCTCCCCGAATGCACCACAGGCCGCATCAACAGCACCGACCCAGGCTGCTTCAGCACGCAGAACCAAACCTTCTACGCCGACCCCACAAACGGCGCCTCCCGCTCCTACCTCTACTCGACGTGCACCGAGTCCGGCGCGTACCAAGTTGCGCCCGCCCATGGGCCCTCGCTCATCTCGCGCGTCCTGCAAATCCCCTACACGCAGCAATGGTGCACATGGGCGTTTCCCCCAGGCCAATACAACAGCATCCCGCCCACGCCCGCGCTGCACTACTACAACAGCTACGGCGGCTGGAACATCCAAGCCAAGAACCTGGCCCTCATTGACGGAAACACAGACGTCTGGCTCGACCTGTGCTACCATTCCAATCTCGTCGATAAACTCAGAATCAGCAGTGATTTGCACCCCAGCTACCTGATTGCAGGGGCTGGCCACCACTGGGACAGCTACGGCATCAAGCATGTGCTGGCGGAGCCGCAGTTTATCCGCGAGGCGCACCTGTGGGAGGAGAGGACTGTGGCGAGGTTTTTGGAGCGGTGGGCCCAGAAGAAGCATTGAGTTGTCTTGCCTTGTTGAGCAAACGTAGATAGACAGGGTAGCTGTTGAAATCTAGTCTCTCTCTCTCTTTTTTTTGGTATTTGCAACTTCGGTTCCAAGGGGGCTTTTTGAGACCAGACACAACACATGCAAAAGGAGACAAGACAGAGGCGGAAAAAAAGGTAGCGGGTGACCAGACATAGCAGTGATTTCATCTACATCATATGATCTGTATTGTTTGGGTGCCTAGGACATCCATGTGGCGAAAGGGATCAAAGTCCCACCGTTGCTCGAGCCCCGCCCCCGTCGTCGACCAGCAGTCCAAGTGCGACAGGGCAAACAAATGGCAGTTGCCCACGATGCGGTAGCACCCTGGTGCGGCTGTGCCTGCGCCGCGGAGCAGCAACGGGACCTTGCAGCCGTCAATGGCCCACACGCTGTCTCCCTCGGCAAACTCGTGGCTCGTGACGGCTGGCAGCATGCCGGCGCGGAGTACCGACTTGTTTTGGCCGTGGCTGGCGAGCTCGGCGCAGAACTGCTGGATGGCGGTGCGGTAGATGTTTTCAGGGGGCTCGGCCGTCATTGACGTCGACGTCGAGGAGCCGTTGCTTTGCAGGATGGACGACCGAGAGCGGGTATAGGAGGGGTCGAATAGCCACTTGTATTGTGCAGGCCATGCTCTTGGATCCGTGTCAAAGGGCCCGGAACCGTTGCCTATCAGGGCCAGCAAATCGCGGGCAAACGTCTGGGCGTCTTGCCACCGTGACCGCTCGCCCATGCCTTCTCTTGTGGTGCTGTCAATGGTGGCAATGCAGTGTGCGTGGACGACAATGGATGGGGCCAGGGAGGCGTCATGGGGCCATTTGGACGGAATGTGGACTACTCTCCCCCAGTCCAGCTGGGCGAGCTCGGCGGCGCGAGTCGAGCTGCCAGAGAGCTTTTCTAGAGATCTCCAGGGCCCGATTTTTGCTTGTTGGAATTGCGGTCGCAGCGTCATGTCGCCCTGGTGCTCTATCCAGTCGGGCACCCAGGTGGGCAGGCCCTTTTCCATGTGCTTGGGCCCCAGAGACAGCGATGCGTAGGCCAGAAGCTCAAAGTCTTCCCGGCAGATGATGATGGCGGCGGCGGTGCGCGTCAGGACTTCCTCGACGCTCTGCGAGTAGTCAATGGTGATGAGCTGCTGCAGGCGCTCGCCCACCAGCCCCAGCAGGCTGTAGACCTTGTCCCTGGGATCCGTCGAGTCGCAGTGGCGCGAAACCAGCAGCAGGGCCAGCAAATCTCTTGTTGGGGCGCTGGCCAGAGGATCCCAAGCTAGCGGGCCCGGAACCTTCAGTCGTGAGATCTTGGCTCGTCCGCGGATCCGGCTCATCAGGTTGGCGTCGAGGGCGCACTCAGCATCGCCCGTGACCATCAGCAGCTTGCGGGCCAAGGCTACCTCTTGGATGACCCAGGCCCTCGACACCCATCTCTTTGCAAACAGCTTGGTCAGGGCGAGCTGGCGCCTCTCGCTGTCGAGCCACAGGCCCCTGGACGCGAAGCCGAGGTCTTCTTCGCCGAGATAGACGAGGACCTGGGCGGCGCCGGCGTAGATGTCGGCCATGAGGCCAACCTGGTGGTTCCGCTCGGGCACGTTGCCATGGTCAATACATATGGCGTCGACCCACAGGAAGCGCTCGTGGGCGGGCAGGCGCAGTCTGCGCAGGGCCGAGGCGCAGTTGGAGGTTAGCAGAAAATCGGCCGTGTGCTCGTCGCCGACATAGGCACAGGCGATGGGGTGGGAGAGGCTGTCGTCGCCGTCCTCGGTGGCCCAGCTGTAGGAGAGGGCCTCGTACTCAATGTCGGCGTCGAGGCCTGAGTGGAGCAGGTCACAGCGAATTGGGTCGTGCGTGTGGCCGGGGTAGAGGCACAGCAGGCGAAAGTCCTCGCCGTCGGCATGGGCGAGGGGGCGGTAGCGGAAGCCGTTTGCGGTCCGCGAGGATGGGGGAGATGCAGTCTTGGGTCGTTGCATGGTGGCGGGGCGGCTCTCCTGTTTGCGCGCCTTATTAGATATGACGGAGAGAAAAGTTTAGGGCCAGGCATAGGCATGGACCCAAGACGATCTTGCCTGATTGGGTGCTGCAAATGCCGATGTGTAATAGTCATGGACTGCATGCCCATGGCCGGCCCAGCGTCGCCCACCACCCAGCCCTGATATACTGGCCGCCACCGACACATCCATCACGCCCTGCCTAAAAATACCTGCACCGCGCCCGCCGCCCGCTGCCACTGCGGCAGTATGAGCAGGCCAAAAAAGAAAGGGGGCCGACGAGCGCGCTGTCCAAGCTGCCAGCAGATGCCCTCGACACGACGCGTGGCTGTGGCGCCTCATCTGTGGCTGTGGCTGCTTACGCAACCCTTATGCGCCCCCGACGACTCCTCCACCACCCGAAACGCCCTCCGCTCTCGGCCCCCTTATCACCCCCTCGCCGCCCGCCGCCCGCCGCCCTCGCCTCCAGCGCCCTCGACCTCTTTGCGCCATCTGCTGCTGGACAGTACAAGTAGTACGTGGTTTTGGCGATATTCCCTCAACAACTAACCCCCCTGGCCGCCCCACCCATGCGGGGCACTACCTACAAATATGTCCTGGCTGTGACCGGACGACGTCTCGACCGGCTGCAGCTCATCCGTCGTCCTCCCGCCCACGCCAGTACATCATGGCACTAAGGAGCAGCATGCCCTACGAGCAGAAACCGTACGAGCCATGGAAACAGCCACGGGCGGTGAATGTATCAGCCCTCGCACAACACTGACCACCCCGCCAAAATCAACATGTCATGTTTCAGCAGTCAAACCCTCTGCGCCCTTTCTCGTCTCCACACGGTAATGCTTGGCGTCCTGCCTTGCCAAAAAAAAAGTCGCCTACAATCCACCTTGTACGGGTCAGCAGCCCTTTTGGAGGTGGAACTCCGCCAGCTTATGTCACAACTCTCCACCATGAACAAAATCAAAATGTGTATAAGAGACATGCGGTCGTACTGTAGTATAGCATCAGTATCGCAGTAGCTCAAAGTACAATCCACCGGAACAGGCCCAACAAGTACTGTAGAGCACCATCTCCCCCAATCAGGCAACTATTCCGACCAAACATGGCCAATGATCCCATTTTGCTTACCAATCTCTCCAACCTTCCTCCTACCTATGACCCGGCAAAACCAGTCTACATGCTGAATCTGTGGAAATTTCGCCAGCAAGCCTCATATCTCCCCGAGCACTCCCATCTCGCCGGCGATGCATGCACAGGTCAGGAAGCTCTACAGCGATACCGCGCGGCCATTGCACCCTTGCTTCCGCCAAACACCAGCGTCGTCTTCACGAGTACGGTGTTGGCCAAGATTGCCGCCCCAGACGACGAGAACTGGAGTTTTGTTGCGATTCTCAAATACGAAACACTAGACGGGTTCAAGAACATGGTGGATTGTAAGCAGTATCGGGAAGAGGTGGAGCCACATCGGCTCGCGGGGCTCGAGGACCACAGGTTGATTATGATGGATAAGCTGGAGATGTGAATGTTTGTGGAAAAGGGATGGTGGGTTTACTGGGAAGAGATGAAGCAAGCGCTGGTAGTGCGCCAAGTCACGGCAATGGCCACGTGGGATGGACCATGATGACGTAGAGCATGTAAAAGCAACTCACCACTCCTATCCATTTTAAGAAAGCTTAATTTACCGTATGACTTATACGGAAGTATGAATCAGGCGGCTCGGCGTGGGGTGAAGTTTAAGAAACAGCACAAGGATCAGCATGAGGACTCTGCGGACGTGTGATAGATCCCAGACAAGTCAGTCATGTCAACAGGCCGCAGTCCGCCGTTGCAGATCTAGTGCACTTGCATCCAAGATACGAGTAAGCTTATTGCAACCCTGCGTCACGTGGAACTGACAAGACAGGCCGTTTCACAGCAAGGGTTCTGTACAAGCTGGGCAGAGATCTTCACATGACGAGTCGTAGCCACACGTCAACTGCATGTCAGGGACATGTCCAATACGCCAAGCTATCTGGGTAGTTCCGTACTGTCCGTGCTATCAAAAGGCCCTTGTTTTCTGTGATTAAGTGCCTCCAATTTGGATAAAATCGGCAAAAGGTCAGGCGTCCGTGGCCTACGGGCGAGCCCTCGTATCGGGACCAAGCGAAATACACGTGAGTATGTTGAACGGACCATGAAATAGGAATGCTGATCAGCAAGGGCCAAAATACGAACTTGACATGGCATCACGGCGGAGGATTCGTCACCAGTCATGTCCGCATCTCACCCATGGCGCTAATCAAGCACGGGCCTACACGACGGTACCTAGCGCTCCCGCTCCCCAAGCCCCCACACTTGCCGAGCGACGTGTCCGCGCATTCGACCGCATCATCGTCGCAGTCGCTCACCCGCACTCTATGCTTGACAATGCCATGAGCACTTCTGCCGGGTCTCGACTCGGCCCTGAAAATGCGCCGCCCACCGGAGCCTCACTACAGCTTCACGATACCCTCGGTACACGATGACACACCGCTCGATTGCCGCATATACCTCCCACATGTCCTACTCCGGCCGGATGACCCGGAGGACATTGCGAAATGGAAGAGGAGAGGCATTGTAATGGCGCATCCGTATGCGCCCATGGGCGGCAGTTACGATGACCGAGTCGTCGGCATAGTGATTGACGAGTTTTTGCATGCCGGCTTCATAGTGGGCGCATTCAACTTCAGGTATGCATCTGCTGGTCAAGTGAGCATGCGGCTCTTGACTGATCCGCCCTAGAGGTGCTCATGGATCCAAGGGGCGAACCAGTTGGTCTGGCCGGCCCGAACTGGACGACTACACCTCTTTCGCTGCCTTCTTCATGCACTACCTATCCAGCCTTCAGCCTCACCTTGCCCACCAGTTGCTATGTGTGTCGGAGCGGCCTCAAATGCTGCAAAGTCCCGCCGATCCAGTGTCGACACCAGGCAATGCTTGTCCCATAGTCGTACTAGGAGGCTACTCGTATGGCTCGCTGATCCTCAGACATCTGCCGCCTGTACCAACCATACTGAAACCATTTGCTGCTCCCGAGGCCGGCTCTGCCGCCGACGAGATCGTCTTGCGATCCCACAAGCTGGCAGATCAAACCAACATGGAATGGGTAGCCCTGACTCGAGATGAAACCCGAGCCAGAAAGCCCAAAGCGAAGCAAACCGCCCGACCCTCGATTACCATGGGCGGAGAAGAGACGAGTCCGGGGAAAAGGAGAAGCAGCAGAGAGATTCGACGAAGCTTCGAGGGAACGCGCCTGGAAATACGGTCGAAGCTGAGGAGGCTGAGCCACGGGAAGCGCGAGAAGAGCGAGCCCACGACACCGCCGCCAGCTGTGAAAAGCGAAGACTTTGCCATGCCGGATACTCGCTATCTCCTCATATCACCGCTGACTACACCCATCTCCTCACTGGCGGCACCGGCACTAATCCACCGGCTCTGGGGCAAATCCAAGGACGACGGCCACGAAATAGTCGGGAAGCACATGTGCCTCGCCATCTACGGCAATCAGGACATCTTCAGTTCAGCAAAGAAGCTTCGCGAGTGGGCCGAGCGCCTGAAAGATGCGCCTGCATCGCGCTTCTACAGTGTGGAGGTAGAAGGCGCAGGCCATTTCTGGGTCGAACACGGAGTTGAAACGAGATTGAGAGTCGCCCTGGAACAATGGGCCATGGATATGTAAAGTGGCATGTTAATCAGCATGCAAGCGTGAGAGGTCATGCTATGCTTTGACTCGCACTCAGTGTCACTTCGTCATTGAGAATCACAAACAGAGTCACGTAATAAATCATAAAAGGCATTCTATATAATAGTGCTAGTCTCACACTCTAATGCATACACCACACCAACCCTCAGTCTCTGCATTCTCCCCCCACTCTCACACCTTGACCGTATACGTAACATTGTTGCCAGGCTCCCTGGGGTAAAACTCAAGCGTAAACGTAGTATCCTTTGCCGCAGCCCTCACGGCATCCAGCGCCGCCGCCTTGATAACCACATGACCGGCATCCCAGTCCCACTGGTTGCCGTACGTCATGCGGCCCTGCTGCAGCGGCCCCAGATACTGCGTCCAGTCATCAACCAGGTACCCGCCATCTGCCTTTTGCGCCTTGACAGCCGCAGGCCTGTTCTGGCCCGCCCACGAAACGGGGATCAGCAGATCCTGGCCGGCGGCAGGCAAGGGCCCAGACGCGCTCGGAGTACTGGGCGTAGCGTACTGCAGCACGTTGACCTGGAGGGCGGCGCCGCGGGAAAATGTCAGAGTGAGGTTAGCGAGGCTGCCAAAGGGCGAGGAGGGCGTGAGAATGGAACTGAGGTACGAAGCCTTGAAGGTGACTTTCTCCCCCGAAACCGTGTAGTCTTTGCCCTTGGCCAGCTGCTTGCTGCCGTTGCTAATCTTGCTCAGCGCGTTACCATTGAATGTGAATCCGAGCGTGGCGTCGGTCACGGTCTGGTTGCGGCGGTGATAAATGTACGCCGAGCTCTGCTGGGAGGTGACAGCGCCGTCGGTGGTGCTTTCCGGGAGAGCATTGGGGATGTTCTTGAGGACGTTGCGGTAAATGTCCAGGGCCACCTCGTCGCGCCACACGTGGGTCGCGCGGTTCAGGAAGTCTGCGCCGTTGTCCCACAGAATAGTCGACGTGTTGTATTTTGCGGCGGTGCGCAGGAAAAAGTCAAAGTAGCGCCAGCGTGCTGCTGTCTCGGTGGCGACGGGCGAAACAGCCCATTCGCCAATGACGAGTGGGATGTCAGTGAAGTTGCCTCGCACGTTGGCGAGGTCGGCTTCCAGCGCGGCTTTGTCGGCGGCGGAGCCCCACGTTGTCTTGCCCCAGGCCTGGAAGACGTAGTCGTCTGATATATGTGTGTGTGTGGTTAGTGGAAGTGCTCATGAGAAGGAGGGATAACACGGCCAACTCACAAGGCGAGTAGTAATGGTACTGGATGCCCCATGGGTTCTTGAACTTGGGGTCTGGCTTCTTGAACCACTGCGAAGTCTTGATTCCATCCTCGCCCGCCCCGACCAGCGTAACCACTCTGTTTGCATTGTAGCCGCCCGCATCATTGATTGCCTGGAGAAAGACGTCATTGAGACGGTTGACGATCGCTCCGTGTTCCGGCGTGGTGCCGGGAATCTCGTTGATGGGCTCAAAAGCAACCATTTCGCTTTTGCAAGCCAGCTTGGTGCCAATCTGTTTCCACAGCTTGCCTAGCCGGTCCTCGAGAACCGTCACGTTGGTGCTGGGCTGCGTGAGATCGGCCCATGTCCACGAGTCGTGGTGCACGTTTACAATGGCGTACATGCCACGGCTCGTCACCATGTCAACGACATCGGAGACGCGCTGCAGCCACACTGGGTCGACTGTCCAGTCGGGGGCCTGGGAAGTGAAGTGGTACGCCCAGGTCACGGGAATACGGACGCTCTTGAAGCCGGCTCTTTTGGCGTCGTCAAAGGTACTGCCAACGACAGGAGGGTTGTTCCAGTCGCCCTCGGTTTGCACGGCATCGAGCGTGTTGCCAACGTTCCAGCCTGGGTTCAGCTTCGCAAAGAAGGTACCAGCAGACATGGGCGTGAATTTTGAACTGGAAGGACATGTGACGCCCGTGCCGTTTGTCGCTTTTGGTCTGTTAATGCATGGACTGGCACTCTTTTCAACGTGTACATACACTGGGCGACAACAATGGCGCCATTGAGCAGCAACGCTGCACTCGTACGTGTGACCCTCATTCTGCTTCTTGGGATGCCGCTGGTCGCTCGATGCTCAATACAACCCGGGGAGCGTCATAATTTATGATACACCCATTTCCCAGTCTATACTCGCTTGGGCCTCGGTGTGGACATGCTCTATACATGCAGCATGTTGAAACAATATGCAGGTCCCTCTGCAATCGATCAAATAGATGGGCACACTACAGGACGCGGATCCACTTTCAATTAGCGCGACTGTGTCAAGCATTGGATTTCATATGCCCAAATTGCATGCCCGCCTTCTTACCCGGTTTGTGAGCCACGAGCCTCAACCAAGAAAGCTTTCTAGAAAACAAGGCCGAGGCAGAAAATGCTTTGATTGGCCAATGGACATGTGTGATATGAGGTTTGCTCCGATCTATATTGCCCATCCCGGATCTATCCCCATATGCAGGTCCGGGCGGGCCTAGTTCCAAATTAGCCAGGACAACACTACTTTTTCCACCAAGGACAAACATCATGCTGGCGACTCAACAGGACATCTTCTCCTCATAGCTCATACATGAACATGCGCAAAAGCGCCCCCTTTTTTCTTTTCCAGAGTAGTAATACATAGCTTCTGTATCCAACATTGGCGCAGCAAGAATGTCATGTAGCTAACTCAAACCACGTCCTACAATGTCGGCCCGGATACATTAGTGCTTTGTATGATGCAAGCGTCTGTCGCTCCATATAAAAACACCATGACACCGTGCTAAACATACTCATGTGCAGGACTGCTAAAAGACCAAAGGAAAATGAGAAAGAGCTAAGAAGACATGAGCGAAGAAAGAATCGATTCTTGAAAAAATGACCTGCCCGCCCGGAAACGCCAAAAGATTAGTGAGCCGAATACCAAAGATGTCGCCCTTTTTGCGCACGCCGCGCGTAGCGTTTGTAAAACTCCGAAAGCGACTTGAGGAAAAACGTCCTTCGTTTATACAGTTCGGGAACCAGAAAGGGAGTCGTGAACACCGGTAGCTTATTCCAACGCGAACAGCCGTGTCCTCCGATAGCGCTGGGGTTTGTTCCTGTCGTTTCGGCATGTAGTCGATGTGCGTCTCACACTGACCCTGTGAAGAAAAAGCACGTCGCATCGAAAGCGGGTCCCATGCAAAAGACTGGTCCGCGGGATTCAAGTTCGTCGTCTGCGGGCTACTCAGGACGGGGCCTCTTCGCACCGTGCGGGTTCTGCCAACTGCCGTCGTTGCCGCCCTGGTTGCCTTGAAAGAATCCGGGGTTGAAACCTGGGTTGCCACCAAAGCCACCTCCTGCAAGTCTAGTGTTAGTAGCCGTCCAAGTGAAAAGGGTTAACAACGTGGGGGTGCGTCACTAATCGGAGTACGAAAGCGGCTCAACATACCCATTCCTCCCATCATGCCCATGTTACCACCGCCCATGCCCATCATGTTGGCACCCATGCCCATCATGTTTCCTCCCATCGGCATGTTCATTCCACCCATAGGACCTCCGCCCATGGGGTTCATGCCCATGTTGCCGCCACGGCCACGGTTACCCATACCACCACGCATGTTACCACCCATCATGCCACCGCGGTTGAAGCCACCCCCAAAGTTGTTCATGCCGCCCATGGGGTTACCGAAGTTGTTCATTGGTGCTTGGGCGCCATAGCCACCCATGCTGTTACCCATGTTGTTACCAGCAGGTGAGAAATTGCGGTTGTTTTGGTATCCCATGCCGCCTCTGTTGAAATTGCCCCTGTTGTTATTGTTGTATCCACCCCTGTTGTTGTAACCACCCTGGTTACCGAAGTTGCCGGATGAAGCACGGTCATTTCTGCCCTTGTCCCGTGCTGGGACGTCTTTGGGTAGTGTTTTGAACGGGTTAACGTGTGGGGGACTGAAGATGGCGGTCGGCTTCTTCGTATGGGCTTGGTCTTTGAAGAGCGTCTCGATCTGGTGCTTGAGAGCAGTAGCTGCTTGCGGTGAGTTCAACAGGGTAAAAACTTGACTGCAAGAAATGTTAGCATGCAATTGACGAAGCGACCACAGGAAACTGACCCTTTGCTCTTTCCGTTGACCTTGTGCTCGTTGAAGGTCACTTCGATGAGCTCGTCTTCGCAGCCACTTTGGTTAGCCCAGCCACGGATATCTTCTTCACTGATCCACCAATTGACATCGTTGATCATCAGAGCAGAGGTGGCGCCGGGGTCAGTTGGGCGGTCGTCGTCTTCGCCTTGCTTGCGCTTCGTGCCCTGCTGCTGAGGTGCTTGCTTGTGAACGTCCAGGCCAGCTGCGCCGCCTGTGGATGCAATCTGCTGTGTGCCCTGTTCATAATGGCCGTTGCCGTTGGTTGCTTCACCTGAAAGTTCTTGCTTGGCCGTCTGGTCTCCTGCGTCGGCCGTGGTAGTATCCGGTGCGTCGTTCGAGTTTGCCGCGTTCGCATCTGTGCTGGGGGCGTTGGCGTCGGTTACGGCCGTGTCTTGTTGCTGGGTGGCCGAGACTTGGTACGAGTCGTCGCCGTAGATGTCGATGTCGAAGTTGTCGTCATCAGCCATGTTTGCTGTGAGATGTCAAGTCAACTGCAGTAAGCGATGAGGTATCTTCCGGTATTTTTGTTTTGATTCGCTCTTATGTACTTGATGTGCTAGTATCAATAGCCAAAGTACATGCAATTCTGTGATTGGCATACAAATCAGCATGGTGAAGCAAAGGCGTGCTGCATAGGAAACAAATGAGCCTGCAGACCGTCGCAGAAGGATGGCGGTAGAAGAGACAAAACAGCGTAGAGTAAGGCCATACGTACAGTGCCGCTGTCGGCGTAGAGACCAGGTCTAGAAGGACCGTTCAGAGCAATATGGGATAATCCGATCGCCTCTGGCAGATGCGGAGATGTAAAAGGTACAGGATATGGTGTGAGAGATGTGGAGAGTGTAGTGTAGTGTAGTCTGTGTGTAGCTTCAGCCCGCCTCCTGCGCTTGCTTTGCCCGCCTCCAGTACAGTGTGCTTGTGGCGCAGCAGCTGTGTACAAAGCCCTTGAGAGAATTGGCGCAGCGCAAGACCGTGCGCTGCGAGTAATGAGAAGAAAGGATGGACAGTAGAGAGGATGAGCTTTCCAGTCAGCAACCAAGCGCGTTCCCTGTTGAACCCCCAGCGCTGCGTGTCCACGTGGTGGCGACGTGAAGAGCCCGACTGCGTGTCGCGGGGCGTGTGGGGGGCGAATCTGCTCGGCAGTGAGTAGAGCGTCGAGGGTGGCAACAAACCTGGCGAGAGTGGGCGGTTGCGGTTGCGAGCTGTGTCGGCGCGAGTGAGGATGGGCGAGGGACGTGGACGTGGATGCGATAGCTCGAACCGCTAGCGTCGCCGGTAGTGAGCTTGGCGAGCCGCCCACCCCTGTCGGCTTTCTCCGCAAGGCCAGATTGCCGTCTGCCGGGTGGTAATTTGGCAGCTTCCCTGAAGGCGCAACACCACGTCTCCATCATCCTCCCCAGCCTGCCCATCGTCGTCCTTCCGGCCCGTTCGACCCAATTCCACGACGACATCCCCGCTGTACACCTGCCGCCATGGAGAACATCAAGGAGTTTGCTGAGTACGCATGGCCCCGGCGCACACGACGGCGGGCGAGAGTGGCTAACCATACGGCGCAGTATGCCCGCTGAGTTCCTCAAGGAGGGCACTCTGTTCATGAACCGCTGCACGAGTACGGCCTCCCTTCACGGTGCAGCCGTGCATTGAAGCACGCTGCTAACACGCGCTGCAGAGCCCGACAAGAAGGAGTTCATCAGGATATCGCAGGCTGTTGGAATTGGTTTCTTGATCATGGGTCAGTAGCACCGCCATGTGTGCGCCCTCTCTGCATCGCATCGTCTGACACGCTCGCAGGAGTCATTGGCTACGTTGTCAAGCTTGTCCACATCCCCGTCAACAACATCCTCGTCGGCGGCTCATAGTCGCCCGCGCACCAGAGACACCTATCTATTACCTTCCACTTGCATCTCCGCCCACGCGACGGACCCCTTTACCATATTGTGTTGTAGTGCGCTTGGCGAGACGAGGCAGACGAGGTCACGTTACGGATTCGGACGCTCAGGATATCAGACATAGCATATCCCACAGGGGCTGTACAATACCGACATTGGGTCAGCGGGAGTTTGAATATATCCACATGATTTTGCAATCTGCACATCACCTACCTGCGCCACACAAAGGAGTCAATATGCTGTGAATATAAGAGTACCAAGCAATGCTACACCGTCCGAATGGGTAGCTCCACGTCTCCAGACGCCCCTAAATCCCTATACAAAAATAACACACGCATACCGCCATGGCCTTCATTCGTCGTCCATCATGTCATCGTACCAGATGGGATGTCTTCTCGATCGACCTTCGGCACTCTTGTATAGCCGCTCGTCATGCTGTAGCTGTGCATTGACACGTCGGCCAACCTTGGGCTCCGCCTCATCCTCTTCTACCCCATCGTTCCACGTGTGAACTGTGCATGTTCCTTGCGAGGTACCCCAGCCATTCCACGATGTCGCTGCATCTTCATTAGCAACACATATGCGACTATACAGACTAACACCAACTTACCAGCAATCATGGGCGCATTGGGGTGCCAGCTCGCATCGCGGACACAAGTCATCCACTTGCCTTCATTCCTACCCCAGTAATCGTACGTTCCAACTTGTAGGTCTGGGTCACGCGGTCGCGAATTCTTGGTTGCCTTCAACACATTGACCTTGCCCGCAAGAGTAGCATCCATGTTCCAGATGTATACTGAACCGTCGTAGCTACCCGAATAAACGTACCGCGAGTCTGTACTGCCAGGCGGCGAAAAGTGACATCGGATAAGCGTCTTCAGGACCTTGTGACCACGGAAGGTGACGAGCGAGCAATCATGTGGATGTGGGCGGAAGTCGTCGTAATCATAGCCGTTGGAGCGGTACTCGAAGCGCGTAGTGTATGCGTATGGATCAATCCGGTCCGCCTTCTCTTTGGACATCATCTTTCTCAAGTCCCATAGCTTTGCCGTCTGATCCTTTCCGTTACTGAGCACATAGCGACCATCTCCTTTACTGTCGACATACGTCAGGCCTTCTGTATGACCAAGGAAAACGCCAGCTTCGCGACCATCGCCCATACTTCGCCGATCCCAGACCTTGAGCGTCGTGTCATCGGATCCAGAGTACAGAATGTGGGGTGACTGGCTGTCACCAAAGCAGACGGCATTGACATCATCCTGGTGACCTGGTATCCGAAGCACCGACTGCCTTCGCTCAATATCGTAGACATATACTGAACTATCACCTGTTCCTGCTACAATCTCGCGGCCATCACCTGAGAAACGAATCGACCAGATCTACACCTTGTCAGCCGATTGCATACATCTGAGCTGTCTCTAGCTTACGCCAAAGTGTGAGTGGAACCCTCGCGGATGTCGGGTGCCTGTGTTGTTGAAGTCGAGCATATGCGGTTCCGAGTCGTCATCCGGATCGGTGGGTGCCAGACACACTATACTTCTAATTGAGCTGTAGGCCAAGAAGCGATTGTCTGGGCTAAGTGAAGCATCGGTGATTGTCCATTGCCCGCCATGATATCTGACAGTCTGAACAGAGTCAGCCGTGTAGCGCTCGAAGATTATCTTTGCGCCTTACCTTGTAGTATTTCCAATCATAAGGGTTCGAGGTATCGTACATGCGCACTTTGAAGTCCTGTGCACAGGAAAAGAAGAAGTTGCCGTCGTCTGAGAACTGTCCCGAGTAACACCGTGCGTTATAGTGAATGATTGTGTCGGCGACTGACTCGGGTATCATATTTTGCTTCAATAGCCTCGTGGCGTTCTTCTGGCGTCCATCACTGCCAAGCCCCAACTCCCGCCTCATGATATCGTAGGCCAGCCTCTTCTTCCTCTTGATGGTATCCTCTTTTCGTGGATTCGAGCCAAAAGTTCCGGTTTGCATCAGCTCTATGTCTTGTTCGCTGGGCACCTTCTCTAATAGATCCCTGCCGCGTGGGCGACGCCTTCGACCACAAGTTCCTCTAGGGACAACGGGGTCGTAGCCGGTGCCCTGATCGCTGTTGCCATCGTTGTCTTCCTCCTCATCCTCGTCGAGTCTGCGTTGTCGAAGCAAAGTTCGCCTAGTGAAGTCGGTGGCAAATATACGTCCCAGTCCAGCATGCCCAAGTAACTGCATGATCTGGTCGCGGGTTATCATTACTGGTCGTCGGGTAAGGTCCAGTTCGTCTTCGTCTTCCTCCTCTTCTTCATTTTCGTCCTCTTCGTCCTCTTCGTCTTCGTCTTCCTCATCATCGTTATCTTCCTCACCTTCGCCATTATCGTCAGTGTGTTCAAATGCGATCTCAACGCCACTGAGATTACTTAGTCGCTCAGCAGCATCTTTGCGTAGAGTTAGCAATTGCAGCACAGATGCGCATCGTCGGACGCCAAATACCGTGAAAACTGGTGTCGCCCTCATCATCATCATCATCATCATCATCATGTTCGTGGTGCCCTTCATTACCCGGCGCAGAGTCCATGTCGTCATCATCTGAGGGATCTCGCCAGAACGGGTCGGTCGGATCGTAATAAAGGATCCTGGATTCGTCACTGTCGGTGGGTGGACTCCTTGGGTCCTGCGAGGAGCTCATGGTGGCGGACTGAGCTGTGAAGCGAGTCGTGAGTTGTGCCGAGGCGGCATGATGATGGTGGTGGTGGGCTCGAGCTATGTAGTAATCGCGGCAATAAGCACTACTTATCGCCGACTACTCCACTTGACTACTGTACCTTATCGATATACCAGACAACGTATGCAACGCACCACTTGTGGGGCTCCTGGTGCTCAATGCCATTCGGTGTATATGGTAAGAATAGATTAATCGTTCAGCGCACTTTGACTGTTGTCGACGAGGGTCGTACAGACAATGCTTCGGGTCTCCACTTGCATTCATGTGGGGCGCCTGGTCGCCCTCGCCGGTACCGCGGGGTTTTAACAGTGGTACGTTTATCGCACTTTTTCTACTTACAAGGGAGTAGCGCGTCACAAGTACCATCACTGCGTACCAAAGACACAAAAATTGCATAGCATACTAACGTAGGTGGATTCACGGTATTAGAATTACTATTTAAGACACTGTGTAGGTCCCTAGCCCACAATCACAGATAATTTCAGTCTGTATCGGTGTCGTGGTGCGAAATCAAAAGCTCAGGGTCAGGATCGTCATCTTCCGAATCGGGATATGCTTGTTTAGGTTGAGCTGGCTGCTTTGGAGACTGCGGGATCCTGATGGCTGATACCGTCATATCTTCCGGCTGCGTAGCGTGGAATCCGTCTTGGTCCAGTAGCGACTCCGGAGCCTTGCCCTTTCGTTTCGATCCCAAGACCTCCTCTAACATATTCTGACCTTGTGTAAAAGCCTCTAGCTCTGCTCCAATGGCGCATACCAGCAGATTCCAACCTCGCGAAGAAGCAAGCTCTAGCTTTTCTTCCAGGTAAACAATAGTATTGTCCATCTGTTCGAGAAGTTTAGAAGGGTCGGGGGGGTTCTTTCGTCCTGCTTGTTGCATGTAGTCTTGTAGGCTTGCTTCATAGTCGGAGACTCTCTTCATCACATCTGTCCACAGCAGCGCTCCTTCATCGAGCGCTCCGCGATCCGTATCAACCTCTTCGCACTTTTCGGCCAGTCTAGTATACTCGCCCTGCCAGTACTCGCGCGCCATTTCAAGCGTCCGTCGCTTCGCGGGAAGTGCAGGATATGGGGAGGATGACAAAGGCACGTGGTTGGGATCCGCGGGTTTTGCAAGAAAGCTCGAGACTTCGCGATCCAGCAATGACAGAGACGTCTTGTAAGACGCCATCTTTGCTTCTACCGAGTTCTCCGTATCGGCGAGCTCGTCCAACACTCGCCGATGGCGTCGCTTGAGCGCCCACAACTCCTCTTCCTTTTGCCGTATTTCTTGTTCGAGCTTTGAAGCCTCTGTTTGTAAGCTCTGTGCCTTTGCGCCAGCATCCTCAATCTCTATTTCTCGGATCTTCTTCTCCAGCCGTGTGCGCTTCTGGCTCCACGCGTCTGTCTTCTCCACCGTGCGCTGCAGTTTCCTCAGGTCTTCGTCCAGCAGATCCAATTCCTCAGACTTCACGCTAGCGAGCTGTTTCATTCGCCTCGATATGCCATGTCTTGCCGCCTGCAGTCCTACTCTTTTCTTCCGGGGCTTAAGGCGTGTCTCTCCGTTCTCCGCGCTTTTATCACTGGACCTGATACTGCTCACAGTGGGTGTGGTACTACCGTTCGACACTAGATCATCTGGTACGGCGCTCCCTGCACCCAGCCCGCTCATCAAACCATCCGACTGCGCATCGAGCAGCTCTTGCAGCTGCTGTTCGAGATGTCGAGCTCGCCGTTGCAGAGCCAGCAAATCATCGGGCACTCGAGGTTGCGGTGGAAGGCTTGCTTTGGGCGCGGTCCATAGTACCGAAGAGGTTACGGGAGGCGGTATGCGTGAAGTGGATGGAGCGTTATACAATGGCAGCTCATGTTCGCGCGCGTGCGGATCTTCGAACGACTTTCTGAATTCTCGCGGAGGAGAGAGCGAGCCTAGCACCGAGTTCAAGATGGACATTTTGCTTAACCATTAGAGTAGGAATTCGATAGCAATGGAGGTGTTATATTGCCGGGTTGTTGAGCGGTGTCTGAGTCCGTTCGCGTGATGCCGACAGTAACACGGGCATGTGAACGAGTCATGCGGCTCGGGAAATGTCTTAGTCAGCCAGGTGCCCAACGAACTTGGGAAACGTAGTGACAACACTGCACATTATCATTCGCAGTGTTTTCGCTGCGCCCATATTTGCAAACAACGCCATGTGCTGGTTAGCTTGACAATGTCACATGGTGAGGTTATTGAATTACAGTTGCGACATCTTGCCAGGTATCTGGGTTCTCCTGTTCCTTGCCCTTCACAATTCTCTATTATTGAGTGCAGAGTACAGAGACTTAAAGCGCCAGGTGCAATGAGAAATTCAAGGCCGCAGTCTGTCTTGTTCTCAAATTCCAAGTTCCAGTTCCGTTTGCACCCATGAGCGGGAGCCCTGCCCTCTGATAGCGCCAACCCAAACGGGTTAGCGTGGCCTCACCCACAGAGACTAAACGAAAGTCGAATTCCAATTTCGCGACCTCGAGCGACTTTGCGACAACAGCACTAACTCCAGGACACACCAAATCGTATGCTCCTTCCACCTCTTGTTCTCCTGGACCATTGCTAATCCCATTTTCAGCAGCCGTATACCCCACCCGACATACAAAATGGCTGACGCTCCTGCCCCCGCTCGCGGCGGATTCGGTTCTCGTGGAGACCGCGGTGGTGACCGTGGACGTGGTCGCGGACGTGGCCGTGGCCGCCGTGGCGGAAAGTCTGAAGTACGCACACACAGAAGTCAGAGGGGAAGATTGCAGGAAATTGACAATTGGCACAGGAGAAGGAATGGCAGCCCGTCACCAAGCTCGGCCGTCTCGTGAAGGCTGGCAAGATCAAGAGCATGGAGGAGATGTATGTTCACCTGCATGCCAGGATTTGCGAGAGAGACTTTGGCTGACAGCATGTAGCTACCTCCACTCTCTCCCCATCAAGGAGTTCCAGGTCGTCGACTTCTTCCTCCCCAAGCTCAAGGACGAGGTCATGAAGATCAAGCCCGTCCAGAAGCAGACCCGTGCCGGTCAGCGTACCCGCTTCAAGGCCATCGTTGTCATTGGTGACTCCGAGGGTCACGTTGGTCTCGGTATCAAGACCTCCAAGGAAGTCGCGACTGCCATCCGCGCCGCCATCATCATCGCCAAGCTCTCCGTCGTCCCCATCCGAAGAGGTTACTGGGGTACCAACCTCGGTGAGCCTCACTCGCTTCCCACCAAGGAGAGCGGAAAGTGCGGTTCCGTCACCGTCCGTCTCATTCCCGCTCCCCGCGGTACTGGCCTTGTCGCTTCGCCCGCCGTCAAGCGTCTCTTGCAGTTGGCTGGTGTCCAGGACGTCTACACTGCCTCTTCCGGCTCCACCAAGACTCTTGAGAACACGCTGAAGGCTACCTTTGTTGCCGTCGCCCACACTTACGGATTCCTCACGCCCAACCTGTGGAAAGAGAACGCTCTCCGCCCCTCACCACTTGAGGAGTACAGCGACATTCTCCGCGAGGGCAAGAGGTACTAGAGGGAGTTTTTGGGTGACATGGGTCTTTTCTAGCATTCCTGGGTTATGGCGCGAGGCATTACATTCGGCTCCTCACGTATGTATCCAACGATAGTGCTGGGTCAACTGGCATGAAAATGAACAATTTCAATGATGACCTTGAAGACATGGTTTCGATGTGTGTGACCAAGGCACCAAGCCCCGCTTTGGGTGGTCTGTGTCTGTGGCTGTAAATGGCGTAGTGTTGGTCTTGATTTAGTCCGACGATAGGTCGGAGGTATTTGAATGGCATGATGACGTGAAGACGACTGATGAATGGTATTGAACAATGCAATATTAGCTCAATTGTAAAAGGCACTCCATATTGGCAATGTGTTCATGTGCCCAAAGAAACTATATGTATTACTGCAATGCCTTCACTCGCCCTGCAACGGCTGGCCATTTCCGCCCATTGTGATGGTCTTTGTAACCGTGTACTCTGCAACACCGAGATGGCTTCCTTCTCTGCCGAATCCGGATTCCTTGACGCCGCCAAAAGGCGAGGCAGCATCTGAAATGAGACCCGTGTTGACGCCGACCATGCCGACTTCCAGAGCCTCGGCCACCCTGTACACCCTCTGGATATCTCTGCTGAAGAAGTAGCCCGCGAGACCCACGTCGGCCGCGTTAGCCAGCTTGACGACATCGGCTTCGGTGTTGAAGGGGAAGAGACCTGCGACGGGACCAAAAGTCTCGTCCTTGGCAAGCTGCATATCCACGGTCATGTCGCGGAGAACGGTGGGCTGGTAGAAGTTGTCACCAAGCTCAGGAAGCTTCTGGCCGCCGAACAGGACCTTTGCACCGTTCTTCACGGCATCTTGGACGTGCGCGTCGACCTTTGACACCGCGCGGTCGTGGATCAGAGGGCCGTGTGTGGTGCTTGCATCGTATCCACCGCCAACCTTGAACGCCTTGACTTTCTCGGTGAACCTTGTGCAGAATTCGTCGTAGATGCCTGATTGAACGTAGATTCTGTTGGCGCACACGCATGTCTGGCCGGAAGAACGGAACTTGGATGCAATGGCTCCTGCTACAGCGGCTTCGAGGTCGGCGTCGTCGAAAACAATAAAAGGTGCGTTTCCGCCGAGTTCGAACGAGAGTTTCTTGAGCGTGTCGGAGGACTGCTTCATCAGAAGCTTGCCTACGCCTGTGGAACCAGTAAAGGAGATTTTCTTGACAGTCTTGCTGGATGTGATGGTCTCGCCGACTTCGGCTGTGTTTTTCAGTGCGGTGACAAAGTTGACGACACCCTTGGGGATTCCCGCGCGGTGTGCAAGCTCAGCTAGAGCAGCAGCTGTGAAAGGTGTCTCGCCGGGAGACTTTGCGACCACTGTACAGCCAGCAGCTAGGGCAGGGCCAATTTTCCTTGTGATCATTGCCGCTGGGAAGTTCCACCTGTCAATGTTAGACTTGTTTCTTTTCCAAAAGTGCCTGGGCGCTTACGGTGTGATCAGCCCGACAACGCCAACTGGTTCCTTGATAGTAAACACCCTGTTCCCAGCAACTGACGCGGGAATCGTCTCTCCGTAGATGCGCGGCGCCTCTTCCGCGAACCACTCGTAGAAACTGGCAGCGTAGTTGACCTCTCCCTTTGCATCTGCCAGGGGCTTTCCGTTCTCCCATGTGATGAGCTTGGCCAGGTCCTCTGCATTGTCAACCATGAGCTGGTACCACTTTCGGAGCATGCGTGAGCGTTCGCGACCGGTAGTCTTGCGGAATGAAGGAAGAGCTGCTGCTGCGGCAGCAATGGCAGCTTCGGTGTCGGCGCGGTCCATCTCGGGCATGGAGCCTATGAGCTTGCCTGTTGCTGGATCTGCAAGATGTTAAGAAAGTGCATATACTAGAGACAAAAGAGACCTTACCGTGGACCTCGAAAGTCTTGCCAGACTTTGCGCCTATCCATTCTCCATTGACATATGTCTGGCTCTTGAGCAGAGACTTGTCGTTGAGCTTTGCGAAAAGTTAGCCTCACAATCGTGGCAGTTGGCGGAAGCTGCTGACATACAGGTGGTACTGAGTGGCCCATACTTGCGTATCCTCTTGAAACAATTGTCGGCAATGTCCTCTTCTGAAAGCTGTTCCTGTAGGCGGGCTGTCGTGCAAGTGATCGAGTTGCCGTGACAAAGGCGCGCATAATGTCTCTGGCGGGACTGAAGGCAGATTATAAAGTACCGTGGGGCTCCCCAATTTTGGATGGTGCACGCGAGAAAAAAGGCAAGTCCAGCCAGCTGCCCAGGCGTCAATTGCTGGTTGACTATCTTTCGGATGGAGTCGTCGGAGTTGCTTCAGCCTATGACGTTTGGAAGAGCTATGACCAAAATGCGGGGTCGGCCTGCTCAGAGAACACCACAGGTGGGATGATGGCGGACGACTCGGAAGCAGCTGAGGATGTCTGAATGCGACACACAAATGTGAATGCAGATATTCAAGTGTTTCTTTTGTCGCGAGCAATAAATCGCGTGGAGCAGTGTAGTGATACTCTTGGTTAAAATATCTCCAAGCTTCGCGACGAGTACAGTGCGTGTAGAGCGTGTAGAGCGTCAACAGCGTGTGGAGCGTCAGGAGCGTGTAGGCAACTTTGCAATGGAGCGGAACATGTCGGGGCTGTTTGGTCAGCCATGTTGATTTTGCTGTGAAGGTGATTGCATGGCGACTCGGGCGTTGGACACTGGCTAGAGAGGCCGGTCTGTGCTCTGAGCGTAGTATACATACTACATGGGGGAAAAGCGTAGTGGGGAGCACGACGTGGCATGGGTGCCAAGCCACAACCAAGGTGTAATTCTTTTTGCATGCCACATGAAACAAATGCTTTCTTCTGCCCTCCTGCCCATGTTCTGATTTGCCGGTTTGATGTGTGTGGCCACGGCTGACCGGACGCGGCGCACAGGCATTATGATAGTTGCGATGTTCGTCGCAACATCACGCAACGGTACATGGAGGCGAATCCATATATCCACATCCCCCGCCCTAGCAATGCCATCCCCATTGCGTGCCGCGGAAAAGCAGCGCAGACATGACGGCGGATATGGCTTGGGACATGTCAGCTTCAGACGGCGGTGCACCAGTCATGGCAAGGCGGGCACAGGCAGCGTGGACTCGCAGCCGCTTACGGCAGGGCAGGCATGGCGACGCAGATAGATTGATGGCGACAGCAGGCAGGAGATATAGCATCGAGCGCGAGACGTGACAAGTGCTGGTGTGGGTGTGTTCATGTTCAGGGGGGCGTTACTTGAATGGAGTCGACCCGGCACGTGGCGCACGTGCATGGTTCGCTCTTCCCCACACATGCCAGCGAGCTCTAATGGCGTTAAGCTTTTAGAGTCGCATGTCGATCATGCAGGAACATGGCGGCAGCAAGAGCGGCAGCATGGAAAGGAAGAGCGGAAAAGGCCCTCCAGAGCCGGCCGGGAGACTCCCGAAAAGCGGCCGGAATCGCCCGGAGCGAGTGCCTGCGTCGTTCGGGGGGCCTTTGGAGGCACAGGGGACGGCTCCAGGCCGAGAAAACGGCGTGTGTTGCTGTGGTGGTGAATGTGGCATCTGGAAAGCGTACCTTGCTCTAAAATCGTGTTGGGTTTTAGCGCGCTTGGGATTGAACGGGCCAACAGTAGCTCGACCAACACCACGACTGTGCTCACCCATCACCCTCACGCCCCTCCGCCTCGTTGGCCATTTTTGACTGCCAGCGTCTCTGCGCCGTCTGCAGCGACATAGCATTCTTCTCTTCGCTGTTGGCGCCCGCCCGTGCACCCTCGTTGTTCGTGCATCGCGCACCCGGCCCGCGCTCGCCCATCCCACAACAACACGCCCGAGCAGCCTCCCAGTCAGCATCGCGCGCACTTTTGCCATCATCGGCGCACATGCAGGAGCATCTTTCCTGCTACGGATGTCATCGTAACTCCCGATAAATCCCCATTAGGCGGTGTACGTGCCCGAGCCCCGTGACCCGTCGGGGCCCCTTCGCTCACAGCGCCCCCAGGCACGCAAACGAGTCCCTATGTCTAGCCGAGCAAAGCGCAAGTTCGACATCGACCCCAACGCATCCGATCCGGACGACTTTGACTACGACGACTCTGAAAGACGCGCACCCCCACAGCGCCGCCGAAATCGAGGCACGCCCGGGGCCAAGAAGAAGCCGTCCAAGCGCCAGCGACGCGCATACGGCGGCTCCGACATTGACGACGACGACGACATCGAGTCGGAGGACTCCTTTACCGAGCGCTCCGAGTCAGAGGAGCCCGAGATCAATCCCGCAACCGGCAGGAGCGTGCGTCGCGCCACCAAGAAGCAGATCAAATACGAAGAGAGCGAGGACGAAATCGAGGACACGCCGTCCGAAGACGTTTCGCCCAAGCCTGCCTCGCGCCGTCGCGCCCAGCCGTCGATCGAAAAGGTCGAGAAGCCTTCGCTCATTGTAAAGCTGAAGATGCCTGACCACGCCTCCGGTCGCAACCTGCGCACCCGCACGGGCAGCAAGTCCCTCGCGCGTGGAAGAACACCAGAAGTACAAGGTACACGACGCAGTAGTCGTCTTTCGCACGATATCGAGGCGCCCATTGTCGCACTCTCCGACTCGGGCAAGCATGTCAATGTAATCCGCGAAGGGACCCGGAGCCCGGAGCCTGTTATTGCACGCGCAACAAGAGGTGGCAAGGGCCCCAAAATTGAGCACCCCAGCGCCATCATGGAGGCCTCGCAAGAGACATCGATGATCCGCGACGAGACGCCTGGTCCCCTCGATGCCCTCATTGCTGACGCGGAGACCCAAGTCAAGGCAAGCAAAGACAGCTCACCCGCAGATGATGCTCAAGAAGGCGACGCTGAGGGCGAGGAGGATATGGAAGGCGTGATTCAAGAATCTCAGCAAGACGAAGGTGCCGCTGAAGAATCCGACGAGGAGGGCCCGGTCACTCGCGGGGGCCGAAACCTGAGGGTATGACACTGCCCGACATTCCAGACCAAGTGCTTAGACTAACAACCATTGCCAGAATCGCGCTGCATCATCTAAGCGCAAACGAGCCGCCAACGAGAGCAGCGACTTTGAACCTCCCGCCGAGGACGAGAAAGAGGAAGAGCTCTCCGAGTCCGACAACGACAAGGGCAAAGCATCTGCCTCTGAAAGCGCCTCGGGCTCAGGAAGACGTCTCCGAGGCAAGACCCGCCAGTCTGGACGCAGCAGGCGCAACTCTTCATCTGAAGAATCAGGGCTTGATCAAGATGAACTCCAGGATGAACTCCAGGACCTCGAGTATAACAAGCGACGGCGATTGTCACGTCGGAAGCCTGACGAGGATCTGTCTTACGACACGATGCCCAAACGCCGGGCCCGCAACGCGGGTGTGGATTACCGTGTCGTGCGACCAGAGATGAACACCATGTTTGACAATGACGATGATCCACCCGTTGCCGAGAAGACTCGGGCCAGAGGTGGCCGATCCACATACAAGAGCTTATGGCGCAGCCAGGGTCCCTTTGGTGGCGGTGTCGAAGCTGGCATGGGCGCAGCAGGCGGCGATTCTGACAGCAGCGAGGATGAGAACCAGAAGATGCCTAAGCCGGCTGGTGGGATGATAGGCATGACTCCCACTACCGCGACAGCCCCTGCGTTTGGCTTTCCTCAATCCCACAATGCCGACCCGCAGCAAGCCTCTGGTGGTGGTCCCGCAAATCTTGGAAAGGTCAAGGACAAAAAGGCCCTCGCCGATGCTGACCCTCTCGGTGTTGATCCGAACGTCAATTTCGATGGGGTCGGTGGTCTGGACGATCACATCAACAAGCTCAAGGAGATGGTCATGCTCCCACTGTTGTATCCCGAAGTCTTCCAACGCTTCAAGATTACTCCTCCACGAGGTGTTTTATTCCACGGACCACCTGGTACGGGTAAGACGCTTCTTGCCCGCGCGCTCGCCTCGAGTGTCAGTACGCACGGCCAGAAAGTTACCTTTTACATGCGTAAAGGTGCCGACGCCTTGAGCAAGTGGGTTGGAGAAGCTGAGCGGCAGCTTCGTCTCTTGTTTGAAGAAGCGCGGAAGACCCAACCAAGTATCATCTTCTTTGACGAGATTGATGGATTGGCCCCAGTCCGGTCTAGTAAACAGGAGCAAATTCATGCCTCGATTGTGGCAACGCTTCTTGCCTTGATGGACGGCATGGACGGTCGCGGGCAGGTCATCGTCATTGGTGCTACCAATCGTCCAGACTCGGTAGATCCCGCGCTTCGACGTCCAGGGCGCTTCGACCGCGAATTCTACTTCCCACTGCCGAGTGTTGCAGGTCGACGAGCCATCATTGACATTCATACCAAGAACTGGGACCCGCCTCTAAAGCCGGAAATGAAAGACCAGCTTGCAGAACTGACAAAGGGTTACGGAGGTGCCGACATTCGAGCCCTGTGCACGGAAGCCGCTTTGAATGCCGTTCAAGGAACCTACCCTCAAATCTACACATCTGAGAAGAAGCTCTTGATCGATCCCAGCAATATCAAGATTCTCGCAAAGGACTTTATGATCTCGGTCAACAAGATGGTGCCTTCATCCCAGCGAACAGTCACCGCAAGCGCAGCACCATTGGGCAAGAACATTGAGCCACTGCTACGCAAGCCCCTTGCAGCAATTATCAAGCGTATCGATGAGCTTATTCCAAGGAGGAAAAAGCTTTCGGCACTCGAAGAGGCAGAGTTTGACGACCGCGAGGACGAGAAGGGCTTCGAGCGGGAGGCCACTATGCGCAACTTTGAAAGCAGCAGAATCTTCAGGCCCCGTCTGCTTATCAGTGGCCTCCAGGGCATGGGCCAGCAATACCTCGGCGCTGCGTTATTGAACAAGATCGAAGGGCTGCACGTCCAGTCTTTTGATCTCCCAACCATCTTGGAGGATTCTACAAGAACACCCGAGGCAGCCATCACTCAACTGTTCACTGAAGTCAGGCGGCACAAGCCCAGTGTCATCTACATTCCTGCAGTTGATGTCTGGTATCAAACACTACCCACACAGGCGATCAAAACATTCAAGCTTCTTCTGCGCAGTGTTGGCGCCAACGAGCCGATCATGGTCTTGGGTATCATGGAATTACTCAGTGAAAATGAGAAGCCCGACCGACAGATGATGATGGATCTCTTCTCGTTCTCGCAGACCAACCGGTTCCTGCTCACGCGGCCGGATCAAGAAGGTCGCTCAGAATTCTTCAACAATATCAGTCATTACATCCGCATGTCTCCTGCGGATTTCCCCGACCCCGATAACAGAAAGAAGCGAGTACTGCCTGAGCTGGAGCCCGCACCTATCGTTGAGCCAGTCATTGATCCAAAGGAGCTTGCGGCGCGCGAGAAGTGGCAGAAGAAGCAAGACAGGCTTACTCTCAACAAGATGAAGATTGTCATACAGCCAATCATGGACCAGCTGAAGAGGAGTCACAGGAAGTTCTTCAAGCCAATTCTAGAGGAAAGTTGGTACTCTTATCTGCTCGAGGAACAAGACCCCGAGTACCTCCGATCAGACCTGCCTCGCCAAGAGCAAGAAGAACAGGGCGCTATCCGGCCGTGGGAGTTCTCAAAAGATAACAAGGGCGTGGACGTTCTCTTGCATGTCGAGAGTGGTAACAAGTACTACAACTTGGACCTCAGCACGATCGAGAAGCGACTTTCCAACGGCTACTACAAACGCCCTGCGGATTACCTCTTCGATATCAAGACGCTTGTGAAGGATGCTCGGACTTTCGGAGATGCTGAGCGAACCCTGAAGGGCAATGAGATGATTACAAATGTCGAGGTCGACCTGGACAACTTCTTCATGCAGCAGAATCCCGGTCTGCTCCAAGAATGCGAGGCAGTATATCAGCGCGAACTCGAAAGGGAACGCAAGGCCCAAGAGAATCGAGACAAGGCCATTGCAGAGAACAAGGAGGTTGCCGACATTGCTCGCGTACCCCCTGAGCAATCCATCGGCACAACGGAGACTTCAGGGCCCATCACTTTGGGTGAGCCTGTCCCTGGACATTTGCCTATGCCACCCGTTACTCCCATGCGGGCACCTCATCCTGCAGAGTTGTCAAATGGCACACACCACGCAACGAATGGTTCTATCGCGCCCTCCCATGACGATACAACCATGACCGACAGCCAAGATCTGAATGCGACCACACAGCATGATTTCCAGTTTCAAACTCCAAGCAGGATCGACACTCAGGGAACGCAGACTCAGAAATCGCAGGTGGCGGGGCGCACATTCATGGCGCCAAACTCGCATCCCAACGACTACCACAATAGCGCGTCAACAACGACTTCTGGTCAAAAGACTTCGCACAGGTCTTCAGACAACAAGTTCAGTACTCAGAGCAGCAATGGTGTTGCGCCAGTCGGTATCAACTTTTCCGAGATGATGCCCGAGCCGGGCGGTTCGCAGCTTCCCGACACGCAAGGTTCGTCGGAATTCTCTCTACACTTTCAGCACTCCACTAACTTGATACAGAAGTCCACTATGTCAGCAGTCAGCCCTCAAACTCGCAATTTTCACAGCCATCGCCACATGTTAATTCGATGCCGGCGCCGGCGCCTCCACACCACTCAAATCTCAACGAAATCTTGAATGATGAGCCTAAGCCTCAGCTTATTCTTGACGATAGTCTCGTTACGGCATTGCATGAAAAGCTCGTTCAGTCGACATCTGGCTGCTCGCTTGAACAGCTAGAGCAAATTAACGCCGCGCTTATGGATGCTATTTGGAAATATCGATTCGAGTATAACCGCAACGTCGTTCTCAAGGAGGTGACAGAAGCATTCAACGTTATTATCAACGATATCCAAACCATGCAAGAGATCCTCAAGTCGAGCCAAGAAGAAGAAGAGGCAGAACTACGGCGGCAGTATCCCTCTACGCAAGACGACTGGTTCTCACAGACGCAGTCTCGTCACTAGCATTCTAGCATCGTTTGTACTGCCAGAACGGGAATCGCGGACGGTGGCGGCGGGGGAAATGTAAGCGTGGTTTGCGGACCTGTACACATACCCCTTCTTTGGTTAGGTCTTTTTGTGTGTGTGTGTGTGGCACTTTGAAGCATACACTGTGTGCATATAGGCGTTTGGATCAATGTAGTAGGCATACCAGGATCTTTGCGGTTGGCACATATATCGTCGGGTGGAGCAAAAAGGAGTCTTCAATCATACCATTTTTCTCTTCACTTTCCCTAGTACCGTGACTGAGCCACCTTTTTCACTTCTTTTTTCTTTCTTTCTTCTTACTTTTGCGTCGCCCTGTCTTTACGCTTTTTGTAGGTAGTGCAGATGTTAGAGGGAATAAGAGAAATGAGATTATAATGATAAATCATTGTCTCGACGATACTCTGTCTCTCTCTTGCTATTGCTCTTGCTCTTTCTACAGATTATGTCTCGCTATCTGATTTTTCTAATCAACGCTATTCGTGCCGCACTACGCTATATCGCAATATCCAGATTCCTAACAACCATAAAAAACGAATAAACGCCCTCGCTATGGTGGGTGGGAATCAAAACCCTGCAAAAGAGGAAAAAAAATCTAAAGTAAAGTGCAAATACGAATGCTGATGCTAGTGTACAGAGGACTTGTCTAATTCTGAAAGAAAAAAAGATATGAGTCGATGAAGAAAGAAGGGAAGAAAGTAGGAAGGAGGTAGGATCAAAGATTACTCTACCCTTTCAACGTACTCATTGCGCTCAAAGTGACATGGTCGCTCCCAATATACATTTTTTTTTACAACACATGGGTAATTGTTCATAGACAAGGAAGGGGCCTGTGTGTGTATGTGTGACTTACCTACGTCTTGGTATTTAGGTTTCGGCATTGGAAGGGACTTGCCGGTTCCTTTTTTTTGGGGGGGGGGGGGGTACTGGTGATAATGATGATAATGAGGGCGAGGAGGCGGACAAATCACTCACAAGTGCTTGCTCCAAAGTTGCACGTGAGCGGATCCAAGCAGTAGCGATAACCAGGGTCGCTGCACCGCCACCCCGGACATCCCTGAATGTTGGGTCCGCAGCAAAACGCCACTACATTGAGGTAAGTATAGCAGATGTTGGGTGAGCATTGCGAGTCGGTCGTGCAGATGGCGCCGGGAGTCAGGAGTGCTGCGGGGGGTGAGGTAGTGGCGACGTGCATGCTACGGTCCGATTGAGGTGTAGATGTAGGTGTAGGTGTAGGTGTAGGTGTAGGTGTAGGTGTAGGTGTAGGTGTAGGTGTAGGTGTAGGTGTAGGTGTAGGTGTAGGTGTAGGTGTAGGTGTAGGTGTAGGTGTAGGTGTAGGTGTAGGTGTAGGTGTAGGTGTAGGTGTAGGTGTAGGTGTAGGTGTAGGTGTAGGTGTAGGTGTAGGTGTAGGTGTAGGTGTAGGTGTAGGTGTAGGTGTAGGTGTAGGTGTTGGTGCTGATGTGAGCCGAGGTGTCGATGGAGGCGTGCTTCTTAGGATTGAGGATACGAGAGTGCTGAGTGGATGTGATGAGGTGAAGGATGGACTACCAGAGCTGGTGTAGCTGTCTTGTATAGGCGATGGGGGGATGGAGATGAGTGGATAAGTTGAAGTTATCTATCTTATGCGTTAAGCTTATGTATCTTTTGTGCCTTTGTAGCATGCGCCTTTTGTAAGTACTCACATCTTCAGTTTTAGAGGTCGGTGCATTGTTTTTTCCGGGTATTACATATATTGGGACGACTACTGCTATTATGACCAGGGCTATTATTGCTACTGCTCCAATGGATATTGCTCCATAACCTCTTAAGTTGACGTGTTGGTGTCCAGTCGTTGTGGTGGTATCGCGCTGCGTGTGGCCTTGTGTGGCAGTCTGGGCTGTTCCAGAAACCGTGTTCTTCTTCAAATTGGCCTTTATCTGGCCTTGGCCGGTTGTCATGGTGGAATTGATACAAGAAATTGAAGGTAACAATATGAAATGGCTTAGATATCCTGTTTCTTCTCTCATGTATCAACTGGTGGAGAAAAGCTGTGAGCCGAGGATAATGGGCATGTGTTGGCTACACGACGTCTTACAAGGTATTTGGTCATGGCAACAGATAAGGGGGGGAGGCGGCACGGCGCGGAGGCTGAGTGTATGTTGCAGGGGTCTAAGAAGTGTTTCTCCGGTGCGAACTGCAAGATGGGTGCCTTGTTCTCTACCATCGGAAAAATGCAAGCCACGGAAACTAGTGGCTTTTCATATACGAGAGAGTGAGCGAGTAAGCGCTTAAAGAACAGAAATTTCATCCCACTTTCAGCTTTGTGCTACACGCCACTTATGCCATCCTGTCGGATTTAGTCAAGGCAGACCTAGCTATGTCGGTGAGTAAATTCTTCTTCGTTACAAATATCTCGATGTGGTGAGGAACTTGGAAAGCTTTCTCGCATATCTACAATATGGGATTGTTTGATGGTGACAACAGCATGAGACCAGATTGATTTCCAAAGCCTCGAATCCTTTGTGCAATCAGATAGCCCCGTTCCTCCTGTTGCAACAGAAGGGGCATGTTGTGTAACCATTAGCTGTGTGACGTGGCAGACGTATCCCAGAAGTTTTGTCAAGCGGTGAGAGAAACGCCTCCGGACTAAAGTCGGGAATTTGCTATATCGCCATATCCCATATAAAAAGAACTTAGTAATGGCTATAATACACATAGCACAGAAAGATCAATGCGGAGATACACGGTAATGGTGGCACAAGGCTCGCATTCACCGGATTTCCGTATCGGCCTTGTGACACGCCCGACGGACAGACTAGGCTGAGACAAGGTTGCCAGCACATAACTGCGGCTGAGTATTTAAGGGGTTTATGAAACGACTTAATCATTGCAGAAAATATCTTGATTACTACCAACCCAATGACGCGACAGGGGAAAGGCTCTAGGGACTTGACTAGTCTTCGAACGAGGATATAAAATATGGATGCTGTAGGCTGTGTAGCGAGCGTATGTCAGCTCATTGAATATTCAGCATCATCAGCCGCTAGCCTTGGGAGACTATACGAGGAGCTGGTCCACGGCGATTCGACCTACCGCGACGAAGCAGCAAACATCAGACTGCTACTCGACACGCTTCAGCGTCTCTCCCGCCACCACGTCGAAGATCACAATCCTGTGCTGCCTGTACTGATTTCTATATCTGGTATCGCATGCCAATTATTGCATCTCCTCCAACCGAAGCGGTCATTTGGTATCAACTTGGCATTTTTCACTCCAAGGGACAAGATTAACTCGGCATTCGAGACACTGAATCACAAGAGAACCCTGCTCCATCTTCATATTTCCCAAGCACACCAAGACGCCCTTGTAGATCTTCGGCAAACCATCGAATCGACCTGTATCACTCGCCATAATACAATATCTACAGAGGAGGGAAATGAAAGAATCATGTCTCAAAGTATCCAGGATACAACTACCGCAACTATGGTCCCTCCACCAGATCAAACGGCCCAGCACCATGTTGCAACTCTCAATGTAAGGGAACAAGTATAACATGGGCGAAGAATGCTGCTAAAGTCGATCCAGATTACTATATCAGGTTCCACAATTGATGGTACAAGCGTGATAGGCAACGGCGAGAGGCGATCCCCGGCAACCATCGTCATGGATAATACTACTATCTCGAAAAACGGGCTAAATTTTGTCGCAAACGAAAGAGACAGAAGCGTGGAAATCCTGCAAGAACACAACCGTCAAAGGGAATCAGCAGCAGCCAGACCACCACCACAACTGCCGGGCCAGGCGAATTCCAGCAACACGAGTGTTGTTTCAGGAAGAAAACGTTCAAACAGGCAGTGGCTTCTAGGTATGGGATCCAGCAGTCGATGTGCGAGTGACAATGGCTCGCTGTATGATACGGATAGCGCTCACAGGGTGGGTTCCCTAGCATAGGACGATCCAACGGACAGGCAGCATTGACCCTGTAGATAACAGCGGCTATAGACGCTGGAGAAAACAGGGTAAGATGAAAAGAATATGGGTACATCTAGTTGTCACGAAGAGTAACTTATAATGCATAGGCGAAGCCACGCCACACCACAAGGCACCGAGGAAGGTGCTCAAGAAGCAGGGGGGCGGGTCGAGCTCTCGTTCATGAAGAAGCAAGTACACACGGTATCGGAGTTTCTGAAATTTCCGGTCCTCTAAAGAAGGATGAGAACAAACAAAACAAAAGGCAAAGGAGCAATGGCTGTTGTTGTTGTTATTATTGGTTTCTTTCAATTCATTTCACTATCTGCTCTACTGTATTGTATTGGACGAGAATGTATATTTCCGGTGATGAGGTAATTTTACTTTTTTTCTTTCCGCCTTCAATAAGTGCAAAAGCGAGCGACTTTGTTCAAACATCGGTGTCCTCCGAACACCGACTAGACGTTTGTTATTCAACTCAGTGGTCCCAACCTAGGAATTTCGGTTACGAAAGGAGGCGTGGACTTGATTATTTTGTGCACTAATATACTTACTAACCCACCGCTCCCCAATCTCCAACTTCCAGTCCCTTCTCAGAAGTCCCTTCGCAAAGGAGACTAGGATTTGTTATTCACACATGCTTATTCTCACTAACCCGTAACCTCCAGTCACCTTGACAAAAGACGGTTTGCGAAGGAGACTAGACTTTGTTATTTTCACATGCTCACCCACTTACTGATCGCACCCATACATCAATCCGCCCAGCAATATCCCTAACGAGCGAGTATGTCAATGCTATCCACACACATACCCACCACCCTGTTCCTCAAAAACTACGTGGTTCCATTTTCTTTTCTTGACACGCGCGCACCAATCGCCTTTGTCCACATGCATGTCCAACCAACCAACCAACCAAAAAAAAAACTCATGGTTTATTTTCTCGCAGAAAGCAATAGTAACGACGAAATAAAGACCCGGGAAGATGGAATAAGGTTTCTCGGGAAGAAACATGGATGATACTTGCAAAGACAAAAAACAAGCCTGCTGATTTTTGGCGTCGGGGGGCCCCCCAAACCTTGTAATAAGCGCTTGGGGGGGAGGGGGGGAGGGGAACATCATCACATCACCACGACCACGACCACGACCACGACAAACATTACAACAGGCAGCATCAGCAGAACGCAAGCCTTAAAGTATAAAGCCAAGGCTCAAAAGCCGAGGCTCAGCCAGTTCCTTTGGTCGAGGTCCCGAATGGCGGTACCCCCCAAGTTCCGCAGGCTAAAATGGTATTAAAATTTCGAGGATTGCCGTTTTGGGGCAAGAGGACAAGAAAAAAGGAAGATAATACGCCCGTAGATGAGCCATACCTGCCCTTTGCGAGAGCAAGAGACCACAAGCGACATGGAGCGTATGTATGCGTACAAGTGCGTATATGTGTGAGTGTGTGAGTGAGCATGCAAATTCCCAGCAGCCAGGAAGCGAGGGGAAAAAAATCGCATGGGTGATTCGCCGAGAGTGGAGAGAAAGAAAGAAAGAAAAGATGAGAATGAATTTTTTCTAAAAAAAATCTGTCCACTCCCCATGGGTTTATGTGCGGAAGCGCTCTGTCTCTGTCACACACACACTCTCTCTCTCTCTCTTTCTCAGCTGGAACAAAGGAAATTTGCATACATAGATTTTTTGGAGGGGGGTGGGGAGAGAGGACAGTGCGGCTCCGCGCCCGTGACACGCTGGGGGGGGGGTTCCGCTCAAATATGGTACGATTTGAGCGTCACGGGCGTGGTGGCTTTCAATCTGATGCGCACATGTGGGTTCTAGGCAAAAAGTATAATCAACCGCAGCCACGCACCACCACCACCATCTTGCAAATCTGCGCGAGCCCGCCCCCAAACACTTCTGGCGATCTGCGACCCTTGGGTAGATTACTCCGTCTTGGGGGGAGGTGCTTTATGCACGGCGCTGTGTGATTCCTGTTACCCCAGGAATAGCAGCTTTGGCCGTCTTTCTTTTCTACACCAAACACCTAGGCCCATCTACGCACGCACGCGCTGCCGCTCCGCCCCAAACACGCGCAATATCCCCTCGCTCACTTCCATCGTCATGCTGCTTCATGGAGCCTCTCTATCTCTGCCCGGCCCGCCCACGCTTCTGTTTCACCGCAGCCCCATTGCTGTGTTTCGGCATGACGGCCGTTCTGCGCGGCCATTCTAGCCGCCGCCCCCCCCCCCCGCTCATGCCATGGCTTGCCAACTTGCTGGCAGGCTAATAAGTAGGGCTGAGCTGAGTATACATACCTGCCCACTTGTACATGGACATAGTAATATACATGTCCAGCTGGTGGGGGAGATCATGTGTATGCAAAGTAGATTGCTGCTGGCGTTCTAGAAGGCGTAGCATCAGGCGTATACGGCCTTTGTTCCCCCCCCCAGCCTATCGGACCCTGTGCGTGTTCCCCCCCACGTGTCTGCTGGGCCGAGAGGACGGGCGGGACACGAGTGGACACGGCGGCAGTGGGCGGATGCTCTACATAATGCCATGTGGTTGCTGCGCTGGGCACGCCCGAGGTCTGGGGCGGCTGTGGGGTGTGGAGGCCCATTCTCCCAGGTGTGCATTGGGAAGGTGAGATGAATGGGCCGCCTCGCTGCGGAGGTTTTAGGGGACATGGGTATGCTGATAGGCCCGTCCCTACGAGGCAATATGCGATGCTGGGTAAGAGGCTCGTCGAGCGATGCCTTTAGGGGCACTCTCGGATAGGAGAACCCGGTCCAAGTGGCCCCCGTGGTAGCGAGCTGACGCAGTGGTCTGTCGATCATGACGGCCTGGAGAGTTGGAGGCCAAGGCCAAAGGGAAACAACATTTGCCCATGGTAGCATGGGCATCAGCATCAGCAGCACCGTTGGCATGGCGGTATTCGTCTCGTTTTCCGCCGTGCCACAAGCGCCCGAAAAGCCACCAGGGAATAAGGATGGCCGGCTCGCGCAGCCAACAAGCTTCTGAGAGTGCTGGGCAATGGCGCCGACTGCTGCTCGACTGACGAATTGACTGACTGACGGTGAGGCCGGCCGTGCCGTGTCCACTCAGCTTGTCGTGTCGGCGGCTTGCCTGGGGTCGCGTGCGTCAGATGACGGGCAATTGTTCCCCCCTCTTCCCGCATTGAGCATCGTGGTGCGGAGATGGCGAAGCATGTTGATGACATGCATCCGGGCGCAACATGGCAGAGGTGGAGGCGGGTGAATGTGCGTGGATGTGCGTGAATGTGCGTGGTATCATGGCCGGGCGCCCCAACAGCAGCGTGTCCCCCCCTCCCCTTGCGGCCGCCATGGTTTGTTTCGCATAGAGAAAGGAAAGAAAAAGGCTGCCATGTCATGGGCTGGGGGCGACGGGGCTGGGCATGCTTCTTGGGTGCAGCTAGTTCGGGCAAGTAACTAAGGCATGGATGCCACGAGCTACACTGCCGGCCTAGCGCGTTCCGTACTATCGGTGGAGAGAACTGGGGCCCTTCAACCCTCGCCAGCCCTCCAGTTGGCCGCTACAAGTACAAGGCCGGGCTCGCCATGCCCACCACCATCTGTATACTTGGGTGCCATCATCCGTGCATCGCCTCTGCGTCCCTACCATCGGCCTCGCTCCGCCGCCTGCTTCTTTCTTCCCTCCCCACCCACATGGCTGCCGCATACTCGATATGATGAGCCTGCCCACCACCACACGTCTTGTTTTTGGCATGTAACATCCTTCCAACCCCCCCACAGAGACGACAACAGCGTCATCGACTCCCGCTCGCTCGCCCGCCCGCAATGCTGCCCATGCCCGAGCCAGACGCCGCCTCGCGCTCGTTCGAGCTGCCGGGCCACATCCACCCTTGGCTGCGCGCCGTCGTCGCCATGGGCTTCATCAGCTTCATCGCCTCCGTCTCGCTGCTGGTGGTGCTGACGTACAAGCTGGTGGCCTGGCAGTTGCGCTCCAAACGCACAAATCAGTTCGTCATTCTCATCTTCAACCTGCTGTGGGCCGACATCCAGCAAGCACTGGCTTTCCTCCTCAACGTCGAGTGGGTCCGCTTGGGTTCCGTTGAAATCAAAAACCCAATTTGCTTTGCCCAGAGCTGGCTCGTCTCGACGGGCGACATGGGAAGCGGCGTCTGGTGTCTTATCATCGGACTCCATACCCTGGCCTCTGTCCTCCTCAACTTCCGTCTGAAGCCCCGAGCCTTTTACTTTGGCATCTTCCTGACATGGATCTTTATCCTTGGGATTTCCACCATTCCCGTATGGATGTACGGCAAGGGCGTCTACGTTCGGTCCGGCGTCTGGTGCTGGATCAGCCACGAAAAAGAAGATCTGCGACTGTGGTGTCACTATTTCTGGATCTTTGTCTGGTACGTACTCGAGTCCACATCTCGTCTTCTCCATGCTGACCTTTTGTCTAGCGAGTTTGGCAACGTCTTCGTCTACGCCTTCATCTATGCCATGCTGATCTTCCGCATCCGCACTGGCTACTACAAGGCCGAAGAGTCCAAGCGAGTAAGGTCCATTGCCAACCTCATGGTTGCATACCCCATTGTCTATGTCATTTGTACCATTCCTCTTGCCAGCGCCCGCATGGCATCCATGTCGGGCAGTCCACCCTCACTTGCACGCCTCTGCCTCTGTGGCGCCATCATTGCCTCGAGCGGCTGGCTCGACGTCCTCCTCTACACCTGCACCCGCCGCATCATGATATTCAGCGACGAGCCCCCGCCAGACGAAAACGGCATGGACACGTTCTCTGCCTTTTGGATCGAGCAACCCACGCGTTTTGGCGGCGAATGCACCGTCGAAGCCACAAACACACATATAAAGACACGGCGCGGCAAGAGCAAGGGCAAGATTACACTATCATCTAGCTGTGGCAGCGACAGTTCTGACGATTTAGTCACTGTGGGCAATACCGACATCAAGCTCATCACCACCACTCAAGTCACTAGCGAACCCGCCCAGCCCGCCGACTATCAAGAAATGGAGGCCGAAGCACGCAAAGCACGACCTCGCACACCTACCGCGAGATGGAGTTCAGATTCGAGCGATAGCAGGATTATCAGCCTGAAAGAACTGTCTTTGCCGCACATTGAGCCTTGAAGCTCCATCCCTGAAACCAGCCAACATGTTTGATAGACGAACGACGAGAAGCTATATTCCAGCACACCCTCCCGCGCTATAGATGAGCCCAGATAAGCGCCAACTGCCACGGCATAAAGTCAATGCGGTCCATAACAATGCGGTCCATGAACCAGAACTGTGCAAACCAACCAAACAAGAGCGCACAAGGCAGTATGCGCCCAGAACACAAATCACAAAACACAAACACTCGTTCCAACACGACCTTGGCACTCTCAAGCAAAGCAGGCCGTACACACATACACGAAGGAACCAAACGCGCAGCCTTGCCCGCCACACAGGCTCAGGCCTACTCCATACATAGCTTTAGACCAAGCCCACGCGCCCACACGACTGTTTGACGCCCACGGCCTGTGTGTTGCCCTGTACATATTCAAATCCTGGGCGTCTAACGAAGCCAGCAAGAATCCATTCCTATTATTATTATTGTTATTATTATTACTATTACTATGATATTCTACGTATATATTTACCTTTGAAATTCATGTACATACACACAACCATATATATACATAGATATATACATGTATACTATCACTAGTCCCACTACTACTACAATCCCCAACAATACGCAATAATGCAAGAAATTTGTTTGACATTTCTCCTTTCTCTCTGTCTGTCCATCCCATGCACCACACACGCTTTTACCTCTCCCCCATCAAACCCCTCATACCCCTCCCACACTTCACGCCCTTCACGCCGCAAATTCCCCCAGCCTCAGCACGCCATCTCCATCTCCCTCTTCATCGCCCATGTACATCCGCATCCGCATAACGCCACTGCCAGCACCTTTATCTCCACACATACATACGTGTCTCTTCCCCCCCACCCCACCCCACAATCGAAGTAAAAAAACATCCCAGTTCCCTTGCCTCATACTATACACCCCCCTGACGCGTCCTAGGTACTTTATGTCTTCACGTCCCCCGCTATCCCTGCCAATACCAAAACGCATGAATCATGCACGTACGTGCGCATCAAAAAACGCGTATAATACCGCTATGATATAACCCCCCCCCAACTAACTACATACTAAGCCTAGCTAGATGGATGGATGGCTAGTATCTTCCCAAGTACCTACCTACCTAGCTAGTACGCCCATCCGATGCGATGCATGTCAGGAAGGCAGGGCAAGGCAAAAGAAGGATATGTGTACGCTTCCCGCATCCGCTGAAGCCACTACACGCCCCCCCCCTTCTCTCGATCCCACGAATGCGAATGCAGTGAGTGTGACCAAGCTACGTTGAAAAGAACTCGACTTTGGTTGTATAGGTTACCGGGAAAGAGATATTTACTTTGTTTGTTTTAACTACTTAGTTAGTTGGTTAGTTAGTTACGGGAAAGTTTTACCTAAGTATGGCTCTTTTCCACGAACAGGTAAGTGAAAGAGAAGAAAATAAGTACGTACTTTTACGTACCTCTTTCTCCTCCAACAACAATAACAACAATAATAACAACAACCCCAAAAAAAAAGACAAACGGCCTCTTGACTCAAAGAAGAATTTGGATATCCGTAATTTACACCTACGTCCTAGTATCCCTCATGCCCACATTAATCCCGACATACACATACATACATACATACATACATACATACATAACACCCAAGCGCCCAAAGCAATTCCCCATTCTTTGCGCCCCTCAACTCGCCTCACCCTCTCCACGTGTACTTATATATCCCTTTTCGTTTTCCTTTTCGTTTTTCCTTGTTAAAATGTAGACTTTTCAAACATTGCAATTGGACTACATACATACATAAATACTATCTATCTATCTATATCTATACACACACACACACAGACAGACAACCCTCTTCAAAGCCATATTTCTCAATCTGATTTTCTCATTTTCTTCTTCTTCTTCTTCTTCTTCTTCTTTCTTTTTTTTTCTTTCTTGGTTCTTGGGTTAGCAATAACTACAGCGACATCAGCATCAGCATCAGCATCAGCAACAGCGGTGACAGCAGCGACAGCTCGTTTGAAATACTACGATAGAAAGGCAAGTCTAAAAGGGGGGGGGCGGAGGTGCATGTTTACTTACCCGAAGGATTGGTTTTGGCTTGGTCCGGGGGGGGGATTGTTGCTGGCATGGCACGTGCAAATCAAATCAAATCAAAT